ATTTCTTCCTAACAAAAGCTGGCATAAGTAGATTTTTCACTGAAAAAAGTTAACCTTGGGGGCTTTAGTCCCCCATCCTTAAAATCTGCCCATGATGCATGTGCCAAGAAAATGAGGGAGAAGAGTGGAAGAGAGCACGCAAGGACGTCAGGACACCCGAGCTCTGGTTAGAGGGATTGGTGGGTACACCTAAGGCTAGGTGCCTTTGTCTCCACTGCACTTGTCGAGGACGTTTCAATGCGAGAGCCAAACACTGGACACCGGCGTTCTGCAGTCGAACGTGTTCAACGAGTGCAGCAGAAACAAAGGCTGCCTTTACCTCCACTGCACTCGTCAAACGCATTCGAATGTGAATGCGAAACGCTGGACACCGACGTTCTGCATGTGCAGTACAGACAAAGCTTTAGGTCTACCCACTAATCGCTCCAATCGGAGCTCTGCGTTTTGACATTCCTGCACTCTCATCCCCTCCTCTCTCTCAATTTCTCGGCACATAAGAGTTCTGGAAGTTTAACAACAGTGGCTAGTGAAAAATCCAACAGACATGACATCCACAAAAAAAAAAAAAAGCAGCTTTCTTTGGGATTTTTTTGAAGGTGTTCTAAAATGCACTGAGAACTCCAAGTCGAGTTACTCCGTTCGGAGCTGAGGGAGTTGATACTGAACGCACCATCACCACTACTGCAAGGGAGGTCACGTGGAAATATTGTGTCCCTGAACTGCTCCTGCCGCTTCAAACACCTTAGAGTTGTCGGAGCTGCTCATCGGTTTCAAGTCGTACCCAAAACCAGCAATGCGTGTTGCTGTGGAGGGGGGAGTAACTCATCAGCTGCCCAAAAACTATATGAGTAACTTATCCCATGAGTAGCGGGCCTTATAGCAAGCTCGTTTCAAATGCACTGGCATTATGCGAGTCATCTCGTAGAGTGCACCGCACTCGCGGAGTGCCGCACAAAGAACCGGTCTCAAACTAACTTACCGAGTGCAGCCTGATGCTGTCACCATCTGCATTGTAGTAAGAGTGCAGACCTCAAACTGAAATTAGCGCTACGCTGTTCGACATGACGGGCAGGAATGCGATTGAGAGTTGCTGCAACGTGTAGTTTATATCTGTGATGACTTCAAACAGCACGGCTGTAAGAGATATTTACAGATGGCATTAGTTCCTGTAACCTGCTCAGTACAAAACAGCTGTAACTTTTTGTTAAACGATACACTGGAAAAAACTGTGCACAAAAGCTTGATCAGAGCAAACGCAAGAAATTTGAAGGCTAGGCACGGCTTGCGGAACACAAGGATGCCCACACGACTCTTTCTCTGAAGCGTGCTCCTTCTGTACGAACAGCCCAAGTTATTTTTAGGGTTAGAATATTTTTTGCCAGTTTCACGGTGTTTTGGATGGGTGCGAGGCGGGCTCACTCTCGTCGTAAAGCGGTACTCGGTCTTGTTGACTGATATTGCCGTTTTGTTTGACACTGCGATGTGCAACACTCTCGAACCTAGCTAGCTGTAGGGCACGTTTCATTCTTGATTATCGCCGCTTGTCCAGAAAGCTCTGCGACACTTTGACGCTGCCAGATGACACTGTGCTCAACGTGCCGTTGCGCCCAACGGACAGGCCATGTGACACACCTTCGGCACTGGATTGGCTCCAATGGCTCGCAGCATTCAGAGTAAAGTGCGGTATTGCATTTTGCGCTCTAGTAACTCACCACTGCCGAGCTGCTACGCCAGAAGCACTCAGCAGACCCCACCAACTCACCTCTACGTTGACAGGGCGGTAGGAGCCATGTGGTTGGTGGGCCAAGCTTTTATTGCCTCGTGTCCGACCTGCACATCTGTATGAGAAAGGGGCATGATAAGTGATGCAAGACTGACAATCGGCTGGTTCACCGAGCATGTAGCCTCCAGTGCCCTGTCAGTTAAGGGGTGAATGAAGTCTAAAGTTGGTATATAACAGCCGTCTACTGTCCCACTCTCAGGCACGCCACCCATGACCAGTCCAGTCGTTGATCTTTAAAGGGGTTATGACACGAAAATTAAACGGATAGACAATTCTTGAAATGGAATGCTCATAGGCTACTTAGTATATACACCAAGTTACGCAATTTTTAGAGCTCTGATAATTGCAATATTCAATTTACGAATTTTTATCATTTTCATCTGGCGACCAGGCAACACTGCTCAACTTAGTCACACCATGGTGTCCATAAACCACCTGACCATGAACACTCTCTCATTCTAGGCACCCCCATGATCGCCCAAGCTCTTCTCGTCGCGGTACGACGCTCAAACAGCTCGGTAAACTGAAAGCTATTCTCGCTCTCGCCCCCCGGCCGGTTGACCTTCCACCCTGCATGCGCCTGCGAGACATTCCCGGACGACTGTGACCACAACGAACTCGTTGTCGCTGGAGCTCGTCGCCAGCGGGTCGCATTCAAAATGAACAGCTTCCAACATCTCTTGATAGCAATCACTCTCATCGCTGCTTCGATCAATGTTGAACACTTCGACAAGGCGATCGATGCCGTAGACGTAATCGTCACAGACCGGATGCTGGAAACGTGGAAGGTAAACGAGGAAGCTGAGGCTCGATACGCCAAGAGAGCCAAGTCTGTGAGTGCGTGCAAGTAGACACCACGCTGGAGGCTGGCTACGTCATCAGCCTCCAGGTCCGCCCAGATCTGAGGGGCCCGCATATAAATCGATTTATCCACGAAATGATTGCGCCTTTTTCAAAACACATTTAGCAGGATTATAGGAACATACAATGGGTCCTAGCAGTATAGTTGTGTAATAATTTATTTTTGGCGTGTCATAACCCCTTTAAGCAAGGTTAAGCAATCACTGCCCTGTGCCACCACACATGAAGGTGTCCACGGAACAAAGCCGCATTGGTCCTGCCATAACCCACACCTTGTCGAGGTAGAAAACTTTCGGGCCCTTTATTTCCTGTGTTGTACAATACCCCAAGAGGTACCTCTGTTAAAACGGGACTATTTTGACCCCCTCGGTCAGAAGCGAGGCCCCTTGCGGCCATTCAGCGCCGTCTACTCATTCATAGATGTTGCTCCTTTCGATAAAATGTCTGTGGCGACAGCTGGAGCTAGTGAAAAAGCGGACACCATAGCTCTTCCCAAAGCACCCTGTTCTTCCTCAAGAGCAGCTATTTCATCCAGGAACAGTGCAATGGTGCTTGGTGATCTATGATCGCAGACCACCGGTCATAACTGCACCAACGGCGGCGGCGCCCCCCCCCCCCCCCCCCCCCAACTGACGTCACTCAGGTGACAAGCATTTCACTCGCATGACGTGACTCCAAGCCATACTCACTATGGCTGGCGACAACGCATAAAAGGCATGCGCTGGCCCTTTGACCCATGCGGAGTGCAGTGCAGGAAGTGGAACGGCATCGGTGACCCAGTCGCTGCAGTTACCCAGAACTGTATTACTGCTGTCTCGGCGAAGGTGCAGGCCCGCTGTTTGATGCACGTAGGTAGAAGCCATCAGCCGCAAGCATCGGACACCTGGGGTGGAAAATTTTGCACCCAACAAAACAATAACTATAAGAAGAGTGGTCTAGCCGGTGAATTGCAAAAACATAAAAAGCAGGCACATAAAGAAGTATTTGTTACCTTGTCGTGCAAAAACACAAAAAGCAGGCACATATTTAAGTATTTCTGTTACCTCATCTCATGCTCAAGCATTATTTTGGATAGTATACATCAATTATGCCTGTCTCGCAGTGGCTTTCTGAACAAAATGTAGTAGAAAATACAACCAGTTGAATACCAAAGGAGAAGTAGAACAGAGAGGCACTGATTTGTTGTCACTTTAACATGCACACTATGGAAGAGCACAACTCTTCGCAATTAACCTGTAGCAGAATCGCTTAGCAGTTCTGCGGCAGGTGTGAATGTACCACGAGGCAGAATACAGTATTTGTGCAGAAAACACCATCGCAGGCCTACCAGGACGAACAGCAACATATGTACCCGCCACAAATTCAACGCGCCGGGAGGGCCATTCGCGAAGCCTGATCTGTTTGTAAATCCCGTCTTTCGACAGAACGCTTTTGTGACTGCACGAGCTCGTCAAAAGCTGACATTCCCAACATGCAAATGCGGCGCAGGCGGCACTTGGGAGCCACATGCCACTCCCGTTAATATCTCTATTATCTTCTTCTTTGTCCCCGACGCTACGTGAGGTAGCCAAGCGCTATCAAATTCCACCACAGCGGTGTCGAATCGACGATCGAACGCCACCAGTAGGTAAATTCCACTCACCTTTTACTTTCCGAACAAGCGTCCCACGGGCCGCCATGTGGCGAGACGGGGCCTGTTGCTGGCTTGCATGAATGCGCTGAATGCGCTGTGGACTTCACTGCCGACGCTCGTTCCCAAGCATTGAATATCACGACCAACTCCACTCGGCAATACCGCGGCACAGAACACGACAATGTATAATACAAGAAAGACCGCTGGAACCGCTGATATGGAACCAACGCGACCGCTCCGAAAAGCGCCCAACAAACACTTGGAGAAACGAAAAGTAAAAACAAAAAGTAAAATTGGAAGAAGCAAAAACAAACAAAACAAAACTTTTCGTCACTTCCGGTTTGTGTTGTTTTGCTTGTTTTTGCTGTTTTTTCTCAGCCAATAGGCGTTGCAACCTTACTGCGGCGAAACGCTCGTCCCTAGCATGACATAGTGGCCGTGTTCCAAAATTTACTCGATCTTACTTCAGGGTAAGGATTTTGTACCTTGGCGTTCCAAAACCTACCCGCGTCCAGCGTTTTTCAATCTGTGATGTCACGTGACACGACCCGCCGGAGGAACTCGGAGTCAAGAAGCACAGCAAGCACAGAGCAACCACGTGCTAAATGAATGTGCAAAACGACGTCAGGTGACTTCCGACATCCGCCACTTCCGCTCGTGCCGGTTGTGTTTTGGTTGTGTGGTCGTGTGGTTGGGGGTTGAGAGCACGTGTTTTCTTTCGAGGCGCTGGTGGGATGTCACAGCGATGAAGCTGCATCAAAAGAAGAGTAAACCCAAGGTGAGAGACATTTCGGTGCTTAGTAAAGCTTGTCTAAGCTCCACGGTTACATCTTAATTTTTGCGGAAACATTTTGAGCGATCGCGTGCATTCGCCGCCGACCGACGTTATGCACTACTAAAAAAAAAATAAAGTTTTTGTTTTTTTAGGCACGGAATGGGTGCATCTCAGAAAAACAAATCTTCTCCGAACTGCACGTCTTATCTCGTACTGCTACGTAGTGCTCGCAGAACGTGGAGGATATGGAAAGTTGTTTCCTTGTCTTACTGAACTGAATGTTTCCTATTTACTTACGCCCTCCATGCTTCCTCTTTTCTATGAAGTGCAATAAAGTATGATGCATGACTGTCAGATGGACCGAACCCATCACTTCAATAGTTAGCTTCTCAGCAGTCTTTTTTTTTTTTTTTTATGGGCATTCAAGCTTATGGCTAGATGAACAAGTGCCATATTCCAACTCTTCCTCCATTGCCCTCGAAATTTCCTTCCTTTCGCTAAGCCTGCTCACTCCTTCCATTGATGCTAGTGCCATCTAGGATACCTTCACTGCAGTGTGGCATGGAGAAGACTGTGGTGACTTACCTAAGCTGCTTAGAACGTCGGCCAATCGAAGGTGGCCACGAAGACCAGAATTTGGCAGACAATAGAGGGTTCTTTAACAACGAATAGGTACACTTTTCTCTACTCGGGAGTTTTAAGGTGAACAAAGAAGCATACTCGCGCGTGTCGTGACAATACGATTTTTTGCAGTCTGTTCCCAGTCCAAAACTTGGGCCAAAGAAAGCCAGAAAACCCAAGCCAAAGCCCGAGCCCGAGTCGGACGAAGACCTCAGCAATGAAGAAGACCTGGAGTTCAGCGACGGGGATCACGACATCTCTGATCTGCTCGAGTCGGACGAGGGGGAACCTGAACCCGAAGCACCGAAGCGGGCTCTCGGTGACCAAGCTTCGACGCAGCCGCGCAAGAAGTCCAAGACTGCAAAGTCAGACCTGTACAAGCCACCTACAGCCGAAGAGCTCAACAACCTGAAGGAAGTGGAGACGTTGTTTCACTCAAACCTCTTTGGGCTGCAGGTATGATCGTCGAATTAGTATTGAGGCGCATTTCTAGTTGTCACTGGGCAGATTTCAGTTTCTAGGATGAAGTGGTTTCTTTTTTTCTTTTGCTACACTTTGTTTCTTTGGCTTCCTCCCCGAAATTGAGCAGATTTCTCCCTTACTTAAAACACTATGTATGTGTCGTGTACTGGTCTGTGATGGCATGCCGGCCGCGAGACAGTGCGACGGGCATGCGAGCGCCGGCTGCTCGCGCGAGCCAGGCCTCCTTCTGCGTGCCCCCATTCGGTTATGACTGCTCAACCTAGAGCACGTACACAAAGTACATGTACCAATAAACCCTTAGTACTCCGTGCCTGACGCACCGGACGCCTCGAGTGAACTACTTTACAGTATGCTACAGAAATTGGGCAGATGCAATCTGATTTTGCATGGACACTGGCCCAGTACTTACGATGAAAAGCTTTCCGATAACACGTTGCCAAAGTTAACTAGGGATGTCAAATACTTTTGTCTAACCTCGGTTCGATTGATGCGACAAACCTTTGGACTTCAGTATTCGACGAAGGAGGGGTGGATGGATGCTAATGGCTTTAACTTTAATAACGGCTGGCAGCTTGCACCAACTAGCCTAGAAACCAAAAGTATTATTCCTCACCTTCCCCTTCTAAGTCAATCTGCTTCCCCTCTGCTTTTTTTGTATGTAACACCAGGGAGTGTGGGATATCGCCAGGATGATCTTTTGGGGGATCGGGCAAGAGAACTAAAAATATTGCATCCCACCTTCTCCCACCCAGCGAGGGGGTCTCCAATTTTTCTTTGGTAAAACCAAGTCGGCACTGCCCCAATACCGGTCCCACTGGAGACTTTAGGCTGGAGCCACGCGGGAGGGAGTCCCAATTTTCCTCTGTCCTGCCTTTCCCTAGCTGTGCTACCTAGTTTTACTTCATTAAATTTTCCCTGGACAATATGTTCACTACATACCGCATCCCATCTGTTGGGCGGCGGCAGCTCTTTTTCGGTTTATGTGCGTGCGCGTGGTAGTTGAACTTTGCGCCAAGTGTTCAACCCGGTTAAGCTCGAACCTCGGCAGGTGGCATCCCTACAGCTTACCATGGAAACTTGAAACAGTAAAGTAACTGTTGCCGATGCTCTTTTCGTGTCTTTCAGCTCTCGGATCTTCTCAAAGAAGTGGCCCTGAAAGAGAAGCATGTGCACCAGTTTGATGCTTGGCTCGGACTCTTCCGCAAGGCGCTTCTGGCGCTGCCGGCGTGGGACAAGGCTCGGGTAAGTGAGGGCAGTTCGGTCAAGTACCTTTTGTTGACGACTGTAGTCACCGACAGCCTGGGAAACGCAGGGCTCGACGAGTCCCAACCAGGAGCCAATCACGCCACAAGAAACTGGACGGTGCTAGGCCGCAACCTGCATCACTCAAAGGGCAGCTCCACTCAATTCTGAAGATTTCGGGATAATGAGTGATTTCGCATTAGAAAACCCTAGTAAAAGACACTGTCATTTGCTTCACGAAAAATTGGATATATATTTTTAAATCTAACTTTAAACGAGCAGAAATCGTAACCGAAACTTCGGCTACGTCCGGCAACATTGGCCTCGGGTTGCCAAGAACATGGCTATCGCATGGTACGGGATGTCACGTGATCCTCTATGCAACGACGGGCAGGATTGGTGCGGGTGTGTGCCAGGCACAAGTGTCGTCTGCACCGCACTCTTCGCCACTTTTTGGAGTCCACGGCGTTCGACGTCTGCACAACTGCGGCATAAGTCTGCGCACGTGGTGTCCTTAGTGTGCACGAAAAGTCCGAGGGATCACAATCACAAATGGTGAGGCGACGACAACGGTTGTGACGCGGGAGACAACGATAATGGCGGGACCACGGCTCCTAACAGCGGTTACGCCAATCACATAAACACCACCAAGTGCCAGGAGGAAACATTGCTAACATTGCCCGTTACGCTGGCCCGGGTGAAGTAAAAACAAGCAAAAAGGGGCAATGGTGATGACGTTAAGCTAAATGTTGGTTACGCCCACGCCGTAGCCTTGACTGCACTGTTGGTTGCGCCTCAATTCGCCCGCTCGAGTGAGCTGATTTCGGCAACTTGGCGAGTTACAAAGTTTGCCGGACTGTTTATGAAACATTTAGATAGAACTATGTCGTAATATTTGACGTGTAGTCTTCCTAGGTGATACTGAAGAGGACTGCATTGTTTTTTGAAAAATGAAAATGAAGCGGGGTTTTCCTTTAAGTTGTCGGTGGCTGTAGAACGGCACTTGCCACGAACGGTTGGCATTGGAATAAGAACTGTGTGAGCTCCATCCCTCGTGAGAGTTTGTCCTGTTTGTTTTGGAGGCCTTCACTTGGGAGTCTGTTTGTTTAGCTTGGGCTCGATCGAATGGTTATGAGAGGGAACAGCTTTACGCCATCTTAACCTCACTTTATTCGTTCTGGTTGATGGCGACGCTTTAATGTGTATAAAGTGGCAGCAAAGCATTGCTTGCAAGGTCTTTACCTAGTTGTCTCCTAGGTGTATTTTGCACGAAAAACGCTGGCGTCGTGCATCATATAAGAAATGGAGGTGACAATCACCGGAATAACTTTTATTACTCTTCGCAGCAGAACGGACACGCCTAAGCAATCGTCTGCTCTCTTTTTCCGCTTTTCTGTCGCTCTGTTTCTCACTCTTTTCGGTACCACCAACGTCAGTGCTTACAATTTGCTGCACTCTGCTCCCCCTCCCCCCCCCCTTCCCCTCCTTGGACAGATAGAGTTATTATAATAATCTAGAGGGAAAGGTCTCATGCATTACGGCCGCTTTGGAACGGCAGGACATAGACGCAGACATTGGTCGTCCAATGGGTGGACCCAACGGGCCCGTATCACTGGCGACGCTTTAACATACACGAGGAAGTAAGAAAACATCACTTACGAGGTCCATACCTATTGCTTTTCTGGCTTCATTTTGTACTTTGTGGCGTCGCACGTGTAGCATGCCATCGTTACGTCAGATGACGCTTGGGGCTCGGGGTGTGCGTAGCTGCTAAGAGACGGCTCCACTTGTATGACAGCGGCAGTCGAACAAGTGACATGCCACGTTCTGCTCCGGTCTTTACCTCCTTCCTTTGGACAGGAAAACCCGGAGGAGAGTCTGAAAAAGGCAGCGCTGCCGCTGCTTGGCCGGAGCCCCCGTGACCCCAGGTGTCGGTTCCGGTTTGCCCCGCCCCGGTCGGTGCGGCTCGTCGGCAGCCATGCCTTCCAGGGGGCACTGGGACCCGACGCCACCGCAGACGTCGCCCTCGAAATGCCCCAGGTGAGGTCGACCGGTCGCGTCATTCTAGTCCAATCTGTCTCTTTGTTCGATAAAAGCTGGTTCCATTGAGATCTCAACACCATTCAGTTTGAGCATTGAAGGACATGCCGCCAACCCAAATCTGTGGAAGACTCTTTTAGGCACGTCCCTTCGTGTTAGGCGTGGTCTTCGAAGGTGGGGCGGTACGGATGATGATGACTGAGGGAATGATTGTCATCATTAGCTGCCCACTTTGCAGTCCAGGACATTGAGTTGTTTTAGTTATTTGTTTATTGTACATCTCAAAAGCCCGAAAGCATTAGACGAGTGTGTAATACAAAAACTAACATGGCTGCTCTCAAACAAGGTGACTTACTGTGAAAACGCCAGGACCCTACTTTCACTGAAAACTGGGTTAATCTAGACATGTGCGCTTTTCCGTTCAAATTGGGTGCTTAACATATAATTTGCAGAATGCTTAAGTTTCGGGTGTTGTCATAGTGGGCAGTTGATAGAAATGGCCGCTAACACAATATTTTACGGTAGTCATGTCACATAATTTGTCATCTTTAGATGGAAAAGAATGGAATCATTCCAAAGCGAGAATTGCATCGGTGAAGAAAAAAAAAAAAAAGCCGGTAAATGCAGAGGATATTTCTTGGGATATCTTCAAACTGACCGTGGTTGATGCTTTGTCTTTGTTTCTTCTCATTTTTATTTTTCTGGGTTTCTGAGAGCCTCATTGAATTGTTTGGTCTTACCATCCATAGTAAACAGACAGCATCTTTAGTGTCGGTATTCAACCCATTTTCGGCCACACTAGACTAGCAGTGCCCGAACCCAACAGTTCCTTTGGCACGGGCCACCTCGGGTTTGTGCCGCAGCAGTCTGCACAAACCCGAGGTAGCCCGTCAAACGGCATAAATCGGAACAAGGACACCATTTGGATTAACACAGTTTGAATAAGAGGGAGCGAGAATGGGAGGAGTTCTTCTAGTGGCTCTCTGTTTGACATGGGCTCGGTTCTCGACTGAAACCGCAGGAGTGCTTCGAGAAGACGGACTTCTTGAACAGGCGGTACCACGTCAAGCGGGCCCTGTTCCTCTCGGTGCTGGCGTCCCACCTCAGGAAGTCGGAGCTGGTCGAAGAGATGAAGTTCGGCCTGCACCGAGGAAACACCGCCACGCCCACCCTCCTCCTCAGGCCCTCCGGTGAGAAGGGCACAGCGAGCATGCAGACAGCATAAAATAATGACCTATTTAGTCTAAAAGAGTCTAAAATTTAACGCAAACTAGCAATCCCCATGTTTTTTTTCTTCTGCCTTTTTTTTTTTTTTTTTTAGAATTGAGGTGTTGTCATCAAGGTTGCACGTGCGATGGAAAGGGCTCCTCAGGCTATAAACCTAAGCGGGAAACCATGAGCCCCACCAATACCTTGCCGAATTAAACTGTAAAAAAAAGGGCCGACGCCACATTCCCGCTAACTGTGCCCCTTGGTGTGCGTGCAGAGAGCGAGGATGAAAAGATGTGTGGGAAGGATGAGCACCCCCGTAATACCTAGCACAGCGTGGATGAGGTCCCCCATTACTTCCGCCGATCTAATGCAATGTGTACCGCATAGGATATGCGGGACACATTAGAGTAACAACCAGGCAACTGTGGGTATGTTTATAATGCAATTAAATGCAAAGGTGCAAGCAAGCTGGACAGGAATGACGAAAATAGTCCCTGGAGAATTTTGCAGCATATGTGTTCGAACCGGTTCATACTCATATGCTACGAAATTCTCCAGGGATTATTTCTCCTGTGGGTATGTAATTCTTGTGTGCGACAGCTTGGTTCACGGCCGTGCATGGCACTGTTGCACTTGCAGGCAACGCGGGAAAGCACTTCCGGGTCTGCCTCCTGCCCTACCCGTGCCCGGAGCAGTTCAAGGAGACGCGGTTCGTCCCGGTCCGCAGCAACCTGCGGGCTTCCTGGTTCTACGCCACTTCTGCTGGTGGGTGGAACAAGAAGACAGTTTTGTGCGTTCTGATTGGCGATGTAGTCGAGTTCTTTGAGGGTAATCGACCAATGCCAGCGCGGTAACACGAAAACGTTTTCGAGACTGCTCGAGTAATGCTCTAAATTAAGTCTGGACGTCGCGGAACATATGGCGTGCAATCGACAATATCTCGTGGGAGAGGGATTGACAAGGGGGGGTTGTGCTTATTGTTCTTAAAATCGAATAGTGGAGTGTCATTCCTAGCTCAGCACTGTAAAAAGAGTCGGTATTACAACTCACATTTTCCTTGGATTACGAATGATATAAATTGTGCAGCACTATTCGATTTGGACCACAATTTGCACACCCCTAGTTGTCCAAGCTCCCAAATCTTAATGTAAAACATTGCCCGCGATAATGTGTTGTGTTTCTGACTGTTTTGTCGCATCCCAGGGGACAAGAGTGCGGCAGACGAGCTACCGTCGCCGCGCTACAACGCTTCGGTGCTTTCCGACATGAAGATGGTGGCCAACACCGAGTTTCTGGCGGAAAAGCTAGCAGATGCGTCGGCTGCCGTCGAAGCCATCCTCCTGCTCAAGGTCTGGCTCAAGAAACGGCAACTAGATCAGGTGAGTGCGGAAAACACCGGGAATCCTCGTGTCAGCCAGTACTGTGAGATTTTCAACTGTCGGGCTAACATTAACTTGGCATTTGGTCGGGTTGTTAGACTTGCCTAACTAACTGCCGACATATGCAAGCACATAAAGTTTCTCCCGTAAGCCAGCAGGAATTCTGCTGTTTTAGGCAGCAGTTCAACCTTTGTACGGCTTCGAGTCTCTTGATTTCACGAGGTGCTGCATGAGCTGGCCTGAGCTTGCTCCCGCAAGAGAGCACTGAAACAGCCGTTTAACGTTCGTACGACCTTTGTTGGATTTTAGACAAATAGATTTGGCGTGGAACACCTTCCCACGCTTGCTGGGAAAGCGTTGCATAACCGCGACGTTTTCTAGCAACGTTGTTGTTATGCAATCATTGTGGTTAGTCGTGCCTGCTTTTGTTTGAACTGATGGAGTGCCGCTGTCTTCTCCTCAGGGCCCCGGCGCATTTTCGGGCTTCCTGATGGCCATGTACGTGGTTCACCTGCTCCAGCAGCGGCAGATCAGTGCCATGATGAGCTCGTACCAGATTGCACGCTTCGTGCTCCTCACCCTTTGTAAGTGTGCGCACTCACTCCGGCGTCTCGTGTCCGTAGCGAACGTCTAGAGGGTAAGTTGCGTGGCGACTTTTCAAAGCTCGGAACGCTTCATGACGGAAGCCCCCTACTCTCAGAAATGCATCTGCGCATATGTACCCTGTGGCCGGCCAAGTTGGCATAACCAGTTTGGTTACCATGGGGAAAACAATTGGATTACTTACTTGGAATTAGACCGATAGCATATGCTATGTACTCATCTCCCGTCAGGAACAAAAAAACCTAAAACCTTTTGTACCACAGCCACACACCTCCTCTGTGCCAGCTAAGATGTGTGCACTACATCTACTGCTACAGTTACCCCATGCCAATACTCCGCGTAGCGCATGGTGATGTTGTAGACCGATGGCAAGGAGGGACTTCCACTTTTGCACGCCTCCTCCTTTTCTACTACATCCTCTCGATGAACAAGATGTTCTCCTTCATTCCCCAAAGAAACTATTTAACGTCTTCTAAACTAATCTACACAATCGCTTCTTAAATACTTCCGAGACCGGTTATAAAGAAGTCAACGGGAATCAGAAATCACTTCGCTATATTTGCTATTTCGTTATAACTGGCTTTGGTTAACGAAGTGCGGAAGGAAATGGGAGATTGTGATCACTTCGCTGTAGCCGCTATTTCGTTGTAATCGACTTCGTTATAACCGGTCTCGACAGTATTGCGTTCTGCTCCTTATAATGTAGGTTCTCAAGCTAGGTTCCTATGAATCCGTAGGTTTCCCAGAGTGCCCTCATCGGTCCCTAAGCTCCCAAATTACCTCATCCATCTGTGCCCCCAAGTTCAAGCGTTTTCTCCAGTTTAAGCGCCATTTCAGCTAATTTGAGTCACCCCGTTGATGCATAACTGTGAGCCAAACATCCCCTAATAGGTTCATTATTGTTTACAATGCCCTTAGCCTTCTGCGCTGCTTAATTGCATCGATGCCGAGGCCAGCTGGGGTCCCTTGACGTTCGGCAGTCTGCGAACCCCCGTATCACAAAACTTCAACAAAAACTTGCTGCAATTTTTTTTCTTCTTTTTGTTATTTCGTGTTGCTGTTGGGAGCCTTGCCCCATTTTAATCGGACTATTCTGAGGGTGACGAGCATCGCGTCCTTTTCAGCCCGGTCGGACTTCACCCAGGACTCCATCTCCCTCTGCACCGAGGAGCACCCGAACCGGCCGTCGCTCGAGGAGTTCTGCGCCCATTACCCAATCGTTTTCGTGGACTGCAGCGGCTTCCTCAACCTGTTTGCAAGCGTCAGCTTGGAGTCCTACCTCAGGGTCAGTCTCCCTGTGTTCCGCAGTCCGAAACATCACCGTGCTTTCTCGTAGTTGCTATGCTCTCTCCACTTTAGTAGAGCGAATGCTAGAAAGAAGGCAAGCAGGGACTCTCCTCCTCTTCTGCGTTCGCTCCACTAAAGTGAAAAGAATGGAAGGCCTTGCGGAAGTGGCTTGTCCCACTGCAACGGACTAGACGGATAAAAGCTAAGGGAATAGAGGAGGTGAGAGTGTGCGGGGATGTCGGAACACTGAGCTCTGGTTGGAATGATTAGAGGGTAGGCGCAAAGCTTCTGTCTCTACTCTGTTCGAATGCGAACGCCCGACACTGGTACGCGTTGGGTGAGTGAGTAGAGACCAAGGCAGCTAGGTTTGCGTCTACGCGCTAATCATTCCAACCGGAGCTCGGTGTTCTGACGTCCCCGCGCACTCCCGTCTCCTCCTCTCTCTCAGTCTCTGCCTGTATAGGACCCCCTTTACAAGTTGGTGGCCATTCAGTCAATATTTCTCTATGGGCGTCTTTTTTTTTTTCCCCTTACATACAACGCGTGTCGCATAAAGCCTGCGTTTTCTTTGTTGCTGTTGTTGTTTTCTTGTTAGTCAACAGTACAAAATAACAGCAGAAGCCCATATTTGAGCGCGGGCTTAGAGGGGTACTCCGCTGATCTTTTAATCTTCCCCAACTAACCACAATTTTTACAGCGAAGCTGTTATGCGCTAGGATCTGGGAAAAAATGCGTCCGCGGATGTTGACAGAAAACTCCCCGTTGGTTGTGGCAAGTATAAATAAAAAAAAATTTTAAAAAGGGGAGAAGTGGGGGGGGGGAGCAACCAGTGGGAGTTAGCCTTCCTTGGCATTATTAGATGATGAGGTCCTGATCCCTTTTTATCATCTCAAGGCATTGTCCTCGAGGTTGCCCTAGGCATCGTCCTCGAGGCCGTTTTAGAAGTCACCCTTGAGGTCGTCCTCGAAGTCGTCCTAAGAAGTCGTCCTCGAAGTCGTCTTTGAGGTCGTCCTAGACATCATCCAGACGTCATAAAAATAACAGCTTTGCTGGTCCTCCATCTTCACGTGAAGTAGAAGGGCTCTGCGATTTCTTTTAATACCCACGCTTCACTTATCCCGGCAGGCTATCTGGTATCTCCGAGTTCTGAACAGTCATTGGGAAAATGCAAAATGAAGGCGACGGCAGAACGGAGGTTCGGATTCCCCCACGCTCCCCAGTGGCATGACGTCCCTGGCAGGCGGACTTGCAGGTCGAGCAGGCAGTCCAGGATACGGAGCGTGTCCTGCAGTTGTTTCGTGCTGCCAAGCGAGTGAGGGAGGGAGCTTGTACGGCGTTCGTTTCAGCAGATCAAACTTCTCGTAATCAGTTGGGAACAAGCTGTCAACCAGTGCCTACCCTTGACATCTCGTTTTCATTGTTGCCAATAGAGATTTTCACTTAAAAAAAACAAGAAAAACAGAAACAGTGAAGATCGAAACCAAACTCCAGCAACATTGCAAAACAAAAAATTCTGTTTTTGGTTAATATTTGGGTTACTAACAGAAGTCTAATTTTGCAGTATGGCGCAGGGGGACGTTGCAGACACTGGCAACTTATAATCCAGACGACCAAATCCCGTCTCCACAAATTGATTGAAGTGTGAATAACATGGTTGTGACATTATTTCTTCTCTCTTTGCCAGCCTCTGCTGTTTCTCTCTGAAGTCACTTTTATCACTGAGAGCTGTTTCATGTGGGTCCAACTCTCTTTGCAGGTGAAGCATGAGGCTGGATTGGCTATTGGCTTCCTTGACTCGTGTTCCACGGACAGCTTCGAGGTCCTCTTTGCGACAAATCTGCCCTTCGAGAGGACCTTCGACTGCCTTGTCTTGTGAGTGCAGGCCTCCTGCAGAATCTATGCCGGCAGGGCAGAAAATCCTTCCTCCTTAATAAAGGCTCTGAATACCAGTTCAATTGGGCGACTTTAGCATTAGTGCTCATACTTACAAAAATTGTAACTTCTTTTATATCAGATTTGTTTTCTTATGTTAAAGGGATACTACAACGAAATTGCGACGCTCATTTTTTAATCTATATGTGTTCAAAAGAGCAGTATCACATGGAACATACCAATATCTTGTTAAAAAATTCTGGAAAAGGAATTTTAAAACGAATTAAACAATTAGCAAAGAGCACCTGGTGGATGTCGCTAACGCCTCGTTTGTAATGCTCGTCTAGGAACCTTGGCAGCTAGTGACGAAGGTTATCTCGTCTCCAGCCACGACGAGAGAAGGGGGGAAGGAGGAACTCCCCTCTTCCCGAGAATCCCTTTTGTGTGTCGCAGAAGTCGCTATTGTCCCCCTAGAAGATTATAGAAGATTAACCCGTCACTCAAAATTCGTACAAAAGCAGCCGCTTCGGTGGCTGGAACGACTAGACCATCCTCTGGACGTCAGCCTCGCCGTAGCTTTGCTCGTCTTGAGACAACCTACGTCACGATTGCGTTGGATGTCACGTGCTCTAAGCTGGGCCTTCTCCGAGCGCTTGCTAGAGTGGGCCGTTTATAACGAAAAATACAGCCACCAGGATCAAAATACAAACGTGCGATTGTCATTTACGGATATTGTGGATCATATTCAACCTATTTTTGAACACGACGGAAATATTTCAAATTTCGTTGAAGTATCCCTTTAACATTTGTTTTCTTGTGTTAAGGATTAGGGATTTCACGTGCATAGTACAGTAATTTCTTCACTTGTTTTTGCGTGACCTAAGTTAATGACGAGAAAAATTGCGAGCCATCTTTTTTGAAATGGCCCCGGTACGGGAGTTGAGTTTCAACATAAAGCATCGAGGAGTGAAAGGAGTCGAGCTTCTGCGTCGTCGAGTCGACATCTTGATTGCTGACCGCTACATTGGATTCGTATAATGACCAGGTTGAATGGACGGGACGTCGAGACTGCCGCGGAGGCTCTGTCGCTGCGCGACGTGTTGGCGGACTTTGACGGCGACAAGACCCAGCCCGTGGCTAGCGCCATCTGCAGTCTCCTGAGGAAAGGACTCGGCAAACGCGTCTGCCTGGTGTCAACGCGACCGACTACGACGCAAGAGGTGGGGCATCTAGTCTTTCTTTTCGTGCTTTTCTTTCCTGCACATTGAAACATGATCACGGATGTATGCACCTGCTGTTTCTGTGAAGCTTATACGAAGTGCTGGAAGTGCTTAGTCCTCTCTAGCTAGGCCGTGGATTTTCCAGTTTTTAGACCGAAAGGCATTGATAAACATCCGTCGGTGTCAAAATGGCAAAATCGATAAAAACCATAAAAAAAACTCGCCGAAGACACTAAAGACTTTACGTGTAGGAATGCAAAAGCATTCCTACAAGTAGCACGCCACGTCTTCCTTCTGCGCACGGCGCTCCGGCGGTGACATCAAGCTCCTCCATTGCGCAGGCGCAGCGAACCCCGCCGGCTTCACAACGACTTCGGTGACAAAGCATCTGCGTTGCTGTGCTTTTCTTTGTGTTTTATTTCTGAGGCGCGTCCACTTTGACCTTGAGCGGCGCATGCTTGATGGTGTATTTTTATGGCCATCTTTCGGGCATAACGCTAATGCCGCCTTTTCGCGTAATGGGACATGTAAGACTTTCGCCTTAAAAGCACGGATTTCTCAAAAGTTCTTTTTTAGCTAGGACTGTTTTTGTCAAAACTCTCTCCTCTTAGACTAGAATTCTAATTTTTTCATGAGTCTTTTTCATTGATAATTGCTGTTTTTAGCACCCATTTGAAGCAGGTCGTTGAAGTGCACCTATATCTTTAAAATGAACACTGAAAAATCTGTGGTCTACCTATAACATAATCTTTCACAAAAAGTGACTTTTGGGAGCACAGTCTTCTTTTAATGGGAACACTGGTCTTGGAGCTTTTCTTATTCTTTTCTAACCATACCCAATGAAACTACACAAGCTTGTTCCGTTTCTATTACTGGCTTTCGCCATTTTTGCAACCATGGATTAGTCCTCAAAATTAATTAAAACTTGCCTACCTTTGTTTGCAAGAACAAAAGGAGAAAAATACCGCTGAACAAGAAATTATGTTTACAACATGGCTAGATACTATAAAGTATAAAACATGCAATATTTGAACTACGTTTGACATTGAACTATTAATGTTTTTAAAACACATCAAAGTTCAGTGTCCAGTGCGTGGCTACCAAGTAATAAAGCAGTCGATCAGTTAAAACATTTTCTACAGTTATTTTGAAGAAACAGCTCTGAACATTTTATTCTTTGCACATTTAACTTACATGTTCCAAAAAAATATTAAATTTTTAGCTGCTCTAGATGCTGAGGTATCCCTCCCACAATTTTGCAACTAAGAAATTTGTGTTTGGAGAAAACACCATTTTAGCACTAACTTTAATGAAAATTCAGTCTTCATCAATATTGCCGTATTTACTCGAATGTAACGTGACCACGATTGTAACGCAAGGGGTAACTTTTCACAGCGCAAAAAAAAAAAAAAAAAAAAAAAAAAAAAGAACACGAATGTAACGCGAGTTAAGTGAGGGAAAAAGAGTACCTTAAAAAGTACTACAACGTGGTCCGCGGAAGCCTTTTCGGCCGGGTTCACACTTGAAGAGCACTTCACGTTGGAGCCTCCACCCACGGATAGTCGATTCTGTCACATCCACCCGTCGAGCCGCGGCAGAGTTTCCGATTTCCTCAGCCTTCATAATTGCACTTCTTTTAAAGCGGGCGTCGTACTGAGCTCGTCGCGTCGCCATTTGCTCGAGTCCAGTCGCGGAAGCACGTAGCAGCAGCTCACAAAACACGGACAACATGGGCACATGGGTACGGTAACCCTGACAGAAAGAGAAAGCGTTGTGAAGGTAACCCGTAACCCTAACATGGGCGCAACGAGTCGCAAACAAGAATAGGATTGGATTGGCTGTTTCCAGCGTGTATATGTTGCCAGCACAAGATTGAAAGATCGTGAGATTTGTCGTAGCCATTTTAAAGAGCTTGTGCTGCGACGCCGTCAAGGCAAATTTTGAGGCGTTTCGATTATAACGGGAACCCCCAAATTAGGTAAGGAAAATTTGAAAAAGAAACTCGCGTTACATTCGAGTAAATACGGAAATTTATGTTTTGGCTCTAAATAATGCCCCACAAAATGAGAAACATAGCAGATCAGAAGACAAATCGCTGCAGATTTGGTATTTTATGTTTTTTTTATTTATTCCGACCAAATGGGGTAAGGGAGGTAGAGAAAAAAAAAACTGCTTTTGCAGCTTGACAAGGCTCCCCTTACAGTTCAGCGCTAGAACGGGACATTAGCAGAATTAAGTGTCAAATTCAATCAAATTATCATATACAGTCAAACCCACTTATAACGATCCCACATATAACGACCTATCGGTTATAACAACCAGCTTTCAGAAAATATAGGAATTCAAGACCCTACCCGTTAAAATTGGTCCTGGTAAAACGACTGTTTTTCAAAGCATCATACTGTTACAACATACACTCAAAATCCGCTTTAAAAAAAAAAAAATGCGCGGGAAAAGGTAAAAAGAGTTACATTTTGGGCGCGGCGCTCCGGAGAATGCTCAAGGTTATTTCCACGGCCACACGGCATACTTCCCCGGGGAGGAAACAAAACTACAAAAGCAAAAACGCCCTCCCGAGTCACGTAGTCCGCTGATTGTGCGTGTGGCGGGGAGAAGAGAAGTAGGACGTCAACTGTCACGCCGTGCTGCGTTCGTTCGTTCTGTTGCGCACACTCTATTCAACTCAAGGAAAGCTCAATGCTCGGTATAAGGTGGCTAGCCCCATCGCCATCGTGACCATTTGTTTACGTTCGCCATTTTGGTATCCGTATCATGCACATTCTCTCGCGTCTACGGACTTGTGGCCGTCGTTTTAAAACGGGGGGAAAGAAAATCTACGAGGAGGCTTTATTTAAACGGCATCACGCTGGCGGAAGAAGATAACGGAGCAGCACTGCGTGGCCTCGCAATCCTAGCCACCCGACGAGCTCGCAAAGTGTTTGAAAGACGACCCTGCCAGAGGCGACGGCCCCGCACTCATACATGCGTAGGAAAGAACGCTTTAGACCAAAGCAAGTATTAATTACCTCTGTGGGCAGCGAAGAACCACCGTCGGACTAGTGCATGGCATTTATTTTCGTGTTGGCGTGCATTTCATAAAATCTGTTCTGTGAGGTATGTGGTCCATCTTCATTACTTTACCTGTGCGGTAGAATCGGCAGCAATTTACTTTTTGATTATCTGAAAGCTAAATCTGCCTGCGCATTAGAATTGGGGGTGCGTTAGGACTGTGCTAACAATTTCTTTAAATAAAGAGCTGGCAGAGTGAAACTACCAATACCAGCTTCATTATCCTTATTTATAATGTGTTTTGAAGGTAAGTCCAGATATAATGGACTAGTGATAAAATGACCACTCATCGCGGAACTATCGCCTTCGTTTTAAGTGTGTTTGACTATATCCTGTACAACGTTAAATCTGTTCAACCCCTTGACCATTTTTGGTGTTTTAGGAATTTCTGACACTGGAACTGCTTAAATTTTGTTGCCTTCAAAACCAAATTTCTTGCGACAGACGGAATGGGGGCAAACTCTTAAAAATACCAGTACTGCCATCTGTTGGCAGAGCCGCAAACTAAGCCTGGTCGCCCAAGACGGTCGAGCGCGTGAACTGGGGAACACGAGACGAGCTTTGCTCTCATTCTGAACGGTTTGGAGGTGGCTCCATGTTAATGAGCTAGGCCCGTTCTAAACGGATAATGAGGATGCTATAATTGTTTACTTGACATTCGAATGATTTTTGATTAGGAAGTCATTCTGGTACCAAAGCCCCATGCCCTAGAAGATGCAGAAGAGACTCGCCCTCCGAATCTCCCGGGTCGTCTTTCCCGCAGTGGGGCCTCCTCCAGGGTCCCCCGGCCGGAGTGCCGTCGGTGGCCGTGGGGCTGCTCCTGGACGCGGACCACTGCTACGCCCTCGTGGACCGTGGTCCGCCAGCAGACTCCTCGGACGCCCCGGATTTCCGGGCGTTCTGGGGCGACCGGTCGGAGCTGCGTCGGTTCCAGGACGGCAGCATCCTGGAGGCCGTCGTGTGGCCAGCCAAGAACGCCCGGGACCGGCGCGGGCTGGTCCTCGACGTCTGCCGCCACATCCTCGCCAGGTGGGCCTTCCGACGGGCTTGCGTCGTCGAGCGGTGGAGCACAACGCGTTTGGCGCGGACGCCGGTTGTGAAAGTTTGTAAACAGTAATGCATGCACGTTGCTAGGGAGTCTTTGGCACATTAAATCTGTTCGATTCGCCTGAACTGGCTGAACTAGTTCAGCAGTGCAGGAACTGGGGCATTCGATTCAACCGGAAGTTGCACGGCCGCTGCACCGGCGCGTTCGATTCATCCCAGTTCTGAACGAGTTCAGACCCAGTTCCTCAAAATCTTGCACCGGCTCCGGAGTCAGTTCAGTGCGGTGCAGAAGCAGACGACAAGAGCAGACAGCGATAGTAGACGACACTCCTCGTCCGTCTCTGCTCGCGGTACCATTTTTCGCAGCTCTTGCTCAAATGTCTGCGATGTTTAACTATAACGCCGATACGGAGGTTGCATTTCCTCTCATTCATGATAATAACGTACCCTCGGTGGATGCGGAATTGAGATCATAATCGAGGGTAGGAATTTGCTTGATTATGATATTCTGAAAGCGTTTTAGGCACCTGCTCACATAGGTTTGGCTTCCTGCGGTAAGTGTCGAAATATTGGCTCACGCAAATTGTTTCTCTTTGATGTTATGTGGAGATCCACAGTGTTGATATTGTTCCTTGCAGGCACGGAGAAAGGTATTGCACTCTTGATAGTCCTCGCCTTCAGTTGCTCTTGGATGCATACTGACGACTCCGATACATCGCAGAGGTCTGGGTTTTAGTACATTGGCCCTCGCATGCCCCATAGCTGAGAATAATACTGCATGCTTTGTCCGCTGGTATCTGTGGACGCCAACTCAGCTGGCCTGGGGAAAGCGCCGAGAATAGGCATTGGCTTGGTCGTTCCACGCAGGTCTTTCTTGGGAATCAGGATAAACGCTTCAGCTTGACGCCAAAGTTACGGTCGATAACTGTCTTGGCCCAAACGCTCTCGTTTGGCCTTCGTCTTCGAGGTGACCGCTAACGACCGCGCGCTGCTGCCAGTGACTCCCGACGCAAAATCATCCTGATACCGCGAACCTATCGTCGAAATGCGAAACTCGAAAGACTTGGAATGAATCTACTATTGCTAAATGAATGTGAAGGACACGAACGCTTACGGAAACGACAGGAACCGAACGGCCGTTAAAAATGCAGACAGAAACAAATTTCGTGCAGAAACGTTTTTAGTACCCTCGAATAAAATATATTCACAGAAAAGATTCCGTTATTATACTTTAAAATTAAGGAAACACGAATGGTCTCATCAAATCGCGACTAATTAAATGTAGCATACGACGTGGCGTGGAGAAACAAGAGCAAACAAAATGCAGACGACACCCTGCGCTTCCGCTCGGAATGCCGATCACAGCGCCAGTCCTAGCGCAGCGGCTGCACTGGTTCTGCGCCGCCGCTGCACGACTCCTGCACTCGTCTGAACTCGGAGAGAACTAGTTCAGAACTTTCTGGCCGAATCGAACAGACCTATTGAGAAAATGCAATGCACAGAAATAAAAAGGCACGCACGCCACAAAAGAAAAAGAAGTAAAAGTTGCAGTAAGTGCTTGCGTTTTTACTAGGTACAGCACAGCTTTCCTCGTTGTCGTCGTCTCCTCCCCTTTTTTCGTTTTTGGGGGGTTGGGGACTGACAACGACGACGGAGGCCTTGACGACAGCCAGCAGAACGTGGCTGTCCGGACCCACGTGATGAGCACACTCCTACCCTCTGTCCCAGGACTTAAGTAAAGAGTAACTCTCCCTCCCTCCCCCACCCCCTTACCTCCGGCAAAAAAAAAAAAAAAAATGTCCCAAAGTGGATTGGCATTAGAGGAAAACCTCCACTTCGAAAACAGCAAGTGCTCTGCCTGGCACCTGCTCTGACCAGCCCTTTATGCATCGGTGGATGACTCAGGTTTTAAAATTTGGGGTTGGCCGAGGAAATTTGAGAGCTTCAGGGGAATCCTTGAGTGCAGCAATCTGGGTTTGAGGTCTATGCATTGCTGAAATGCAGTGCACGTTTCAACGGATACATTTGTGCAGGCAGCGACATCCAAAATGTGCATCGGTGCACTTAACAACCTCACAAATATGCATTTGGCAGGTGACAACCTCAAAAATCTGTGTTTGTACAGTAATTGACCTAAAAAATATGGATTGTGCTTTATCAGTAAGGTGCGGTATGTGCCGCTTACTAATAATATGTACATTGAATTGAAGCGAATTGAGATGATGGCCATTAGGCCGGGCTCACCTTTCCTGTCTCGTAATGGACTCTGCAGGCATGCCGGCCTGAATGGCCTCACCATGGTGGGGGACTTCCTGGACCCGCTGCTCCAGCTGCCAACGGTGGAATTTCCCTCGGCGACGCCTTACGGGACGGGGGAGGAGGTCACCACGGAGTTGGTCGCGGCCTACGACGACCTCGCCAGAGTCCTGCGGCACCTGCACGACCTCCCGCTGACCGTGTCCTCCGTCAGGGGAACCTCCCCTACGCTGCGCTCGACCGAGGTAAGCCGCCGCCAGGAAGGAATTGTGTTGAGACACTGAAGAAACGCTCAGAATCGGGTCCAACCCGCAAATGATCGCGTGCAATCCAAGAGGCGCCATTCCGTCGCTGCGTTTTGTTGTGCCGACGGATCTTGGACGTGTGACTTCCTTGTATTAGTCTGCTTTTAGTACAGTGATGTCTCGTCGCCGGGGTTCCCCCCAGGTATTTTCAATGTGTGCACCTCAGTTTCAGGGATGTTGAGAGCAGGAGGAGGGTGCGATTCCTGCAACTTTTTGGCGTTCTCGGCATTTTCTATACAGTGCGGCAGGGATTTTGTTTGCGGGGGTTATGCAGCTCTGTTTGCGTAGTGTCGCACGGGCCTGCCAAACACGATGATTTGGTGCGTCGTCTTGTCCCCTGGAGGCAAACCGTAGAGGTGGGCGGGGCATAGTAAAGATGGCAAGTCAGCCAGACTGGTGGGTTGCAAAGCCGCCGCCACTTACTGAGGTGAAAACCCTGCTCGTTGCTATGGGTGCCCCACCATATAGACGACGTGTTAGGGGACGGAGTGGGTAAATGCATGCATTTTTGTCTCGCTCTCGTGGACAACTCGCGTTTTTACCGATTTTTGGGCGAACAGAGGTGTCCGTAGTAACGAGGCACGACCGCATGCCCCAAAGAAATGTATACTTCTCAGAACAAGGGTTGCTGATTTCTTTTTGCCGCATTTAAAAACGTGAAAAAAAAAAAGAACTCGAAATTGTGAACGCCCAAAAGACTGCCTTTGCAGTCGTCTTTTTCGTGCCAACAGATGAGCAGGTTTTCGTGGGATTCGTCAGCTTCTATTATGTCCTCTCGAAAATCGAGACACATTGAAACAAAATTTTGGTACAGCTTTTTCTTTATTCTGTTGACAAGAAAAGAAATTGGATAATTTTACCCTTTGATCTGGGAGATGAAATAGGAAACCTGAAAGTCGCCGGACCTTAAATTTCATCCCGGTGTCGTGCAGGTGTTTCCACCCCTGGTGGGTGCCCTGGGCACCGATTACGGTGCCTACTTCACCACGGACGACGGCTTCCTCTGCCCGCTGCCTTTCAAGGCCCACGTACCACACCTGGTGCCCCTCACCCGAGGTAAGGCTCCTCCCCTCGCTCATTGTTTCCTGTTTTGCTCTCAATTTCCGGACTTCCGAGAACGAAGTGGAACTCGCGCAAGATTCTCTTCCATAAATTTGCTTTGTTTTCGCAATTTTGTAAGTTGGACTGGACTCCCTTCAAAGCTGCGCACCCTCCAGTGGCTGTGCCAAGGGTGCCGCATTTTGGGCACATACTTGGAGTGTGCGCTGAACGAGAGTTCCCTGTTGGCGTTCGGTGCGAACTCAGATTCTGTCATCTAGTCACACACATTGAGCGGGGGTCCTATGCTACATGCCGGAACCAAGGGGCCGAGACAACGCTGTCTGCTACTGCACCACTGACCAATCGCAGCAGACAGCGTTTTCCTGGTCGCTTGGTCCCGCCGTATAGCATAGGGCCCCAGAAAGCAGTGCCTTAAGGCGAGACACTGGTTCTAAAATGGACTATTTTATTTTTGCAGCTATACTAATGAAAATCACTGTGCATATGTGTTCCTTCTTCCTCAATTCAAATATGAAATCAGTTTCAAAATATCTCAATTAGTTTTCAAGTTATAAAAAATAGTGTTGCCTAATTTGGTTAATTTCTTACGGGTCGTTAAGGCCATTTCGAACAAAAATATTTTTTTTTATTGATGTAGATGCATAGCTAAAGGTCTGCCATGCATTATAAAGCTATTTATATTTTCACAAAATTACATTATAATACAAAAATGTACTAATTATGCTAATTATGACACTAATGAGGTCGCATTAGTTATCATAAAATTTTCGTTGTCATTATAAACTGCAAAAAAATAGCTTTACTCCACAGTCCAGTCCTTTCTGAATAAAACGGTATAAAAAGTTTCAAAATGCTACGATAAAAACCTCATGAAAACCCCCGTAAGGCTAAGCACGTTGACAAAAAACATGAAGATGAGAAAATCAAAGTTAAAGTTTTGACATTGAACATAGAAAATTGTGTGAACAATGATAAATAATAATTGCCACCAAGGTGTAGTGTAAGTCTTCATGAACAACTTGACATAAAAGATGATGTAATCCATTTATGGGAACATTCGGAAAAAAATATGAAAGAAGTAAAGACCGAGTGAAATGTTGATAAAATCACATTTTCCTGTTTCGACGCTGACTACAATAAATTATGTGAAAACCCTTATGCAATAATAGTTATCAAGATGTAGTGTAGTGCATTCTGAACAATAACAAATAATTTTAAAAATTGCAATAATTTGTTTTTGAGAAGATTGCAAAAATGGTGAAGAATTACTGATATAGGCTAAAAATTGCTTCTAAAGTGATGACCCGACAACTTTGGACAACGGGAGAGGCGAGCAAGAGTTTCAAGCTCCAAACGTAATTTTGTTTGGCCCTGGGCCTTTGTTCCACATGGCACTGGAAAAAGCCATTACAGCTGTCCTGGGCTGTAATCTCGTGATGCTCCTGCCTGGTGTCGCTTGGAGAACCTTTCCTTCACGCTACTGCTGCTCTGGTGCACCGCGTTTGCTTTACGTAAACGGAGACTGTCCTTTTCGATGCTTCGGCGGACAAGGCAGTCACCGGTGGCGTAGCCCAGGCCTGCAGCAATGGACTCGTTGGTCGCTCTCCTTCCCTGGTTGTAGACAGCAACAGCTTCAGCCGCAGCCCTCTTCACGCTGTCCAGGGAGGCATTCGCATTCTTTGAAGTCTGCGTCCAGATCACCGAATGCAGGCTCTCACTGGCATTCTGCGTCTTTCCCTCACTACACCGTGCCAACAGGTCTTCATTGCTGAGCCTTTCAAACACTGGCTCCAGTGCAGCCCGAACACAATCCGGAAGAGGATTCTTGTGCGGCGGCGGAGGCTCACTGTTTGCCAAGGCCCTGTTGTACTTGCACCAGGACTCCGCTCCCTCGGGGCACTTGCTGTGGTCTGGGGCGCCGTCTGTGGAGGTCATGTGCAGGAGTGTGGCTTCCACCGCCCTCTTCATCCCTGGAACGTCATGGCTGTTGCTCCTGAGAGCATAGCCGTAATAGTTAGTGATCTTCTTGATCTTTTCCTGTGTCAGCTTTCCTCTCCCACCAAGTGACTCGCCTTGTGCCTTCTTCTTCTCAACAACGTTGCGCAAGGCAGCTCCCATCCGCTTGTCGACGTGGTTCACGCAGTCCTTCTTCTCTATCTTGATGAAGCCGTAAACCTTCGCTTCAGACAAGGCATGGAATGTCCGGCTGTCCCCATCCGAAAGGACGGTGGTGTAGCGGAGACCATGCTTGGTCAGAGACCTCTGGAACATTGTGAGCGCAGCCTCCACCTCCATACGGCCAGCATTGCAGTCAATGTTCCTCTGGCAGTCGTGGGTTGCGTACCAGTCGCTGTAGCCATCGTCCTCGGGCTCCGGTCCCAAGGCACATCCAAGGCAGAAGTTGGAGTACACAACATGGTCGATGACGAGGCCAGAGTACAACTCCACAATGCAGCCTACACCAATGTGGGAGCTGCGTCCTCGGGTCATCCATGATCCGTCGAAGATGACATCGATGTTGCCAATGGGGTTCATAAAGCCTGTGTAGAGCCCCTTGACGACAGCAACACTGGCGGCTTCACTGTCGGTTGCTGCATTCTCACATGCCCGCACAAGCGTTTTCAGGTGTCCCTGGTACGTCTTGTGGTGCAGGCCCCGATGAGAAATGTTCATGGAGGCACAGAAGTCTGCCAAGGCTGTCACTCCTTTGCCAATGGATTGGATCCCCTTCATGGCCCTCATGTTCACTTCAAAGGGAGTGATCTTTGCTGTTCCAGCAACCCTGGGAGAGGAGAACTGCTTCTTCTGGAAGTCGCAAGTGCTGCAGACGAGCACAAGCTTGACGGCCAAGCCGTACTCCTTGTCCGCGGCCTTGCTGAGCGTGAGAGATCCCACACCGCAGCTTCCACACCTCGCGTGCGCGAAGAGGTCGTTGAGGAGGACTTTCATGTCGACGATGACAAACTGGGTCCCGGCATCGCTTGTTTGGCATGATCCGTTGACTTCAAGCAGATCGAACTTCCGCTGGGTCGCCGACTTCTCCGATAAAACGCGCTTGCTTTGCTCCGATCGCTCGGCGCGCTGCGCTTGCTCGGCCGTAGAGTAGTAGGTAGAGTCGACGCGAGTGGTGCCGGCAAAACTTGAGCCATCCGGACCAGAGCTTGAGGCCGCAGCATCGTCAACGGGAAGGCTAGCCGATGGTCCCGGCAGATCCAATGCGTTCGGCAGTGGCGCAGATCGTAGCGGCGCACTTGCAGGTGATCTCTTCCGCTTGTTCCACGCACGTCGCGTCTTCCTCCCGAACGTCCGCCGCGTACTCTCTTTCAATCGAGAGTCCCCCGGCATCTCGATCGCTCGAAATAAAACTCCCGCAACTTCGTAGCGAGAAACCAACGATGTCCGACGCGAACGCGCGAACGTAAACGATTTCGAAACAACGTGCACTCAGCCGCGGAACGAGCAAAGCGACGGGCCAAAACGAAGCAGACGACGCTTCTCCACGCTCCCCTTGCGCTGCTGGAGGCGCGCGCGCCAAGAGGAGGAAAGGAGCAAAAGTGGAAAGGGGCGCGTCTTGGCCTATGACAGGCGCGCGCGGCACGACGTACCCGTGACGTACGCGCGCGGGCCAATGAGCAATCGTTATTCCGGTCGTGAAAACCCGCGAAATGCGGACGCTCTCCAAGGTTGTCGCGATAGTGAGTGGGATGAGGACGTAGGGAAGAGAACCAGCTCCCCAACAAGACCAAGATGGCCGCGATCCGACGATCGGTCGTGAAGCAACGCGGGCGCGCAGTTTGACTATTTTTTTGCGTTGGATTCGCGATTTGGGCGTCGCGGAGGCATCGTATTTATCGTTTTTTTTATACTTAGACGTCGAATAGGACATTGAAACTTCGCAGGCAGGTACTTCAGACTATATTCTATCCAAACATGTGATTTTTGAAAAACCCCAAATTTCGCGATTTTTTACCATTTTAAGACCCGCGTCTCGCCTTAAATATGGCGGCTGCCAGTGTTGCCTGATGGACTTTTGAAGAGGGTCCATTTCCAGAAATGAAATTCTCCAGACTTAGAATTAATGCAAAATAAAACATTCGTCATTTTTGCCGTTCGTAGCACGCCGTGCGACACCCTTGGCACAAACTCGACAGTGGTGCTTCTTGGCAGTTTGCCTGTGCAAATGATTAGCAAGCACCCAAATTTATGGCTAAATTTTGTGTCCCAAATGAGTGCATTTCAGCACACTATTTGTAGCTTTTCGATTCAAACATAAAAACGAGGAAAACCAGCAAACGCTCGTTTGTGCAAGCGGCGTTTCACTCTGTATCTCAAATGTCTATACGAGCGTTACAAGCTTTCCACAATCATGCTTTGCTGTTGCAGTCAAATTTTATATTGTATGTAAATTTTATATTAAGACTTTTTGTGTGTGCATCCTCCTTTGCTTTAAAACTTCCTGTATGCATAGTCCTTTTCTTACCTGCACTCTTGGGGTTGTGTTACGACTAATCTTCACCACCTCATTTGCCCCCCGACTTTCTGTTTATAAATTTACTCGCAGAAGCATTAAAATAGGTTTTGCAGTTTGTGTCGTGCCCACCATTGTGCTTGTTGAATGGCTAAAAGCCGACAGAAGCCAATCCTGTGGTTCCCCGACTTGCAGTGGTGGTGCACATGGAAGCAACGGGCAAGTGGCCCGACGACCTCGAAGCCCTCCGTCGGGTCAAGGCTGCATTTCACGTGACGCTCGCAAAGATGCTGCGGGAGAATGCCAAGCTTGTCACCACCGCACATCCCGAACACGTGGACGTTCTCAAGGTAGGCTCGAGCTTCCGACTTGCTTACGTGCGTAGAGGGAGTTGTTTGTTTTCTGAGTGCAACCAGGGTGGACTCTAGACTGCGAAGTAGTTTAGCGCAGAGGTGTAATAATGTGGTGAGTTTTCTGTAGTAATCTGCTTTGGGTGCATTGTTTCGGTTGTCTGCCTCGGAAATCGTCGGAAGTAGGTCGTCTCATTACCCGCCCTAGTCCACTGTGCTTTGGCACAGCTCACCCCGGACATTTAGCTATGGGTACTTTCCCGTTTGCTTCTGCACGGGGCCACCTTTAGCCTTAGCTGTGACTTTGACACTCGACCATTCAACAACCGTCCCTTCATGTAACCTAGGTCGCAGCATTTTCCGAATAAAGGTTGTGGACGGATGAGTTCACCCTGAGTGAAACCTTACAAACAAACGCATCATATTTGCACGTGAAACCCTGAAATAACATGATAAATCATTGTTACAATTAATCCTTTTAATCCTTTGCGGTCAGATACTCTGACCAACTTAATGGTAATTCCGGTCAGGAACTATTTTGGATGCGATTCCCTGGAAAAGTAAAATTATTTCACCTTACAAAGGTAACGTCTCACACTGAACGTAAGGACAGGAAAGTCCGGGAGATTGTGTACAAACTCTTGAACAATGCTTGTGGCGGGGTGGCTTCGCGGCCGCTGTCTTGCGCAGTCGTTTCATATTTATCACTACTTTCACTCAAGTCACAGAGGTCACCTCTCCATCATCTGATGGAGGGATACAGTCGTCCTCTTCACCGAAGTCGTCGCCACTTTCAATTACATCATGCAGATAGTTACATAAAATGAGCTTGGCTGGAACGTGGCTATAACCGTCGTGACAGCGAAGTTGAAATTTGTGCGCTTCTCTGTTGCGCAAAAAAACATACGACATAGAACATGTCTCTTTATTTTTTTTTAACTAGTCCTGCCCTTCAGGAGAAGCTCGAACCCTTTCAAAAGTGATGTGATTGAAGTGTTTTTCAAGAGATGGCATCACCAATCCATCAAAAAGACCGAAGGAGCATGTTTAAAAGGACGCGGGAACGCGTGTCAGGCGACGCCCGACTCCTGAGCGGGAGTGCGTTTCTCCGATGTCGAGCCTGGCCCGACACATGACCGCAAAGGATTAAAAAATGAGCACAATTGTTTTTTACTTGTTTATTTGTTATAATAAAATGCACCGCCACTTTAGGAAACTTATATCTGTGCTGTCCTTTCAAAGCTCTAAGTGTTGCTTTGTTCCAGAGGTCGGCATTTTAGGTCGCCCTCACTCACCCTCACCCTCACAGCTACACTCACGTTCAGCCGCTCACTCACCCTCACCCTCACGTCATACTCACCTTCAGCCCTTCACTCACCCTCACTGAACCTCACGGCCCTCACGCACTCACCGCCCTCACGCCCCTCACGCCCCTCACACCCCTCACCGCACTCACCGCACTCACGGCCCTCACGCCCCTCACTCACTCATGGCCCTCACGCCACTCACCGCCCTCACGCCACTCACCGCCCTCACGCCACTCACCGCCCTCACCGCCCTCATCGCCCTCACCGCCCTCACCGCCCTCACGGCCCTCACGCACTCATAGCCCTCACCGTCCTCACGGCCCTCACCGCCCTCATAGCCCTCACGGCCCTCATGGCCCTCACGCACTCATAGCCCTCACGCCACTCACCGCCCTCACCGCCCTCACGGCCCTCACGCCACTCACCGCCCTCACGCCACTCACCGCCCTCACGCCACTCACCGCCCTCACGCCACTCACGCACGGCACTCAGGCCAGCTTCAGATGGGACAATTTCGCCCAGCGACTTTACGTCGCAACACCAGCAACACGCGCCGCCCGCGATCACACGCAGCAACCAATTGCTGCAATTTGCCATTGTCATCATAAAATTTTATTTTTCTTGCACTATTTAGACACAATTACGCATTATAAACGTGTTTTTATGCATTTAAATCCCGTTAAGAATACTAATGCACCTTTCTGAAACAGTTTATTTCCAAAAAGGATTGATTTCAAACGAGAACCAAGTCTTTCGGTGTCGTCATCACCGGCATGAGGTATCACGTGAAAATTTTGCGTCCCTGATTAGATGCAGCCACTTCAAACGTATTCGAATTGCTTCGAGTTGCTTGCTTATTTCGAGCCGGACCCGATCTCAGCAATTCGTGTCGATCTAGGGAAAGCTAGAGAACAGCCAGCCATTAACACCAAAATTGCTGAGAAAGATGCTCGATCTAAAGGGGGCCTCACGCACTCACCGCCCTCACGCACTCATGGCCCTCACACACCTCATGCACTCACCGCCCTCACAGCCCTCACAGCCCTCACCGCCCTCACAGCCCTCACAGCCCTCACCGCCCTCACCGCCCTCACCGCCCTCACTGCCCTCACAGCCCTCACGGCCCTCACTCACCCTCACCTCACCTGTGAAGATGAGGGTGAGTGAGGGTGAGTGAGGGCCCTCATGAGTGAGGTTTGCCGAGGTATGCTTTGTTCACGCCTGTATAGTCTCTAAGGGGCAACGACGTTGAAAACGCAGGACGGCTTCGTCTTCCGGCTACGGATCGCGGCCCACAAGGAGATTGGCTTGGCTCGGCAGTCGGTCGGGCCGAACGGAGCTATTGCGATCAAGGACACTGACCTAAGCCGCAAGATTGAGTTTGAGACAGAGATCCTGCCAAGCCTGACGAGCACGCTGCACGGGTGAGGCGACGGTGGCTTTTATTATCTCTGTAGTTTTGAATGGTGATCTGCCCTGCAAAAAGCAATTGAGGAAATTTCTCTAGCATTCTGGGTGTGCTCTAATTTAAGGGGGGGGGGGACACTGGCTATAGATTTAACTTCTGAACTACTCAAGTGATTGGAATGAAAATTGCAGGGGAAATTTAACATAAGACGTAGGTGTATTGTGCAAATATTCAGCTCTCTAGGATAGTTTTACATACCTGCATAAGATACGTCACTTTTCATCAAGAAATCTCTAATATGCAAATGAAGCTATTGAGCACCGTTGTGACTACTTGAATATGAAGTGAGGGATGTGGGACTTGACATAGGACATGTCTGTCCTATGTCCATTTTTGAAAACAGTTTTTTTCCAATGAGGACTTCAACTTAAAACATAAATGAAGTAGATTGCCTGATTCCCCAGTAAATTTTAGTTCATAAACATCTTGATTGTGGTATCAGAATACTTTTACCCTTGAACAAAAGATTCCTTCATATGAAATTTGCAGCAAAAAGTGGAACTGAGAAAAATGCATTCAAACATTGAACTCTTTTACTTTGCTAAGGCCTCACACTGTTTTGAAAATATTTTATATTAATGTAACTGTTTGGCATATGGTTGTCAAATTTAGTGTAAGGGTGTATAAATAATTCCTAAATAAAAACCTCAAATTTAAAAAAAAAAAAAAAAATTGAAATTTAGGTTTATGTCCTGTAAGCAATCCCCTTTCTATGCTTACCTGCATTCCTCCTTTTAATCTTCAGATTTGGTCTTGCTGTTAGAAGGCATTGACCCAGAATGTCATTTTCTGCCTGACTGAAATAATAACCCCGAAAGAGCTTGCGCCTCTTAATTTTATGTTAGCACGGCCGTCTTCGAGCTTTTTCAGAGTCCCCTTGCTGAACCGCTGTCGCAATGCATCTGTGCAGGCTTCAGCAGCAGCACAGCACCTTCAGCGCAGCCTGCCGGCTCGCCAAGCGCTGGGTGGCCTCTCAGCTGCTGAGTGGTCACGTGACGGAGGAGTGCATCGAACTCCTGGTTGCTTCAGTCTATGTCGCTCCCGCACCCTACGCCGTTCCAAAGTGAGTGGGCCTGTTGGAATTTTTGGGCGGTGTATAGAGACCACCACAGGTTGGAAGTGCTAGTGGACCACTAGTCGAGAACGATGCAGTCAAGTGAAAAATAATTATATGTGAATGCAGGATTATTAAAATCTTGTGTGCTGTTCAGAAGACTTCAATGTGTTTGGAGTTTGTATGTTTTCTTCTCGGTTCCAGCTCCCCAAGACTGGGTTTCCAGAGATTTCTAGCGTTGCTGGCCAACCACGACTGGTCAAGGCAGCCACTTGTCGTCAACTTCGCTGGAAAAATCTCTAGTGAGTATTCATTTGGCCCTAAGAAGGGCATTTCATAAGGGGAGGGCTGCGTGGTTCAAGTTATACATTTATTAAACACCTCATTCAAATGAACAAAGAAGGTAGAAAAAACTAATGCGACAACACAGACCAGCAAGAATATGAAAAGCATTTTATAGGGTGGTCCAAGTCACCAGGCTCGATCTAAAATGGACCGTAAAAATCGACTTCTGTCGTAGCAATCTAAACTTTTCGTCAAAGGTGTATTTCACTGGTCGGTTTTTTCTTGTAAAATTACAAAGCGTAGCTCTTTCTGAAAAAAATAAGGCCAAGAAACTTGCCAGGGTCTACGGCGGGCAGCGATGCAGACGACAGGGGTCCAGTAGCGGGGTGTGTTTGGTGTTCGTTTTGATAGATGGCGCTACTTCCTTATCGCGACGGCTCGCGACCACCGTGGTTTATTAAAATGAACATGATCATTTTGAAATGTACCTTCGGTAAAAAAATAAATGCGGACAATAAAAGCAAAACTTGAAGTAAAAAAACACGTCTGCATAACGACGGCGCTTTTGCTGCGGATTTCGTCTGCGTGTCGTAAATAAAATAAAAAGTTCATAATTTTCAGTTGATACGATGGAATTGGGCAGGCTGTTCCATTCAACGATTGTCAGACAAAAGAAGCAAATTAGCATTTGTTGTGCATGTCTTTTCTAAGACCCAACTCAACTCGTGCTGTCACACGCAAGTTTTGTGGGGATTCTTTTATTTTTTTTTTTAATTCATTTATTCGTTGCCTACATTTCGCCCTGGGGGCATTATTGTATGGGGGTAACTTGCATGGAAACACAACAAATTCACAAATGGAAATGCAAAAAATATCAGTACATGCACAACAAGTAATGCTTGTAGCATGTACAACAGTACATGCTACAAGTAATACAATGTGCATCACAAAAAAAACTTAACACAGCATACACATATCTACTATAAGCTGCTAACATCAGTACAATGCAAAACAATACATTAGTCATGGTTCATGCTCATGTAAAAATGACTTAAAAGACAATCAAAAGTTTCATCCGAAGTCGAAACCACAGCTTCGGGGAGCCTATTCCACTGATTTATTGTTCATGGGAAAAATGACGATTGAAAAAACAAATGTGCGGATTGTTATTTCTCGTGTTTTCTTTGTGTGGTCTAATCTCTGGGAAGTAAACGTAGGAGGTTTTAGGTAGATGTTCCTATCATTGCTGGTACATTCACAAACCACTTTATCCAGAAAAGAGTACCTTGGTAACTTCCAACGAAGTTTGAGCGAGTCAGTTTAGAAAGAAAAGGCTACTGTTTTGTAATCAATGTAAGGTAAAATTGGTCACAAAATAAGCCTCACCAAGTTTAGGGGGTTGCACGCAAGAATGTTGTGGAAATTGCCTAGCTTAGACCTACCGACTTCGTCACCCGATAAAATTCATGCGGAAAAGCAAAATCCCAGAATGTTTTTGCCATTTGACATGGGTGCACGGCGGGAAAGCAAATTCCTGGAATGTGCATTTGCCACGACACTGGTGGACGACGGCCATCTCTCAGAATGTGCCTTTGCCACCAGACACGAGTGCATGGAGGCAAAGCCAACTCTCAGAATGTGCCTTTGCCTCCTGGCACTGGTGCACAGTGGGAAAGCCAGTTTCAGTATGTGCCTTTGCCACCCTGCAGTGGTGCGATGGTGCAAAGCCAACTTGTTGGATAGCCGTGGCTCAGAACTAGTCTCGCGAGAAAGCCAGCTTGTTGGCTAATTATGGCCGTAGAATTTTAGCCGCCTTTCACCCCCCTTTATTTTTATATTTTTTTCCCTTCCAACCTCAGAGGACGAGGAAGCAGACATCCACTCGACGTTTGTGGGTCAGAGGTCAACGCTTCCGCCCATGTTCCTTGCAACGCCCCTGGACGGTCAGCAGCGCTCCCGATGGACAGAGCATGCGCCCACGGGTCAGATCCTGCACCGCCTGGTTGCGCTGGCGAGGGAGTCGCTCCGGGTACTTGAAGGACAAGTCGCTTGTCCCCTTGAAGCAGACGTCAGAGTGAGCCCCTCTTTCGACTTCCTCGTTGTCCATGCAACGGACCTTTTTCAAAATTCACTGCCATCCGGTGGCTCAAAAAGCAGTTTTCGACAAACTAATGGCAGCCATGAAACTTCATTCCATTGGGCACCTTCACTTTCGCACCTCAATGGCAGACGAGGCTCTTCGATCACCTCGCAATTCTTGATTTGTTTCAGTTTTGAAGGTATCGGCATTAGAGCTGACTGGTACAAAGCGGAGACCCATCGGCCATTCATTTAAATTTCTGCCATTGAAAGGCTTTAGAGCCAAACTTTTGCAAAAAGATTGATTTGCCCATGCACTCCGAAACAAACGCTTGCAGCAGTCGTATCTAATTCATGCATCATGTCGAACGTAAAATAGAAGGGCTCTACAATTTTTGTGTCGGGCAATCGCAGGAAAATTATGATATGATGGTGATTGAAGTTGCCAGACTGAATCTCAAAAAGTGCCTACCGGACGGTCGGAGTGGAGGCCGTGGGTCTTGGACCTGTCGCTAACTGTACCGTTCGAGTTTGAAGCTAATTGTTTTCGTCTCTTATCCGACGCAGCAAATCTTTCGGCCGCCGCTGGATCCTTACGACGTCATCATTCACCTGGATGAGCGAAGGCTTCCCACAGCGCACCTGGCAGTCGACTGCAGCCACCGAACGACACTGAAACGACGGAAGGATGACTGCATGCCCGTCGTCGACTTCGACATCGCCGCACTTTACGTGCAGGCACTTCAGGTTAGCCGCTTGAGGTGTTTCAAATACGCTTGGGGTTGCAAATTTATAGTAGGCTCTTTCGACTTACCTGCACTAGCTGCACTCTTTTTTTTACATTTGCCTGAAGATATTTGTGTTGCGACATGCCCCACGTTATAGACCAGTTCACGAGTACAAGATTGTGCAAAGTAGGGAAAGAAAGCCATGTTGCGGGCGGCAGTTTACGAACATTCACTACTTTTTTTGTTACAGTGTAGCTGATCGAGACTCGTTATTGTATAAATAAAAGGTCGTAATTTTCTAGATTTGTTTTTTTCTTTTTTTTTCTTTTTAAGGAAAACATTTGCCCCTTTTAGAACCTATGTCTGAGACTGCCACTTGCCATATTTGATTTGCAAGTGCAGCCCCTCTTAGAGCATACCGGAAGCACACTGTCTTGCACTTAAACGCAGCGTGCTTCGCTTTTCTGCACCGGTGTATGCTGTGCAGGTAAACCGAACGAACCCAGTGAAGCATCGGGAAATGTGAAAGGCAGCGCCAAATATTCCTATGGCATCCGTGCCACTTTACAAACATTAGTGCAACGGAACCGAACACACCATTCTCATCTCGTCTGTGATTTTGGATTCGACCAGAGCCGTTCACAGAACGAGTTTGAGAAATGAAAAGGGGGCGAGGATTGAGCTTTCGGCCTCAGCAATGCTAAAAACGGAGGGGAGAGTTCTGCTCAGAGCCGCGTTACCACTTCAGGGAAACGCACACTCGTTGCCGTCGTTTGGTACCTCGGGGCAAATGTGACGACGACCGTTCCGCCCCCCTCCCCCCCGTCGCCGTGCGGGCAGTCTCGACAAAAGTCCACACTCTGCGTTACGTATGTGTGGGTCCCTGTTTGACTTTTTGCTCTTCCCCCTGGTGGCGCCTGCAGGAAACTTACGGGGATCTGGCCCTGTTCTTCTACGATCGTTACGGTGGCAATCTCGTCGCGGTCCTGTGGAAACCACACGCCTTTCAGCCACTACCCTTCAAGGTGAGGGCCTGTTTCGTGGCGCCAAGCTGGCAACAAGCGTTGGAACCGTCGCGCATTATCAAATCGGTTTTTCTTTTGCGTGCCTCCGGTTTTTCGTTGCTTTGTTCTACGTGCGGGTTCTCAAACTGGCTTCCCCAGAGTGCCCCATAAGGATTCCCCAGAATGTCCCTAAAAACTCCCCGAGCTCTCAAATGTCCTCAACCATCCCCGCCTCCAAGTGGTTTAGGCACTGTCTTAGTACACCTGAGCCGCCAAGATGTTCTAATTCATGGGCTAGACACTCCCTGTAATCTGCATTCTCGCTTGCGAAGCCTGTGAACTATTATCCTGTTGTATTGTGTCAATACAGCAGTATAACCCCATCTTCCATGAATGGTAATTAAGAACTCAAAAGGGTTTCTTGGCCGCCATTTGTCGTTCTTCGAGATAGAAAAGTTGAGTACCCCTGTTCTACGCTATGTAGGGACCCACAAATTCATAAAGAATGCTAAATTTCAGTAGACATAGCCATGTACAATGTTTTGAAGTTTTGAAACTTCAATTTTGCTCATCCAAATTGTTGTTTGCATTTTTTGTTGTTTTTTTTTAGGAAAAACTGCGGCTCTTTATTGAGAGCCATACCAGGAGTGACAAACAATGTAAAAATATATAGAAAAAAGGACATGCTCGGAAGAGCGGTCTAAGTTACTATACAGAAAGAATGTGCTCACAAAAGTGGTCTAATTAGAAATGTCTTTAATGGCATCGGTAAATTTGTCAATTGAAGAAAGTGTTACTACTTCATTACCTAGCAAATTTCATGTATTGCCAAAAGAAATCAATATTTGAAAACATTTCGTTTAAATTTGTACTACTGGATAGGTTTAATATGATCTGGTGGAGGAGAATGTGATATAAATATCAACATCAAGGTTAAATTTGCTACGAAGCAAGGAATACAAGTATTTTAATCTGCTAATTGTTGCCCTAGCTCCTAATGTTTGAACGTTGGCTCGTTTAAGCAAGGGCGATGTAGACATTGTTTCTGAATGCGTTGAGTAAATCTAACGCCCTTCTTTGGGACGCCTTCCAGTTTTCTCAATCCATCTGCTGTGTGGGGAAACCAAGCGTTTATGCCCAAGTACTGGCTTTGTTTCAACAGTTATCGTCTTGGCGCTAAGCGCACTACTTCCAAACAGAGGCCTTCCTTGACAATGTCTTGCATTAAAATGAGATTCAGCGCATCATTCTAAACCCCAAAAGATTTTAATTTAAAGATCCGCGGGAGCTCTGTCAGATGAGAACGGCGTTGTGGCTGTCATCTGTATTCGTATGTGTTCCAATAATTTTTGTTTATGCACTAGATTCATCTGTACCTCCGTGTATCTTTGCTGCACAGGTGTCCCAGATTGGAGGTCGGACGCTGAATGCAGAGGGCAAGATGGTACCCAACGTGGAAGCCGTCTTGGAGGACTTCAGCACCTTGGGGAAGGGACTGGTCACGTCGGTGGAGACACACACCTCAAAGTGGACCGTCTGACGGAAACCACATTAAAAATAAAAAGATTTTAATATCGCGCAAAGTTCATTTTTTTGTGTTTGCTTGTCTGTGGTTTTGCCTGTTCGAGGGACACAGACGAATATCACTCGCGTTTCGCGTGGCTGGCCGCGTGCCTGCTGGATAAGTGGAACCTTTAGTGCCAGTGGTTCTCAAAGGGGGGTCCGCGAAGCCATGCCTCATCAGTCAAGTCTGGCAATAAAAGTTGTTTTTTCTTAGATTGAGAAGAAACATTTCAATTTTTGGGTGACTTCTCTCATGTGTATGTCATTCAGAGAAGTCTACTTTACACTAGCCCTTAGTTATATCCATTTAATGAATCATTTTCATAATTAACCTTTCCCTCACCACGAAAGAGATCCTCCATCATCTCCGCTGATGCACAAGGAGTCCGTGAGACATCAATGGTTGAGAACCACTGCTCTAGCATAACCCGACACTTCACAGATGGTTTAAGTCTTCCTAAAATTGACTGGTTTGATGATGCTAAGCATGTTTGCAATTGCATCAATATGTTTAATTTTGCTTATTTATATGTTGATTATAAATTTGAGATAATTTAGCTAAATAATATTAATAAAAATGAATATGCCATCTTTGAGGTCTGCCGTGGCTGGCAGTTTGTTCTAGAAAAGTTTTTTTTAGGGGCAAAGCTCCTCAGGGCCGAGCCATGTCTGTCCACCGTGGGGTGCACGTGCTCCTGCTCGTAAGCTCGCGCACTCACGTGCTTGTGTAGGGAAAAAAAAAAAAAAAAAAAAAAACATCTCCATGTGATGAATGATGTTGATTGTGGCTAAGCCAGCTAAGCTCTGGTGGTGCTTGTCTGCGTAGACTGAGAGCCGCAGCATGCCGAGCCTTTCGTTCGTTCTCATCCATGTCAGAAAGAGAATGTGTGGTATGGAACGTGGTTATATACGCATTTGACCGCAGCGTGACATGGATGAAAACGAATGAAAGGCTCGGCATGCTGCGGCTTGGCGTCTACGCAGACAAGCACCACCAGAGCTTCACCCCAATCAACATCATTCACCACCGTGGAGATACGGTTGTTTTTTTCTCACCCAACCTAGTCTTGGGCATTTTCGAAAGTATTAGCAAAAACACCCAGTACATGTAACAATATTTTTTTTTTTACACCGAGTTTGCATACGTGTAACTTCTTTTCCTAAACTCGACACTCCAAGATCCCCTATTATATGTGGTCTCGTTATTTGTAGGCCAAAAAATAAGATTGTGAAACAAAAAAAAAGAAAAAGCTAGGAAAAAAAAAAGCCTGATGTAGTCTTCTAAATCTGATTGTCAAGTGTGTCGCATATATAGTAGAATCAAAACCTATCCATTTTAAAATGCTGCCGCTTAATAAAAACTAAATTGCAAGTGACCAGTATTAAGAAGCACTGCCCTGGAAAAAAAATAAAGCACTGCAAATAAGCAATAAGGGATTAACAGTATTTAATTTTTGTTTTTCAGTGTAGAGCGACAAAGCAGGTTGAAATTGGTTAAAACTCTAAATAATGTGTGGACAACTTTACAATACAACTACATACTTCCTTAGCTAATGAAATAAAATGCATACACCATGCAACGGTTCAGTCGAGGACGTGCGCCATTTTATTGGAGACGGACAAAACGCTTGAAACGGATGCAGGCGCCATTGAATCACAGGAGGATGCGGTACTTCTCGGTACGTGGAACGCGGTTCAGGACAAGCCGTCCGTCATAGCTGAGCGATGCAAAGAGCCAAGGGTCTGCTGTGGACCACTGCACTGCATAGACGCTGTCTTCATGCTCCTCGTAAGTCGCAATCACGCCGTCCTTCTCGCATTTCCTGCAACGAGTATTCCGGTTTTGACTAAGTCGCACGGTCGGGAGGCATGGAATGACCGGAGGGGGGGTAAAGACGAGAGCAGAACGCGGCGAATCCTAAGCACCAACATCAGTGGTCCCCAGAGAAAGAAAGACGAAACGTTGGGCATTCTTCATTTTGCCGCGACGAGTTGAAGTTGCTCGAGCGCTTGTCGACCTTATTAACTTTTATATGCAATGCATGATTCTGGTGCTGTGATGTTCTGCTGCTGCTTTGTGCAAATTAAGGCGTAGACCACCGACTGGGACCGCTAATGTCCACATCTATGCCCCACCGTTCCAAAGCAGCCCAAATGCTTGGGACCTTTCCTTCTAGGAAAGGTCCTAAGCATCTACGGGAATGACAGCTGAGAGGTGCCACCATCTAGTGGCAAGAAAGCAGCTGACAGAGACAATACCTAGCTTCACCATCTTTTTTTTTTTGTCTTTTCGACAGCAGTACAATATAATTTTTCGCCACGTAAAAGGACTACGTAAAAATTTAGTGCCTCATTTTTGAGCAGACGACACCCAAAGAAAGGCCTCATGTGGGCGGACAATAGTTTGGTAGTACTGCGACATCTTGGCGGAATATCGCTGGCACCACCGCTAAACCTGGCCGTTCTACGATGCCACCTACCGAGCTGGACCAAGAACCCAGCCGCACGTCTTAGACTCGACTACGGTGCCTGGAATGCATCTTCAACCGGCGCGTTCAGTGTCCCATACTGCCCGAGCATCAAAAGGGTCCCGTACTGGTAACAGATTACGTTTCGTGAGCCGACGTCGTGGACCTGACAATAGGTCATAGAAGTTCTGGCGAAAAAGGACAAGCGAAGGCAAGTGTCATGGCGTCCCAACTAGTGCCTGCCAAAGTTACTGCGTACCGTCGGGTCGAAGAGCGAGCTACAGTGGAACAGTCTGCCTTGTCCACGTTTGTGGACAAAGCAGACGCCGTGTCCACAATAGTGGACACTCAGAAATCGAGGGTCCACTCTTGGGGACACTGTAAATGCGCCGGTTGGAGACGCATTCCAGGCACTGCGACGCGGCAGTTTCTCTCTTTCACCCAGTGACGTACCTCTCTCTATTTTCGTCACCGCCTTCCTCCTCCTCGTCAACAAGGTGCCCGAATGGCTCTGAGGACACTGAGGCCACCCTGGACAGGGTCACTCTGGAGTCGCTGCTCGACGTCAGCACCAGCTGGTCGTGGAAGTGGTTGAAGCGCACGCTCCACACCCTGCAGGGGGTGAGCACAGAAGGGTGCTGGAGGCAAAGGCAAGCTTGCACAGCTGCAGGGCAGGCGACGCTTGTACCGCACTAATAACACCATCGACAGTGTTTCTCGAATGCGGGCCTTTAAACCGGCGATTTATAGAAGGGCTGTATTGTTTTGTTCCACCGCGGGTCATTTGAACAAAAGGCAGGAGTGCACTTTTCATTATGCAAAGCCAGTCAGAATAGATACATCACACTGGTCAGTTTCGTTATACCACCGTTGTCACAATGTGTTGTGGAAACTAGTCGTTTCCAGACGTGCAAAAACGTCGCTGCAGCTCTGCGCAGGCAGAGAACGAGATGGTACGAGCTGCCTTGGGCACTGGTATCTGCCTCCTCTGGACCACAGTTGTGGTGGTGCCATGCATGCGTGGAACGCTTAGCGATATCGGTCTATTGGGAACAGTTGCTGCGCAACAACGTGGCAGCCATGATGTCACTCTGACAAAGTGGCTCTAGCTTCAATGAGAGTTGCTCTCGGTGGAGTAAACAATGTAAACATACTAGTTATATGCCACATAAATTTAGCTCGAACGGTATATCGAGGAACCTTAATTTTAAGGGCTTGGTTGGTGCCTTCGATGAGCCCTTTCTGCTATGCGAGTGGTTTTGATGACAACCTTTCAGTCATCAGAGAAAAATAAAGAAATTGTCATGTGATGTTAATTCCCCAACTAAATTTAGCAGCGAAACTAGATTTATGTATACGTCATGTGACGTGATACATGACGTCAGTTTCTTCCTATATTTGGCGGTGAACGGCCGGACAGACGGACAAACTTTTGGAATTGGGGATTCCGTTAGAGAGCGTTCCACTACAGAAATAACGGAGAACATACTGGCAAGCTGGTCAACTTTGTTTCAAAGTCTTGGGTTCTCAAGATGTTGGAACCCATCCATGCTTTACAAAAAAACTGGTGAAGGCTCGTTTGAGCCAACTGCATTTCCCCACAAGGGTGCATATCCCAAACATAATCCAAACCCAAGACCGCAGATAAGCAAGAGAGAACACATACACGAAAATTCTCCACGAGACTTCTCGTGAATGTGTCGAGCTTTGCTTACCTGCTGTCCCAGGGTTGTGTTACGTCTTATTTTCACCAACTCGTTTGCGCCCTGACTTTCGGAGTGCATCTGGCTGTTGGCAAGGCTCTCTTCTGGGTTGCCGGCCTAGCCTCGGGGGAAACGCGGGTTCGGCGGCGCGTCGAAGGGAGTGGGGGCCCACCAGTGCGAGTGGTTGTCGAGGGTGAGGGCGGGAGCCCCGGGGCTGCGCACGTCCCAGAACTTGGCCTGGCAGTCGTCCCCACACGTCGCCAGGAAGTACTGCCGGTTGGGGTTGAAGTCCAGCTCTCGCACCAGCTGGCCATGGGCCCCCTCCAATTGCCATGCCTGCCTGCAACGTCCAATCCCACTTCGTGTCGCACCAACATGTTGCACTGCCCAGTTCTATCGTCGTGTTGTGCGGTGTCGGGCAGAAAAGTTGACCGCATTCTTTTCACTGCAGAAAAACTGTACGCATCACCGAATGCTCGGTCTCCATCCAAACATAGTGCTAGTGATCGCCACCAGACGCTAAAGTTTCGGCACTTCCATCCGATTAAAAAGTCGTAAACCATTTTCGGGAATTTCCAACGAGGAAATGGCAGCCCGCAAAGCCCACCGATGCTACACGAAAATAAGTGGCCTCTCCTGCCGGGAACAGGGCCCTATTTCCTCATTGAAGGTTTCCATAAATTACTTTTTCTTCTATACAAACCCGGTATATCTCGTTCCACTTGTACTGGCATACGTAACGTCTCGCTTACAAATACGAGCATTCTCCATTTTTACGTGTTGCCAGGCCATGTCAATGTTCTTCGAAGACCTGATGCTTCTACGTCGATGTGGTGTTGCTATATATGTTCCCACAAGACCTGTGTTCAACAGCGTCCAGCAGAACCAAAAACTCCGCCCTTCGATTCTCCGCCCATTCTTTTTGGAATTCACGAAATGCTCACGGATGAGGAAGATGACAATGTAAATCTATGTCTCGTTTACTTTTTCCTTGCTTTCATTTTCCATTTAGGGAGAAGTTTAATCCATTAAGACACTGCAATCGATTGGGACTGCAGTGTTTAGGCCTGAACAACTAACTATGGTCCTGCTATTGAGAAAGCCTAGTTTTAAGGAAAAGGCTCACTGCATGGAGCGGAGGTCAAAGGCCTTGACGCCTGTGTCCACGGCCGCTGCGACCAGGTTGCAGCTGTGGTGGGGGTTCCAGGCAGCACAGGTCAGCTTGGGGTTCCCCTTCAGCTCCACCGTGATGCACCCCGTGAGCTGAGAGTCGGTTTCGAAAGTCTTTGTAGTGTAGGCCTTGCAACACAGGCCCAAGCAACCTGAAGCTCGGTCACAATACGTCGAGCGCGACGACATCTTCCTTTCAGGTAGACCATTATCCGAGCTTGATGATGAGGGCGATTGACGTCGTCGTGCGACAAATACTTGAGTAAAATTACAGTTCAAACGACGTCATAAATCTCGATACCCAATTCCCCGCTGACATGTATCTAAGTGCGTCACGATATCATTTTTATGTGACTAGAGGTGAAACGGTATTCTGAATACAAACAGAAATGTGGAAGGAAGTATAAACTTGCTGCAGTATAAGATCTATGTATCCACGGAACAACAAACTGGTCAATCAGTAGGTGCCCCATTCCGCGGAAACCGTAGACGCGGTCACGTTTTCTACATTAATCTATTAAAACTTTTCAACCATAATAACGTAAAATATTGGGCAAGTGCCCACTCAAACTTTGGAGATAATTACTTGCAAAAAAATGGGGGATGGGCGCTTGTCCGGTCGTCAATTTTACATATAAATGTACTGCGCATATTTTCTGAGATCTTACAAATTTTGGTAATGGGTGCGTAATGTGTACTGGGGCGAATGCGCGGTATATGGTAGACCCTTTTCGAAATTTCAAAATGATGCATAGATTGGTCCTGCACTGTGAGCTCACATTAGACACGAGCGCTTCGCCAGCATTTGGAGTGAACTCGGATCGAAATGCATTTTACTTGAGTGCTGTGTCGAAGCTCAACAAGAACTTAGAACCAATCACCGGCTTCACGCCGGAAGCAATGAGACCAGCTAATGGTGGCTGTGCATAATATATGCATAATTTCACAACTTTGGAAAAGGTCTATTCACATTATAAAGCAAAAACATAGCAACCAGGAAGGACTGAATCCAGAACCACCGGCTTTTAAAATTGAGGATCACAAGCTTACAACGACTTTGTCGTGTCCATGACTGGAACGGTTTCAAAGCCGCTGTTGCCGACACTAGATGCAGTCAGTTTTCGAGAATGGGCCCTTTCTATTCAGCTTTAGCAAAGGCAAATAATGCAATTAGCCTTACCGTGGCCGACTCTCCAGCCGTGGCGAGATCCCAAATGAGCAGGTTGTTGTCTGCGAGCGACACTAGCCGGTTGCCTTCCATCGGCTCCCAAATGACGCTGTTAGGCAAAAAAATGGCGGACATTTTGTTGTGTAGTATATTCGGACACCCCTGCATATGGATTCTCCAGACGTCGGTTACAAGCGAAATAGGGCGTACCGCGGAACTTCGGTGCCATATTTACGGCACTCCAGTTTCGTCAGTTTCTCGAGGTACGGCAGCGACGCAGAGGTGTCATCCGGAGGAGACAGATTCCCCGCCGACGGGACGTCTGGCAACTTCCAAATGGCTGCCTGCATCTCGCATTTTCCGGTTTTCGCTGCAGTTGCGATGGCAGACAACAAAGAATGACAATCTGCTCTGGTGCAAATAACTCGCTGCACGACACAAAAAAAGGGTGGCACCCGCCTTGCCGATTTCGTAGCAGACGACGTTCCAAAGATTGAACTGTGATGCTCTTCGTCGTGCAATTCTAAAACTAACATTCAAATCTTCGGAGCTAGAGTAACGAGCGAGTCGAGAAGAATAATCCGGGCCAAATTAAGACACTACATTAGATTTCAAAATAAATTTTTTCTCAAAAGGCACTCCTAGATATAACGACTTCGTTGAAACTTTAGTCACTGACAGAGCGAGAATGGCAGGGCATGTCACGGGAACGGCAGTGAACGGCCTTTCTGCCGTTCTCACCTTGTGGGAGACTATATAGTCAGCAAGCTACAGTAAAGCAGGCTATAACAGGACTGCATGATGTATGCACTTTTCAATCGAAGGTAGGATGTATCTGTAAGGAAATATGCCCAATACCGCTACCTACAGATTTCATTGTAGCACGACGAAAACAGTGTCTTGTCTGTTGGCGAACAGCCCAGATGCCAAACCTCGCCGGCTCCATGGAGGTAGACTGCCTTATTCAACGAGTTGGTCTCTTCGTTGTACACTAAAACATGGATCTGCAAATTCGAAAGTCATAGCTTATTTCAAAAGTCAATGGTGTAAATTAAATTATGTTCGACTTGAGCTCGGCAGGTCAATCATTATATTTTACACAGTTTCTAGAGTGCCACATGCAACCCTTCTGAAACATACGGCAAACCTACAAAGTCATGCTGAACCCTGATTGGCTAGAGTTGAGGAAAGAACGTAAAGGTAGCCAATCGTATCAATTGTGCTCGTGTTGATTTCGAGCATAGACCAATGGGAGCTCGAGTTCTGTTTTGAGTAGAGCATGATTTGGGGATGTTCAATGTAGATGCACCAGTTACCTGATTCTCAGATTTGAGCGACTGTGTGCCAACCAGAAAGCAGACGATGTCGGTTTCAGCAGTCAGCGCTGCCAAGGACCGGGACTAGGGGATGTAGAATAAATAGACGGTCAATGCATGCTGGTTACCGACTTGTTTACCGCACTCTTTACCTGAAGCTCCAATCCATAGATGACAGCAGCTTCGTCTTCCATACCTTTTAAATTTTATTGGCCCCTCACGGACGAAGGACCAAGCTTAAATCTGATATCCCCCAAACGCGCCTACCTTCTGCAGTAGTTGTAGCACCCTACTGAATGCGATTACACGGTGTTCGATTGGATTGGATCAGCAGAATGATCTGCTCGAGGGTATATAAAATTATACAACTTGATTAGTATTGCTGTGACGTGTTCATGCTGTCTTGTATAGCGTATATTTGACACATTACTGCGACAACAGCCATGGAAACTGTCCACGCAGTTCGAGGAACCAGCAGAAGCAGAGTTAGCAGACAGCTTTGCCCGCCATTTTGAAAACTGACGTGCTAATGATGATGAAGATGAAAAACAAATTCAGCAACGAGGCGTTTGTTCAAAACTTAGCGACAGTCAACTCAAACTCGCCACAAATTTCATACGACAAAATTATATTTTTCTCAAGGCTTTGCGTTTGGCTAGGTTGAGTTTTCTGAACTGTGATTGTCTGATAATTATCCGATACGAAGCATGTAGCCATCATGATCCAATTGTATTCAATCCAATCCTGCTCGTTTGCAGTTGGCGAGAGCCGGTGGAGCGGTCATCGACGGTGTTTACATGACGTTTGTGCACCACCGGTGATCAGGCCACAATTCATTACGTTCGTGGTCAACTCCAACCAAACACACGGACCACACAACCCACGACTGTTCTCAGTCTGCCCCGTCGGCGCGTCGGACACGCAGCCATGTCCGAGCCCGTCGAAAGTTGCACCAGCAGCGGCCCGGGCGCCGATCCTGACTCGTCGCAGAGCTCGGTGCGTTGCGGCGACGACGACGACACGGCCAACATGGAGACCGTGGCACTGGACACCACCGACATCTACCAGGAGCTGGTGCAGGCCGACGAGGCCGGCCACGACATGAGCATAAGCCTGGTGAGTGTAACTCGTGTTGCTGAACGTAGTAACATACTCCACCCACCTCTGCGGCTGTTGTGTTATATTAGTGATCCTTTGCGACGAAATCTGGTGGCGTCCGTACGCAAAAACCCACGTAACTGTGGGGCGCGCGCCGCGCTATCGCTTTCTTCTCATCGCCGTCGCCCCTTGCGCGACCACGTCGATGCGCTGTCGCTTCCCCCTTGCCTCCGCCCACACTGCAGCAGCTTTGAAACTGCAAACGCAGCCGCCATTTCGGGACGTCTACAAATCGGAATATTTCAACCAAAGCTTCGCCAGACCATGACCCGTTCGCGTCTCGTCCAAACACCGCTTCGCTTCAAACCTGGTTCCCCTCGAGCAGCCTACATGACTAACGTCCTGCAACTCGCCCTTGTTCAGACCAAAGAGCCTTTTAAAACTCCACGTTCTTTCGTTATGAAAGAGAGTAAAGGTCCGTACAAGAAAGCAAGCGATCGTGTCTTCATCAGTTCCAATGTTTGCCCACCGGACACGTCTGCAAAGACAACAACATAACTCTGCAATCAATCACCAAAGTGTTTTTGTGTGTGTGTGTGTAAACATTGGAATGCGCTCATCAGTTGCCTGCTTGGCTGTCCGATGTGCGGAGTGGTCGCTTGTCCTTTGCACCCAGGTTGAACCGAAGAACAGCGTGAATTGAATGCTGGCAGATGTTAGGGGATCACATTTGGGTCTTTCGATTCACAATTTAGGTGTTCTAACTGCCACGAATTTGTTTTTATGTTTTCTCGGAAACTTGCTTTACAGCGTGCCATCACAAAAGTTCCTTATGTGCAAACCATGGTTGTAGTGCAAACTTACCTTGATGAAACACAGTTGCCTTCATATGATTGAAACAGGACTTCGTGGGGACTGCGGCTTCGGGGGACGATTATAATGAGCTGTGCACTTGCGTCTGCAACAGGATTCAGACCCGGGGAAGGAGGCGGACCTGAAGCGGTACTTTGCGCACACGCCGACGGATGCGGCCCCCTGCTCCTTCTTCGACTCGCTCTCGGTGAGCACGTCGCCCATGATGAAGAGCGTGTCGGAGGCGAGCATGGTCCAGGCGGCCAGCAGCGTCCAGGATGCCATCCCAGAAGCCTTGGCCCAGTCGAGGCCCCTGGAGGAGTCCGGTCTCTTCTTCTCGGTCGGAGAAACGCCCGGCGAAGAAGCCACAGCCGTCATCGCCCAGGAGGCCCTGGAAGGTAGCCGGGGCTTAGCCGATCTGCGGCAGAGCGCGTAGTTGGGCCAGTTGGCGCTCCGTCAAATGCAGCAAACGTGCGATAGCACTTGGTTGGGATTTTAACGAGTAACACTTCCTACCGAAATTTAGCGGCTAGATTTCTTCGCTAAATTTAGTGGGTGAATCACGACGTCGTTCGAGACCATGACGTCTTACGCCACCATGATGTTACGTGACACCATGGAGATTTCCCCAGTAAATTTAGTGGGGAAATTGATGTCACATGACCCGATGTCATGTGACTTTCAGGTGCTGCAGGTAATCTACGAAATAACCAAAGCTAGTAGAAACGACGTGTCCTGCATTCATTCTCCGCTTTGTCCTCTTGTCCTTGGTGTTTTACTTTTAAAACTAAAGGCCCGTTCGCTCAGACACGTTTGCTAAAGTCCGGGTTCTTCGTATCTCTTACGACTTAAAGAGAATGCATCGACACGCTGTCACCATCTATGATGTGATCCTGGAACCGCATTTCACTAGAGTGAAGCTTTTGCGGTTTTTGCGAGATTAAATGTGTGCACTATTTATGAGAAGTTATCGTTTAGAACATTGTCAAAAGTTTTTGGAAAGGATAATGTGTGTAAAATATTATGTCAGATGTGTGAACCACAAGTTTGCTTTTGATGCCAGGCACGGTGGAGTTCCACTCCGCTCCGGTCCTGGAGGAGGTGGAGTCCATCCAGGCGTCGTCGGAGCCGCCGGCAGACACCCGGGCAGCGAGCAGTGCGGACGAGGGTCCATCTCTGAGCAAGTTCTTCTCGAGCGACTGCAGCGGAGGCGACCAGGAGGGCAAGGCCTTCTTTGACGTCCTTGCTGCAGAGATTGCTGGCGGGGACAAGTCCAGGAGGTCTTCCGGAAGTGCCAGCCCACTCTCTATGGTCCAGGTGATTCTTTGGTGGAGTTCTGTCCGGAGTCGTTGCGGGCCCAGCGGTCTGGCGCTGAGTGCTCCGAGCCATGGAAACCTTTCTTGCCGGAAGGGACGTTGTCTGCTTAGATTTTGGATGTGGAAACGTCTACGGCTCAAAACTCTCACAAATCTAAAGAAAGATCCTAAGTCCAAAAAGTTTGCAAACCCACCGCAATCCTAGCGCCAGGGGTCGTGTGACTAAACATGTGCACTGATGTTCAGTTTCTAAAGTGGTGTATCACACTGAAAGCGTAGCTTTTATGCTGCTCTTTAGGCATTGTAAAGCCTGTTTTTCTAATGGGATGATGTCACTTGCGAGCAGCGTCCACTTTTGTCTCCGAGGCGTCGTCCTTTTTATTTTGTCTCTTAGCTAATTTTCAGATTCGCGAACCGTGATGTGTTCAAGTTAAAGCCTCTCAATCTTAGCGATGCTAAGGCTGAGTGTATGTACAGTATATGACTTTATTTTTGCAGGCTTGATATTTTGCAAGTTTTGCAGAGCGTGGGTTTCGGGAACATTTTGCGATTAAGAATGGAATTTCACGTATTCGTTCGTTACCTTGGGCCGACATGTTTGTATGATCACTTTTGCATACCGTTTTTTGAGTTACGAAATTTGTGGAGATCAGGTCGTCGCGAAAATTGCGTTGTTTCCTGTAATCAAATCTGAGTTGATGTCATTCTGCGCTGCCACCAGCTGATGGACAGACTCTGACCACGGGCGCTCGGAACGTTTAGAGACGGGCACGTTCAGCTGAGCACACGTTCTGATACATAGTTGCACTGGCAATTTCAATGGTCGTTGGAGCTCTTCACACATGGATCGGTCCAGCACCATTGCCGTACTCTGCTCCCGTTCAGAGTGCCATACAGTTACTTTCTTCATACCGCAAGGGCTGCAATTGCGTCATTTCAGGAGTCGTGCCTCATTGCCGACGCGCCTCCGACGGACGACGGTGACCTCTGCGCGTACGACAACTGGTTGCCGTCGGCTGCGACGCGGGAATTCTTGGCGCGGCTGGCAACTTCGGAGCCCGGGACCGTGTTTCCGGATCGGGAGCACCTGACCATGCCCGGAATCATTGTGGAGGAACCGCAGGTAGTGCCAGGGAGGGAGGTTTTCTCTGGGTGTTCTGTAATTTTACTGTCATAGATGTAATCCGGTGTTGTCTTCCGTTTCTGGCTTTTATTTCTGAGGATGATCAACATTTATTTCGCTTGGATGACGTTAAAAGTCGTCGGCCTTTGTTTCACATTAAAACTTGTCAGGTTTTCACCCACGAGAACACCTCCACAATCTCTGCTTAAAAGAATGCTGGAAAATCTCTTGGAATGCTCGCAAACTACGACTGCAGAATGATGTCATATCATTTACCTGCTTCGCTCTATGCACTGCAAACGTCTGCTTTATATAGCACTGATCAAGAAAGAACAGGGGCTCTTTTTTGTATTCTGTTCTTAGTAGTATATGCTCGCTGACCAAGCCCCCATTCTTCTTATACTAGTACTTTCTTTTTTTTTGTCCGTGTTTCTTTGGCGGGCACGATAAAACACATTCTGTCCTGCCTGTCACGAAGGAGTGTGCAGACACTGTCAAACCTTAAGGGTGCATTTATGCTTGCAAATTCTCAAGAGGATCCGCACCGGCAAAGAGCAGATTTTGGAGCCGGATGGCGAAATCCGCTCGTCGCTGCCAGAAAATATGGATCGATCCGGGGCCCAATTTTTTCGGCGGGCGAAGCATTTCACCTGATGCAAACCAATCAGTGTTTACCGGAAGTTACGTTGTGCAGTGCGTCCTTCCGTTTTTTTCTAAATGTTTATAGCAATGGTGTTGCTCACGGCTGAATAAACATTCACCTGCCAGGACAAGAAAGAAGGCAGCATGCACGCCCAGTCGTTTGGCAGCATGAATGAATCTCCACCGGCACCGCTGCTTCTTTGGCGTGCTCTGCACCTTCTGCTACACAGCAAGTAGTGCGCACGGGAAATGAATGGTGGTGATCTTGGAAGAGCGTGATCATGTAGCTAACATGATTGCCCGTGTCTATGTTTCGATCACCGTCGCCTCTTCGAGAAAAGTCTACTCAAGTAATAAATTGTGCGTACCTTATGATGAAAAGTAATCCGTGTGGCACTTATTTGGGTACTATATAAAACCACCATCACTTTGCCGCGAGTGGCTGCGTTTGACACCGTCCACACCATGACCGGCTTGAAGGAAACACATGTTCTTCGAACACCTCAGCCCTCTACTACACAAGATAACACTGGAACGATGAAAGAATCAAGAGGAACCAGTGGATCCTCAGAACGAGGTCAGCCATTCATGCGGGAGGAGTCCACGTGAAACAAAAGGTCATGCGTTCGTTCCAGGTGCGGGGTGAAGCAGGCAGGGGTCTTCCTCCTGTTTGTTCTTAGCAACAACATCACTGCTAGGGAAAGATTCGCCTGATTTGCACGCGAAGACAAGATGGCAAAGCGCACATTTCTTCCTTTCTTTTTGCAGTCTTGCGAAGACACGTGATTCACCACAGCCGACGATGCTTCTTTGGTTTGCGCTGCATGTCCTGCTACATACATACCAAGTAGGAAATGCCGAATCGTCATCGTCTCATCTTTTTTGCAGTAGAACTCAACCATCTTTGTGCAGTTCCTCCCATGTGGTGAAATGAGTGCGACGGTACACGATCCAGCGTCAACAACGTGAATTAAACCTACTTGTACCGGACATACTCCGAGCGACTCCGAAATCTTGCCGAGAGCGGCAGATGACAAAAAATCTCGCGCCTTCTCAGATGCTTCGAGAGAAAACGAGAAAACAGCCGCTGTTGGCAGAGATTGATGTAAACACCCTCCTGTTTCCCGTCACCGCCGAATTCGCTTCTGCGGTAGCAAATTTTTTGCAAGTGTAAATGCACCTTAAGTCACATTCAGACGGTTGCATTTTACTGCGTTGTGTCGAGATGTGACTACAAGTCGCTGCGAAATCCTTACTTCGTACACCACGTGTCAAGCTACTTTTTAAATTTGTCACGCTCTGTACGAAGCGCAAATGTCCTTGTAGCTCACAGTCGTATTTTGATGCAAGTTTCCGCAATGCTGTCGAAGGCAACTGCGGAATGATGGGCCTTTATCATTGGCTCTCCGGCGACACCCACTGGCACGACTCGAGCGTGTCGAGGGTCACACGCTTAAGTCGATCGAGATCGGTAGCTACGGCAGTTTGGATTTGACCGATTGCTTCATCGCCACGCTTCGTCTGGTCTTTGCAAGGGGGACCCGGTGCGAGCGCTGCTGCAGGAGCACATAGCAGAGGAGATGGTGCACCGGCGCACCCTGACTGCGGACGACGTGCCACAGAACGAGGAGGGCCTAAGGCAGCTTCTGGTGAGATGCTGCTCTTCCTCAACTGTGGGTCACATGCACCGGAAGCACCCCAAAGTCGGTGCCAAAAATGGGATGCTTTGCTTCGGGAATTCGGCAACGGCAACCCTGTCTTGCTGTGTGTAAGGTGTCTCAACAGACTTATGTGGCTCTCGTGCTTACGAGCACGGGAGTAGCTGTTTTACTTGTAAATGTGGGTGCGATTACCCTGCTCACGGGTGCAGGATTAACTCTTCTGCTCGTAAATGTGAGAGTAATTGTGCTTACTAGTGCAGGATTGACTGTTCTTTGTATAGGGGCAGGGATGACTGTCGTGCTTGTGAACGTGAAAGCAACTGTCCTGCTCTCTAGTGCAGGTACAACCGTTCTCTGTACAAGTGCAGGAGCAACTGTCCAACTTGTAAATGTGAGAGTAATTGTCCTGCCTGCAAGTGCAAAAGTGCCTGTTCTTTGTACAAGTGTTGGAGTACTAACTGTCCTGCTTCTAAATGTGAGAGCAATTGTCTTGCATACAAGTGCTGGAGTACTTGTTCTTCGTACAGGTGTGGGACTGACTGTTCAGCTCAAGCACAGGAGTAACTGTCCTGCTTGAATGTGCAGGAGAAGTAACTGTCCTGCTTGTAAGTGGGGGGAACTGTCCTTCTTGCAAGCACAGACGCGAGGGCATTAACTCTCGCTTACAAGCATGGAGGTCATATTTTCTAAAAAAAAAATGCACCATCCAGCTGCATCTCTGTGGTAGCGAATGACAGGGTCGTGGTTTTCAACTTCGAATTGTGCAACTTGTTCAAAGTAAGCCCGTTTCGTCGGACGGCGTGACGGGGCATCTGTTTCCAGGGGGCACAGTGCCACAACGCCGCCATCAACCTGACCACGAGGCTGCTGACCAGCGTCGGACAAGGTCCGGGGGCCGGAGGCCATCCGTCCAGGCACAGTCCCCACTCCCTCCAGGTGAGCCCCCCCTACCCCCCCCCCCCCCCCTACACACACACACACACACGCACACACACACTCACACACACTCTTTATTGGTTGCCATCTTGGCTTTTACCAATTTGACCGGACAAGCGCCCATGTCTAGACTGACCCAGTGTTCAGTGAACATGGTGTGCGCTTCCCCAGTATTTTACGGTCGTTGCTAGTCAGCGGTGTCGTTATCCACTTTTTTACCTTCCTGTTTCACAAAAAAAATTCAGCTGTCCACAATCACATGTCACAGGGTGCCAGTGAGCTATAGATAGAAATTATTGAATGACCAGGGATGTGGCAAACTTTTTGTGAGAATCAAGGTTTCAAGGCGTTGCAAGATTTCAAACTGTTGTTGCAAGTCCCTTTGGGGTTCAAGTTAAATAGGATTGAATTGCACGCGGGCCAAGTTTGTGAAGTCCAAGCTTGGCAAAAATTTCTAGTTGACCTCCTAGGCGAGCGCCTTGGAAACATGAAGCGAAGCTCCATGCGCCAAAACATTATTTAAAAAAATTCTTTTGGCACTTCAGTATTTGTGCAATACTGTATCACAATCCGTAACAAGTACCATCTTCCTGGAAGCTTGCAATCCGCAAATTTCGCAAAATGTTCCGACCCCTAGATTTTCTAGCAGGGTTGAAGGTCAAACAAATCCGTCACCTTGACAAGTCCAAAGATTTAAAGTTGGTCCACCTGACAGGCTGAAAGGTGTATTTTAATTCCTTTCTTTTTTCTACATGAAGATCACTAATTTGTTTACTTTTGTTAAATTCTTTCCTGAAACATGTGCACTGACTGTAACATTTTTGACTTATTTTTTACGCTCCGTTATGATTTTGATTGGTCAAATGTCCTTCTCGCAGTTGTGGTACACCAGGCTAGCCCTGTTTGTGAAGTTGCGCAAGTTTGCGCTGGCGGAGGTTGAGGCGGAGGCGTTTGGTGACCTGGACCGCCCGGACCTGTACTACGAGTTCTACCCCGACTCCTACCCCGGGAAGCGAGGTCTGCACTTCCATCACAGTTCCTAAAGTAAAGGCCACTTGGTCATTTTTTCTGAAAAGTGTGACAGACAACTAATACCCTAGTTACATGGGCAGACTTAACCACAGTTAACTGTGACTAAGGTCAGACTTAACCACAACTAAGGGTGATCCTAAACTGCAGTTACGCTTAAAAGGCCCCTGAAAAGTGAAAAAAAAGTTTTTTTTAAAGTCTGTTGGGACACGTAAAAAAATTACTTTTACGTGAAAAAAATTTCTTTTAGAGCAATATTGATGGTGTGTGACGCGATTTAGTCGGTAGTCACCTCCTTTCCACTTGTTTTCTCTCGGCATTTTGGGCGCTTGGAGGAGAGATGTATCGGCTTCGTCGTCAGGACCGAGATGGTCATTCCGGAATGACCCGTGACGTCCTGGACTTCGCATACAGAATTTCACATAAACCTCTTTCCGTAAATATTGCTCTATAAAAGGCTTTTTTTTTTCACGTAAAATTTATTTTTTGACACGCGTGTCCCAACCAGACTTTTTAAAAAGCATATTTTTTCTTTTCAGGGGCCCTTTAAGTGTGGTTAGCAGTTATTGCCAACTATGTCCTAGTCATACGGGCACGCTTTACCGCAGTTAATTCTTACCACAGTTACACTTAGCTGCGGTTAAGGGGGGACGGTACCCAAAAAAGTGAATTTTTGAACCACTTGTCTGATTTAAATAACATTTAGAGGGATTGCTTTTGTTGATGTTGAGAACATTTCTGCCAAATTTTGTTAACCTGGGTGAAGTACAAAAAAAATGTAAATGTTTAAAGGGGTCCTGAAACGCTTTTCCAACTTTTTCCTGTTTCGCTTTCCTCCTCAACTGATAAATCCCCCCATTCCACCAAACAGTTCAAGAAGGGGAAAAGAAGGGAGGCCCCTCTTGCTCGGAATCTGGTTTGTGTAGCCGGACAGAGCCATTGTCCCCCTAGAAGATTAGCCCGTCGCTCAAAATTCAGACAAAAGTCGCTTTCCCCAACCCGTTCCCACCGAAGCTGACAGTGCTGTGGAAGCTACATGCTCAGGGGCCAACCACACTTGCCACGTGATCATGCTCCTTCGCGCATAATATACCCACGCGCAGAGATTGAGGTCAGGTGATGAAAGAGAGGCGGCTGATTGGTCCGGCAAGCGTGTAGCTTCCACCACAATGTCAGCTTAGGGGTGAAGGGAATAAGTGAGGTCCGGCATCATGTGACGTGTGTTTGGACCCGATGACGCGATTTTGGGACCGCGGATGTATCACAGTGAAAAGGCAGGGAGTTTACGAAGGGAAGGAGGTACGAAATAGTCCGCGGTGTTTTCAAATTTTCGCACTGAAAGTCGGGCTTTTGACTTTCTACCTTTTTTCTTTTGGCCCACTGATTGATGTGTTATTAGTAAAATCCCAATCTAAATTGATTTATCCCAACCCAAAATTCGTTTCATGGGTGCTTTAAACATGAAAGTGGGCGTGTCTGCGTAGGAAAAGTATAGTTTTGAAAACACTTATAAATTTGTCGTTTTCATGTGTTATATTGCTTTAGGACAGTCCAGAGCATGTAGCTATGGAGCTATATTTCTATATTATACCATCTTTCATGACAAAAAAGCCACATAACTCAAATCTTTTTTAGATTTCCATTCTTTGTCCAAAATTTTCATTCTTGAGCATGAAAAATGACAAAAATAAAAAAATACACGCTCATAGCTATCTTCCCCTTTAAATTTCACTCTAGAACTCATAAAAATGAATCCAAGTTGGGTAATAACAAAATAATAGTTTTCCTAAAGTGAAATTTATTACCTCTATTTATTCGTCCGTTTCAGCCACCAGATGGCGCGCGGCTCGAAACGTGGTTGAACGCGCAACTTCTAGATGGCGCCAGTATCGAGGTGTGAAAAGGCCCGCGTTATCCGCTGCGTGAAATAGATCCCGAAATCTGCCGTGTTCTCCCGGCGGAGGAAGTTTCTGCATCCCTCGCGCGCGCTTGGTATGTACGCGCGGTGACCGAGTCCGGCCTCTGCGCTGTGTGATGCAGTGGGTGGCGCTCGTTTCTGTTCGGAGGTAGGAATAAAAATGCCGGTCCCCTTTTTTACGACGCTCGTTTCTATAGCTTGTTTTTCTTTTTTTTATCTCAAGTGACCTACAGTACCGCCTGTTCGAAATCGTCCTTTGCGGTGAGCGATTGAGAGTCAGGTTAGCATTTTATTTGGGTCAGCACTACACGTTCAATGGAGACCTCGGGCGGCGATGTAATTATGCATTGCTCCCCAAAGTGTGTCCAAGGTGCGCAATGACAATTGGAAAGGGTATTGAAGGCGCGCGACCGTCGGTTGGTAAAATACGTGCGTTAGATTGACTTATTCAGTCTAATCATTTTTGCCAACGTCTTTTATCTGTTTCGACAAATGACATGGTCGAGTCTATTGATAACCTTAGCTAGATTGGACGTACGGAGTGTCCGGGCTTTAAATAAATTTGCTTCGTTTATGTGAATGAATAACTGTTTTCTCTTTTCCGTGCTCGGTGCTATGCAAAAATCGCTGAGATGTTATGGTAGCTCAGTGTGGCGGCGTTTTGCACGCTGACTCGCTATTGCATTCGCTGTGCACAATATGTGTTCAGATGGAATGTGCCAAATCGTATTTCCGATCGATATGATAGATTTACTTTGCTACAGTGTTAATTATATTTTCCTGATTTAAACTGGTTCGTCCCTGATCTGAGCCTAAGTTTAAATTCGAAGGGCAGACAGACTTAGCGTCGTAACAGCCGTAATGCGCAGAAAGAAATTAGTACCATGAAAGAAAAACAAAAGGATACGAGGTGGCTCAGTGTTATAGAAGTAATGAGTGTGCAAAGGATGGGATACGGTCCATTCGTCACATGCACACTCGTCACAGGACGATTGGTCACAGGACGATTCGTCACACAGGAACATTCGTCATAGGATGACTCGTCACGCGGCCAACCGGTCTCACAATAGTTCGTCCCCCCAAAAATGTATTGTTCAATTTGGTTCGGGCGGACAAAGGCGAAGAATTTGTAAGGAACGTTTTAGCTTCTGATTCGGTCCCGAACATTGAATGTTGGTTGGGCCTCAGAAAGTCGGTCACCTCTTATCTTAGCATGTCTTTCGCTTCTCGAGGTCAAAGAATTTGTAACAGACGTTCTAGCTATCTGGGTCCGTCCTGAACGGTGAATGCGGAGGCCATAGAAGAGCGACTATTTTTGAACTACATTCAAAAGGATGGAGGTGATCGCAACAGAGAGAGCCATGATGCTGCACGAGGGGTACTCGTACACATTCGGCAGAAGGAATTCCGATACTTGTTGGTTTTGTCGAATAGGTGTATGCAAGGCAAAACTAAAAACTAATTTGGCTGCCAGTCGGATTATTGCTCGTTCAAGCCTGCAACTGAGATCAACCTGCTGAAGACCCGTAATATAATGAAAGGAAAAGCGGATGAGTATTGTAATATTAGTTTATATAACCATTGGTTTACGTGACAGTGGAAAATTGTGAAACTCCTCATCAGGGTATGTAGGCAGATGTTGAAATTTACAATTTACTATCGTCCCCTGCTCGATCAATGAGACCAGTTGCCCGCATGACGAGTCATCCTGTGACAAATGTTCCTATGTGACGAATCATCCTGTGACCAATCGTCCTGTGACGAATGCGCATGTGACGAATCGTCCTCATCCCGCAAAGGATGCCATCGTACGTTTTTTTTTCTTTTTTTGTTTTTTTAACTCTCCGCATTGCTGGGAAACGCTCAAGGTACCAGCAAAGACAGCGAGCTGGCGTGAAATTTCCATCGAGCGGAAAACGAGTGTGACTTTTATTTCATCATGCGCTTTCATTTTGATATGGCTCAAAATGGGCGCGAAATAGTAACAGGTAAGGCAACAAAATTTAGATGTTAGGTCTGGAGCACCGCCATACTCAGCCGTGTTGGGGGCATCTCTCGCGAGTCAATACGGCAAAGGTATTGCGCGTCGAACTGTACGTGAGAGTTATCCATTTCAGCGAAACCTTGATTTCGCAAAACTATTGTGGCTCGAGTCGTGGCTTCTAGTACTTGAAAGCCACGAACGAGAAATAAATGACAGTTGATTTTGAAGGACAATCGCGACGTGGAAACCCATAAAAGAGAGTTCCAATAAGACGAGAGCTTCCCCTTCTCTTCAAGTGCGTGGGTTACGCTCTCAATCCTGCACCTGTGGTAACACCGCAGGCTCCTAAAATGGCTTTGAAAACGTTCCTGATCGCAACAACTTTTTTTTTTTCTTTTTGTCGAGGCGCTATTTCATTTTTTTTACTTTTTGTCTACCTTGATACCCCATCAGCGCAAAAACTACCATAAACTAAAAAAAAAAAATAGTGGGCATACAACGACAACGCACCCACTGGGACCCGAGTCAAGGCAAGAACAACTAACTACTAAAAGGGGAAAAAAATCATGTTCGCATACACAGACAGAACGCCTCCATCGAAAGAAATGAATCATGCGCTTGTTCTGCCAGTCTCGTTGTGCGTCTGTCAAAAGCCACAAAGGAGGAAGACAATCAGCGCCTACACCACTCCCCTCCACTCCCCCCCCCCCCCCCCCCCCCCCCCCCCACCACCCCTAAAAAGAAGAAAAGAAAGGTTTCTTGGGTGCGCGCGCGGTCGCCCAAGCGATGACCTTGGAAGGGTATGCGATTGTAGCACGTTTGTCCCCCGGTTGTGCCCCTGTCTCAAATGCCACGGTCCGTTTCTCCCAAGTGCCCGTCTTATCTTCCCGAGTATCTACTCCGCAGTGATTCTGAATCATTCCGATGCTTTCCAACGTTGCAAAACTGTTAGACGAATATTTGCACAGAAGTATACTCTGTTCGCAGAACTATCTACGGCGCTAAAATTCAAAAGCGCCGAGTTGGATTGGGGAACTCGTGTAGGTTTAGCTCATCGTTGGAACATTCTTATTCGCTCGATGAACTCCACAAAACGTGTAAATATTAGAATGAACTTTCCAGAGAACGAGAGTTGTTGTCGGGGTTCCAGGCGACCGGACAGGTCGCAATTATTGGCTGATTAAAAATTTTATTTCATAATCACAATCGTATCATCAAGGGCACGCCATTTCCTCATCACTTCTTCTACGAAAAGAGTTGCTGTATTCGTAGCACACACAGACGGAAACGGTTGAGACTGCCCAAATAATATCTTCTTTTGGCAGGTACTGCGCAGCGATTACACACAATGCCTCTAACATAAACATGCTGCTCCACATGTCTATTCACAAGATGCAATACATCGTTCTCCCAACTTTGTTGAAATGGGCATGAAAGCGCGTAACCGTCACTTTTTTGAAGTTCTACTTAGAGGTGAAGTGTTTACCGTAAAAAGTCGTTAATTATTTATTTTTTTCCGTTTACTACAAAGCTCGATTCCCTTAAATTTTTGTTTTTATATCGTCCCTACAGCGCTTTTACGTCGGTACTTTCGTGTTAGAGGACATCACATAATGTGCGAAAAAAACAACAAAAAAACGGTAGGATCGATGCTGCATAGCCTTTTTTTTTTTTGTGGACATCAAGAAAAAAAAAAAAAGATAGTAGTTGTCTTCACTTCGCACTGCATGTTTTGGCACGGAAGTTCCTATTTGGTTATGATGTCTTTACTTTCTTAAAAATTATATACAGTAATTTAAATTACCGAAATGCAAAAACGTCGAAATTGTATAATTGCTTTTCGTTGGGACGCCATGACGACAGCGACACTCGTGTTCCCTCGTGGTTTTCGCCAGCATTTCTACGATGAATTGCCAGGATCGCGAGATGCAACAGCGTGACACTCCGTCTTCTGTGACGTCATTTGTTGCACTTCGGGACAACTTTTGATGTATGGCCAGCATAAGACGCTAACCACACCAGTCGGAGACGCGCTGCAGGTGCCATAGTACTGCTCGTAAAAGTAGCTGTCACGTGCTTTGCTCCGCGACTGAGGGTTGCCAAATTACGGTGAAACGGAGTATAGACAAAACAGACTGGATGACATTTACCGGGCATCTTTAGAGCTGCGAAGCTCAAAATCACGCGTACTCATAAGATTTTTTTTTTCTCGCGTGTTTGTGATTTTTATGATGTCCTGCAAGCAAGAAAAAAATATATATGGTGAAGTCACTCCGAGGGGGTAGCGATAACTGCGAGCCACGAACATGAAGGACTCGCTAACATCCGTCAGGAGTGTGAACGGTAAATCGTCACGCAAACATATTCTCACAAGCTGCAAATATTTATTTGGCTTAGCAAGTAGAATACTAGTATACTAACGACATGTGATTATTGTACACAAGATACCATTTCTCGGTTCTTCAAAACCATTTCCCAAGTCTGAACGGTCGCGCTACGGGCCGCGGCTAGCCGTGCCCTCGATAGACTACGGAGCTGCGTTGTGTCGTCTGCTACTGTACCGCCAACAGGAGAGCGATAGCTCTGTGTGTTCCACAGATGCGTGTTGCGGTATAACTCTGTACGTCTGTCCTAGAGGAAGACAAAGAGATAGGCTCTGTGACCCCCTCCTAAGCTAACAAAAACAAACAGAAGTATACTCGTTTGGACTGAAAGGTTTACAAAATAGTGACCAGACATTGGAAAAGCATATGTCACAGAACTTGGTTTATGAAATGGCATCATTGTTTCGAGCAAGAAATCACCTGCTCACCACTGGGACGATGAAATCGTCACTATTTATTGCGTCAGGTATATTTGCGCTCATGAAGAAAAATCTGAACACATCCTTCTCCCAAAGTCCTATGTCGAATAATAAACACTTTTTTAAACATCTATGCACAAATAACTCATTTTTTTCTACACTTGTATATGCACGTTAATTGACGTCAAACCGCATTTTTGATTAGATCTTGATGTCTACACCAACTACATTCATATTTTTTAGGGCTTTATTGAACGATAACTTCAACTATAGTTAATGGAACACGATGGCTCGATCTCGACAAAAACCTCAACGTGCGAAGCTTCCACAGACGGTCGCTAGCGAGTATTCTCAATGTGAGACTTCAGAAGCTTTCGCTTGCCATAGGGAGCTTGCTTTCGACTACAGCACTGCACGGGCCCGGAAAGCGCTGCTGTGTGGAGAGGTTGACTTACAAGATGACGTGTTACGTGGTCACGTAAGATGGCGTCATTTCGTGCAGCGTGATCACGTAAGATGACGTCATTTCGTGTAACGAGATCATGTAAGATGACGTGTTTGTGTCACGTCATCACGTAAGATGACGTCAGTTCGTATGAACTGACGTCATCTTACGACAACGCCAACAACATTAGTGCCGTCCGGAACCATTGACCTTAGAAACGCGCTTCTTCGCTTGAAGAGCTGATATGCGTTGATTGTTATTTGTTTCTTTTGCCTACTACAGACCATTCAAGAACTCGCCTTCTGGGTGCCACCAACTTCGTCTACTGGGCTGTGAAGCGCGTTCGAGCGTGCGCAATACCTCTCTAGGCCGAAAGATTGTACACTGAGTATGCGTTCACAGCTCAATGACTTTGGCATTTTTCGTCAGGGTAGATGCTCCCACGAGAAGAGCGTAATGGATATGTGAATAGAATTGGAAATTTGAAATGTTCTTGTCCAATCGCATTTTTCTTTGGTTATCAACGCTTTTTAGCGTCATCACAAGACGTTCAACCCATAATACACTGGTGATTAAAAAATAAGCACCGAAAAACATGCACCGATTTTCGCTCAAAAATAAACACCGGAAAAAAACATACCGTAATCATTACCCATGACACCTTTTTGGGTGATATGTGAATTTCCAGAAGAACAGCGAGTTATCACCCTCCCCTAGGAATACCCTGACTACAGAGCAGGCGACCCGTTTTTCCCCGCGTTAGATTGTGGTGACCACGAACCGTACGGAGGTCACAGGACGTCCGTGAAAAATAAAAAGGAGGCAAACAACGATCTACTCTGTGCACGCTTCATCCCCAATTTCCACGACCCCAAGGCCGAAGGACGTTTGTGTGAAGGATAACAATAAAATAAAACTTTGCGTCAAAAAAAAAAAAAAAAAAAAAAGCCCGTTTTTAAAAGAAAAAAAAAAAGTAGAAACAAGCACAACGCGTTGACGGACCGCGAGGTTGTGGAACACCTCGCGATCCGCTTGCCACAGGACGGTTGTCTTCGACCCATAGCTCCAAGGTGAATTTGCCACTTGCGAAAACACGGAGACCTACCCAGCGAGAACCAGGAAAGCAAGACACGCACACTGACGCCTCGGCGTGCAGAATGAAACAGGATACGGGCGCGGAACACGGCCGCGGAAGAACACCTCGAACAGTGCCGATCCGGCCGATCTCCGAACGGACGATTTCGCATTTCGTGGACAGCGAGCGCCACCGCACGGGAGAGAGAGGTACCTTAAAAACGACGAAAACAAGCACCGACACCTTGGTTCTTTATATTTGCTGTAGTTACGGAACAAATCGACTTACATGAATAATTTGAATATTATTCGATTCCGTAATAAATTTAGAAGACATTAAACGCAATTCTTCTTATGTTTGAATTTAGATAATTTTGTAAATTCGCTCCGAACGCAAGAGTGCCGAATTAGCCGATTTTGACCATTTTCATGATTTTTTTAAAGAATATAATTAAATTTATGACGAAACATCTGTTGCGTTTAGTGTCTCGATAATGACTCAATGTCTTTAAAGCCGAAATTTTCAAGAAGATCCGCGCAGCCGTTATTATGTGAGAATTTTTTTAATTTGGTGAAAAACCTCATGTATTCTCTATGGGGCTCTGAGGTGCGCCCCCTCTTAAGGGTGCACATAAGAGTATTGAAGTCACAAAGGCACGTTTCATTAAAACATTTTTTGGTACCTCAGAGATTTAGCTTCTTTTAAAGAAATAAAAATTCTAGGAGAACGTTGTATCAGTGCTGTTAGAGGGCCTAACCTTAAAGCTTAACTGTTCATTTGAAAAGCACTGGCTAGGTGGCACAATAGTTCAGCCATATGCGCCTATCCATCCAAGTTCCTTGTTTGGATCGACACTAGAAGGTACCCGGCTCGTTCGTGTTTGGCTAACCGGAACCGAAATCTGACAGCGCCGCTTTTTCATGCTGCTGCGATTTCAGGTTCGATGGTGCCCTTTGCGTTCAGGCTACTGTTGGCGGAGCTCCCCCAATTCCAGGGAAACCACAGCACCGCTCTCAATGCCCTCTACAAGCTGCTCAACATCGTGCACCACGTGAGACGCTCCCGCCTTCTTTCGAAATGCCTCTGGGGAGGGGACTCTCAACCTTTCTAATCTTGAGAAACGCCCGCTCCGTTCGGGTGACGGCCGAGGCACCACCCCGGTGTCGGCAATAAAGCAGGGCAGGAGCCTACAGACTTCGTAAGCAATAGTTGAGAGACTAGGGAGTGCTTGGCTCTTCGATATGCATCAATAGATGACTCAGATTTACTAAGAAAGTGACTAAACTGGAAGAATGCGTTACTCGCGGGATGGGGACAATCGAGAAAATTTGGAGACTTGTGGAACCCGCGAGGGCACTCTGCTGGGGAACCACTAGGTTCCTAGGAACTCGGGTTGAGAACCCATGCTCTAGGGCTGTCGTTGCAGTACGCCACAATAAGGCACTTGTAACGAGTCTCTTTATGGTGCAATGCAGGGTTGGGCAGTATCGCGATACAAATGTATCGCGATAGTATTTGAGAAATACATTTGGTATCTGTATTTCTGTATCGCGATACATTTTTTTTCACCAGTATCTGTATTCCTGTAACAAAATACATTTGGAATGTTTCTTTGTATCGCGATACACTCAAGATGAAATATATTTCGCTACATTTCTTGAGAAATGCTCCCTTCCCCCCCCCCCCCCCCCCTTAAAAAAAAAGGGTCCAAACTTTTTTTTTTCTTTTTTACTTCTGAAGGCATGACGGTTGAGGAGATGCTGGGGCATTGTTACTAAGCTGACCAAGATTCGTTCCGATTCTCCAAACAATTCTTCTATGTGTCCTCTTCTCTTGTCTGAGAAGTGTTGCATAGTCAGGGACTCGAACCAGGTGGCGTGTCAGGAGTGGAGTCAGTATCTTCTGCTTGAGGTCCTTAGGTAGGGATTTCTTGAGTCATTGTTTGCTAGCATCCAATGCCCGCTGCTAACCGTCTTTCTTGCCTTAGCGTACACAGTACATCCAGCCGGCAAAGCTGAGTCACAGTCCGTTGCAGCACGAGCCTGGCGGTGGTTGACTTGAAATAGCAGGATGACTCACGCAATGAAGATCAACACTTATACGAATGCGCCTGCGGCTGTGCCCGTAATATTGCACGGCTCAAGGGTACGTCATCAGTCAATGTGAACGTGACCCGCTGCTCTCGTGATCCGAAACCCAGGAAGGAGGCCATCCGTGGCCTCGCGGTGCCGACCCAGACTTATACACCTGCGACTCGTCTCAAGCGCGGTGTGTCTTGGAGAGCTCGCACCTGTACCGGCAATATCAGGTGGCATTCCACGAGGTCTCTGTTTGGATGATGCAAGGCTTGAGAACTTGAGGACTGCAATCCATGCGTCGGTGGCGGAGGGTCGGCAGGAAGGACCTTCACTACAGGGATGCCACCGTATTGTTTTTTTCAACCGTAACAGAAGACAAGATGTGTGTTCCCAGGATGCTTCAGGTGGTCCACTATTCTCAAAAATTCCAAATGACACGGCCTGCGCGATCTTCAACGAGGTAACCACAACGAAAGTCCGTATTGTCATTTCATACAGCTTCGTGGTAAAGTTTCATGTTCCAGGCCAAACCTACAGATAAAGAATACCTGTTCATTCTACCGCGACGTCATACGATCAATGGTGGTAGGGGCGTCCTTATTGGACAGGTGCGTGCTGACGTTTTGATGGGATTTAGGGTGACATAGAATTTATTCAGAGGTCGAAGCCTTTTCGCATGCCTCGTCAGACAGACTGGATGTCAGAAAAGGGACCGTGGTCAGTCCTTGATGGAACATTTTTTTTTGAGCCCATTGAGGACTCCTCGTCGTCCGAAACCACTACCTTCAAGGCAAAGTGCCAAGCCTACGGGAAAGTAATTTCGAGATCAAAAACTTTCACTTCAAGCTTCATCTCAGTTGGCGTCTCAAACAAATTTGAAAAATGTATTGCAGTATCAGTATCTCTATTTGTATCTCTGCCCTTGCTAAATTATATTCCTGTATTTGTATTTCCAAATACTTTTTGCCTCTATTTAAAATGTATTTCCGATACGTATCGCGATGCATCTTTACAGATATATTTTCGTATCAGTATTTTAGCTACTATTTTAATGCATCCCAGTATTTGTATTTCCAAATACATTTTTGAGTATTTCTGCCCAACCCTGGTGCAATGTGGGCCCTGTTGTAGTCATTGCAGTTTTGTCTTTGAGTCTAAGTTCTACAGTGCCGTCTCAGTAAACCTTACTTTTGGGGTCCTCATGTATAATGAAGCTTTTCAAAGAGAAACTAAAATTGTGGGTGTCTTTTATGCCTCATCAATAGACTGAGTGCCACGGAAAGCTCATGCTCTTCCCAACTATATACTAATGCTAACAGTTTGAGATAGAAAGGAAATTAGCTTCGGAACATCGTCTGAATAGAGACTGAGTGTCTGCTTTGAGAAAGTTCTCTTCTTCTTGTAAGAGAGAAATCTATTTTTCTGTTCGGTTCGTTTTGTATGTGAATTATATCTATGTGCAAAGGTATGGCCTGACATTTTAGCTTTTTTTGCCTAATTTTTTCTGGTAGTACCAGATGTTTGGGAGAAAAGAAAATCACATATTTTTTATCGCAAAAATAAATTACGCATTGCTGAATGCTCAATCTCCATTCAAACCTAGTAGTACTTACAATTGAGACCAGACGGCAAATTTTCGGAAGTCAATGGTATCTGATTCAAAAGGTGTAAATGATTTTTGGAAATTTTAACTGAGAAAATTGAGTCTGGTCTTGGTATCGAGTGCCATTCGTCTTCATGTACTATTTGTAGGCTTTGCTGACCACCATTTTCTCAACGAAAATGTAAAAAAATTGGTTGTACCTTTTTAATCATATGATGTTAAGTTCTGAAACTTTGGTCTCTGATCCCAACAGCCAGCGCTACATTCAGACGGTGACTAAGTGTCCGGCAATGCATGGTTTATTCTTGCGCTGAGAAAAACGCGGTTCTCAGACATCTGGCATTGTGGACCGAGAAAGCTGTAGCAAAAATGACAATATTTCAGATTCTGGCAAACCTGACAAACGGAGTCACGGAGGGCGGCAGCCTTCTTGACATGAGCGAGCATGTCAGGCAAGGTGAGGAAGGTCTCTCAAATGTGCCCGGACAGCCTGGCAGCTGGAGAAACTTGCCTAATTATCACAAGCTGTGTGCACGCATTGTATGTTAGATGGTGCAAGCTACCACCCGATGCAAAGGGTTAGACCCTACCATACATCCATCCTATGGGAATATGTATGGGGAATTGGGGATCTACGTCTCCTACTGTCTTTGAGGAACAGGAAACCAGGAATGTGGTGGGGAGCGCTCGGTTACTCTTGGTTTAAAACCATCTATTTAGTAGGCACTAAATTCCATTGTGATGTTGCACTGAGAGTTTGCTATTTTTAAACTTTCACTTATTTGAGTTTCTAAAATGAGAGCTCGGGAAACGTCGCCCTTATACTCTCGTTGGCGGAATGCCGCATGCACTGTTTATATTTCTTAACTGAGGTTTTTACAATATTGCATGTTACTTGCCTTAAGCCTTGTAGGGAAAAAAGACTTTAGAGCAAAAGGGTAGGGGGGGGGGGGGGGGGGCAGAGAGAAAGGTTTTGCTGCATGCTATTCAGTTCATTTCAATGTAAAAGCACATTTTTCCAGAGTTCTTCCTTGAGAACACAACTGCCTTTCCTTGACGAAAATAAACCCTGGAGAAGGGGAACAACAGGGACAAAGGACAAACACAAATCTCCAACACAGCTAGGTGACTGGTGTGCGACCGAAAAAATTCGCCTTGTCTGGGGATCGAACCCGGGACCTCTCCATTTCTACTGGAGCATTCTACCAACTGAGCTAACCAGGGGTTAGATTTTAGTAGTAGAGATGTCAGTGTCATAGGATATACAATTTAGGGTTCTCTGTGATTACACCTAAAAATATGTTAGCATAGATGTCTAGGGGAGACGTTTTCTATGACTTGAGTTTGGCATGCTTCGGTTGACATTACTTCCTGATTGTTTAAAAAGAGGGAAGGGAAGGCAGTTGTGTTCTCAATAAAGGGCTGGAAAAATGTGTTTTTACGTTGAAATGAACTGAATAGTATGTAGCAAAGCCTTTCTTCCTAAAGGAAAATTCAGCTGAACTTTTAGAGGTTGTTCTTTACCTTCCACTTCTCCACTTTTAAGCTCAGTTAATTTTAATATAACTATATGAACTGTGGCATGTAAACAACAGATTTATTGCAGCTATTCTAATGAATGGGTTTATAGACCTGCTTGCTGTATGCTAATATTCTTTCTGTTCGATTTCATATCAGACCAAAAAAAGCATGAGTGATGAATGCGGACCCGTCAAGACATCGCTGCCTAACATAACTTGCATAATCGTGGCGGGTTAGCCCCATTGAGTGCACTTCTCACCGATCACCTGTTCACTGCGGGGAAGATACCCACGGAGCCCACGAGCTCTGCGGGTATTGCTTCCCTGCAGTGCACAGGTGCACAGGCTCGATGAGAAGCGCACTCAACGGAGCTAACCCGCCGTAATCAACACTTCGAAAAGTATGAATGTCGCAGTTCACCCTGAAGCGAATATCGAATAGCCTATTATTCGAAACTACTATTAGAAAATTTGAATATTCGCACAACACTACAAAGTTTTCCACATGTATGGCATTTCACCTATTTTATTGAATTGGTTCCTGTGTTTTAATCATCTACACCAATACTTCATTGGTCTCCTCTGTAGCCTCAATGAAGCTTTGGGAGGACCGAGAGTGCCGCGTGTACTTCGCCATCCTCAACTGTGTCCTGAGTCAGAAGGCAAGTCTGCACTCACTCCATCATTTCGAGCCCGCGGGGAACCGTAGGATCAACCGGGCAGAGCCATAGTATGCAAGCTAAACATTTAGCAAAGATTTTTTTTCTTGGCTTTCCCAGCTTCATAGTAAGTAGGTCAGGGCACTTAATGGTATACTTTATATATAGAGGGGCCTATATTAAGTGTGCGCCATGGCATGGGGGATATGTCTTCCCTGCATTGAAGCAGGGTGGCTCTAGGACCAGTATACAACTACAAGTGTCTGTTCTTGTGGTAGAGCTCTCCAAAAGTGTGTTGTCTTTTAGCTTAATAGCCTAAAAATTTTTTTTTTTTTTTCAAGTGATGCAGACATGCTTGAGTGCTAGTTGAAAAATGGCTCTGGAACCAAAAGTTGGGTTTTGTGGTGTTTCTGCCATAAGAGAGTCCAGTTAGTTTTAGCTGCATCGTCACAAGTTTCAGCTTGGTGAAAATTGTGTTGCAGATTGCTCTTAGAAACTACAGTAGTAGTCTTTTATGTTGTGTCAAGGATGAACTGTCACAATATCAGATAAAGATGAGTAAGATGCGCATTGTGGCTTCCAGCGACCTATGACATCACGGTACCTTTGGAGCGTGTCTAAAAAGAGTGCTCATTGCTAGGCACAATTTACTACATGTTTTCCTCATAAGTTGTCAGTGGGATTTTCAAAACCTCACTTGATTCTTAATGAAAACAGTTGGGGTAGCCTGTTAAGCTATTCCCTTAATAATTGTTCAGGGAGGAGTTCCAGGCCTAAAATTCTTTAGGAATACGATGGCCGGCAGTGCGGTTCACTTTCTGATATTGTCTAAATGTGCTCGCTTGCCTGTATGTCACGTGACTGTTCCTATTGGTTGGCAGGATTTCGTAGTGGCCATCAAAGTGGCGAGGATCCTGCTGGAAAAGAACAGCGGACGGAAGGCACAACTGTACTCAGCCATCGGCAGGATATACCTCCAGGCAAGTGACTGATGCGGCTGCATGTTTTAAGTCTTGGGATTTTGGAACTTCCGTAAGGTTGGTAAATGTGGACATTGATGTTGGCTTTCAGGCGAGGATGATGGTCTTTAGGTTTTTGTGTATTTGCGGAAGGATATTTATTACATAATATATTCATACACCATGTGTCTGGCAGGCTCCAAGTATACTATCAGATTTTCTATATCTTTACAAGAATCTGAGTTACAGGAGATTGGTTTGATTTAATAATGTCCTCTGTTACAGGTCGTTCCGCTAAACATTTTTGCAAAATATGAGAAATTTTAAGGGGACTGTGTTCACAAGGATTTCACTTGTGCGGCGATGCTATTTTAAATCTTTTCTGAGAATATGACAAGTCTAAAAGAAAATTTGTAATCTCAGCATGGAAAACAGACTTGGTCATTAACTAAGAAAGTAATTAACTCCATCCTTCCTAATTAGGATAGTGCCAAAATTGTTAAGTGAACGTGACAAACTTCAGAATGCGCCTTTCCGTAAGGCATCGACACTATTAAAACATGTATGAACAGAAAATAAAAACACTTGAAGTTTGAATGTTCCTATTGGATGTTCACAGAAGGTGAACATCCTGTTGTGTATGGTGATAATATTCTGCAAAACGATTTTTAGATGTATTCAAACTCTAGAACAGCGATTTTCTAAAAAAAATATTTATTTAAACTTTTTTGCCATTTTAAAACCAAAATTTCTCCTTAATCAGACAGTGGCAACAAGCGTCGCCCAGCAAGACTTCCTTTGGAATGGACGGCAGTTGTGATGCTGTTCTCCTTGTGCCAAAGGGATAGTTGGGGCAGAGTGCTTATTTGTGTTTCTCTGTTCAATCCTTGGGAATGCAGCTGGGAGATGTGGATATGGCACAGAGCCACTTTCATAAGGCTGAGCTGCTCTACTACAACATGGGGCTGGAAGGGCGACTGGAAGTCCTCATCAACAAGTAAGTCTGGGGGAAGAAACAAAGTTCCACACGCTCCAACTGTGATGCAAATACTAACACGCAAATACTTGAGACTCCCAAACGTGAGCTTTAGGAATTGGTTTAGATTTAACTCAAGATTTGAACCACTTCGCAGTGTTTATACAAAATTCTGGATGCTCTCGTCTACAATTTAAAAAAAATTTTAGCGCGGGCTATCAAGTGTTTTAGCTCCGATGAGGGTGCTTCCCCACGCGGCACGGTTGCACTGCGGGGAAGCGGGTCCCTGCCACGGCGTTCGCTTTCCCAAAGCGCTGCAGTGCATTTGGAGAAACACATCGTTAAGGCAGGTTTGTGGGCATGCATTTAGAAAAGTCAGCCCCCAGCCCTGCGTAAGATTCTGGAGTTTCCTCAACAGCCAAATAAGACTTCATCTCGGCACAAACATTCTCAACATCGCACACCCCATTTTCCCACCCCCTTCGTTCATAAACATAAACCATACCTCCTACCTCCCCACTCCCCCTTTAGGCCTAAGAGCCAGCCCTTTCTAAATAAAGTATTTTCATCATCACTCACTTCAAGAGTTCTGTGAGGCATTGTGGGAAATGTGTACACTTTGCAAATGCCTTCCCTGCGCAGGTGCGAGGTTTAAGGATTCCATTTGAAGAAACAATTTTTGTATAGCCAAGTGTCTTATCAAACTTGCACATTGTAACGCTTGCCTTCTTCCTTTTCCTTTGTACCCCCGCAGGGGGCACCTGTGAGAGCAGGTGTTTGGAGAGTGGCGTCTCCACGAACCCCGAGCCATGCGGGTTCGCCCGCCCACGTATGGCTGTGCGTGGCTTTCCCGTGTCCGAGGAAAAGGGCATCCTGGTGGTTGAGCCGAGCCCGGGGTAGGTTTGGACCCTTCGGGGCCCCCCGGGTGAGGCAATACACCACTTCGGCCCCTGCTTCTCGTAGACGGGAGTCCTGGTAAGGCCCGGCCAGGATGATTCAGTCTAGTCGCCTTTTCTTCTACTATCCCCTCCGATCTTTCACTTTTACCTGTCCTGTTTCCTTCTTTTCCTTCTCATTTCTCTTGCTCCTTTTTCTTCCCTCTTTGGCGGCGAGGGCTAACCTTGGGTGGCAATAGACCTCTTGTCTGGACCCACACTAGGTTATAGTGTCTTGGTAGCACTGATAGCGTAATGTCGTCAGCAAAACCCTTATTGCTATGGCGCATTACCTATCCCCATGTTGGGCTCCGTGGTGGGTGGTGCGCTACAGATGCCGAACGCCTTCCCATTTCTTATGGGTTCTAAACTAAACCAAAAACCTGATCGGGCCCTGAAAAGGGTCCGGACCGAAGTACACGTCAGAGAAGCATTTGCACCCGTGGAGAAGTTTCCCCGATTTCTCGTCATGCATTCCGAAACGGAAAAACCTTTATCCAAGTTATCCCCGTTCCTGGTCTCTAAGACTCTTGAATCTGTAATCGGAAAAAATTTTAAAGCAAAAAAAATGCCATCTAGAGATCTCCTCGTTGAAGTTGTAACCGCTCAACAAAGCTTAGACCTGCTGGCACTCAACGTGGTGTCTGACTACAGGGTTACTGTATCACCCCACCGCACTTTGAACACTATAAAAGGCGTAATATCAGAAGATGACCTGTTAGAATCCCCCGAAGATGAAATTGTCGATGGCCTTCGTGACCAAGGAGTCATTGCTGCCAAACGAATTTCTTTTCGACGGGACGGCCAAGAGGTGAAGACAAAGCATGTCATTCTGACTTTTGAGCTGAGGGCGCTTCCGGAATCGGTGAAAGCCGGATATCTGAACTGTAGAGTACGGCCATATGTGCCAAACCCTCAGCGTTGCTTTCATTGCCAGAGATATGGCCATAGCGCCCAGAGCTGCCGTGGGAAGACAACATGTGCCAAGTGTGGCAAAAATGATCACCCTGCAGAGAATTGCTCTAATGCACCTTGCTGTATCAACTGTGGTGAACCTCACCCTGCTTATTCCCGATCGTGCAAAAAATGGAAACAAGAAAAAGAAATTATAACACTCAAAGTGAAAGAGAACATCTCATTCCCCGAAGCCAGGAAGCGATTCTCCTTCCTGCAGAAGGGTTCTTACTCTTTGGTGGCACGTGCAGGGGGTGTGCCATCAAAGTCTTCGGTAGGAATCCAGGTCTGTCCTAATGACCTGGTGATTCCACCACCTCCCCCTGCCTCACAAAGATTCGCTCCACGACTCCGTTTGTCGTTGGAACCGAAGAAACCACAGGGGCCTCCAGATGGTGCAGAGGCAAGAGATGCCTCTGTGCCAATGGATGGGAGACAAGAGGAGAGGCGGCAACACCAGCCTCAGGGAGAAGGCACTAGTGCCTCTTCCATTCTAAAGGACGGGCCATCGAACGATGTGCCTGCCTTGGTCACTCGGACCCCTCCCAAGAAGAAGGAGGGTAGTTTTCGTTTTAAGGCTTTAGGAGAGGCCTCGACACGTAAGGAGGTGCCCGTACCAGCTGCTCCCTCAGCCGTTCCGCCTGAGGAGGAGCGGATGGAACTTGGTGAACCTCCTCCCCCTTGTTCGGTCCCACCTGATGACGCAAGGCTTATTACAAAGTCATCCCAGAAAAAGCTCAATCCGCGAGTAACCCCACCCAAACCGCCCCAGGGCACTTAGGGCAGGTTTCCTTTTTTCTTGTGTTGTTACTTTAAACCGTTTTTAACATGAACTCGTATAGTTTTATACAGTGGAACTGTGGAAGTCTTCTGCAAAATATTGATGACATTCATTTCTTTCTGGATGAGCTACAGCCCATTGCTGTGTGCTTGCAGGAGACATATCTTAACAACATCCATACAAATGTTTTTAATCGTCACCGCGTTTTTAGAAAGGATCGGGATTCAGACCACTCTTCAGGTGGTGTTGCCATTGTTGTACGGAGTGGCATAGCATGTGTGCAAGTTCCTTTGCGTACATCACTAGAAGCTGTTGCGGTACGTGTTCTTGCTGATCGTCTCATTACGGTTGTGTCCTTGTATTTGCCACCTCATCGTCAACTGCATCTTCATGAACTTCAAGGATTGGTTCAGCAACTCCCAACGCCTTTTTTAATTTGTGGTGATTTTAATGCTCACAGTCCCATGTGGGGCAGTAAGCGCCTTGACTCTCGTGGCACTGTTGTAGAAAGATTTTTATTGTCCTCAGACGTATGTCTTTTAAATAAGAAAGAACCAACGTTTTATAGTTCCACTCATAATTGCTTCACATCCATCGACCTCTCCATTTCATCACCTTCATTACTTCCCTGCTTTTCTTGGAAGGTTTTAAAGAACCCTTTTGGGAGTGATCATTTCCCGGTTGTAATTGAAAGCCTCGTTCCTCTGCCGTATATTTTAAAACGAACCCCTAGGTGGAAACTGGACAAAGCCGACTGGGCACTCTTTAAACTTGATGCAGTGCTTGACCCGTCAGTTCTAGCAAATTTGTCACCTGAAGAAGCGACAGTGTATGTTACGGAGCAAATCATAAGTGCCGCCCAAGACGCCATTCCTCGCACCTCCGAAAATTTACCCAAGAGGTGTAGGCCTTGGTGGAATGAAGACTGTGCCACCGCAAGGAAAAAGCAGCATAGGGCATGGGACACCTTTCGGAGGTACCCTACTCCTTCAAATAAGATAGAATTTAAAAGACTAAAAGCAAAGGCCCGATGGACTATGAGAAAAGCTAAGTGGAAGTCCTGGACCAGGTATATTTCCTCCCTAAATAGTTTTGTCTCAGAGAAGGAAGTTTGGGATAGGTACAAAAAAATCAAAGGGGATTACCGTTGCTTTGTTGTTCCTCTATTTAGCTCCCCTGCTAACTCGCTGAAAGATGTTGCTAATGTGCTTGGACAGCACTTCGAGAATGTTTCCAGCTCCCGAAATTATCGGACGGAATTTAAATGTTTTAAAGCAAATGCAGAATGTCACTGTATACCCATGTCCGGTTGTAGCTCTGAGCCATACAACACTCCTTTTACAATGCAAGAACTAGAGGTGGCTCTGGGCTCCAAGAAGAGGTCGGCTCCGGGCCCTGATGGAATCCACTATGAAATGCTCCGTCAACTGTCTCGAGAATCGCTCAACACACTACTAGATTTTTTTAACTATCTGTGGGAAGCAGGCTACTTTCCTCAAATGTGGAAACAGGCGCATGTAATTCCTTTGCTGAATGCTGGGAAGGACCCTTCGGACCCCCGTAGTTATCGTCCAATCGCGTTGACGAGTTGCCTTGGCAAAACCTTTGAACGCCTCATTAATAGGCGGTTAATTTATATTTTGGAGCATAACCACTTCTTTGCTAATAACCAATGTGGTTTTCGAGAAGGGCGCTCTACTTTGGACCACATAGTCCGCCTGGAAACAACAATACGTGAAGCTTTCATAAATAGGCAACATTGTGTCTCTGTTTTCTTCGACCTGGAGAAAGCATATGATACGACATGGCGCTATGGTATCCTTCATGATTTATATGCCTCTGGGGTGCGTGGTCGCATGTTGCGGTGTATAAGCAGTTTTCTGACAGGTCGCTCCTTTCAAGTTCGACTCGGCACCACACTATCCGACCAGTATGTCCAGGAAAATGGTGTTCCGCAAGGAGGTGTACTGAGTGTCTCCTTGTTTGCCGTAAAGATAAACTCGTTGTCAAAGGTAATTCCACCTTCCGTTTCATACTCCCTCTACGTGGATGATATTCACATCTCGGCCTCTTCTTGTAATTTGTCTAGCTGTGAGCGGCAACTGCAGCTTACCATCAACAGAATTAGTAAGTGGGCTGACGAAAATGGGTTTAAGTTTTCAGCTGAGAAGACTATCTGCGTGCCATTTTCTCTGCGTCGGGGGCTGTTTCTAGATCCAGAACTGACACTAAACAGGGTTCCTATTAGTGTAAAAACGGAGCATAAATTTTTGGGCATAACGTTTGATAAAAAGTTAAACTTCGTTTCCCACCTGAAAAACCTGAAGAAGAAGTGCCTTAAATCAGCTAATATTCTTAAAGTCTTAGCGCACAAGTCATGGGGATCCGACAGAATATGTCTGCTACGCCTGTACAACTCCCTTATCCGGTCACGTCTGGACTATGGTGCTATAGTTTACGACTCAGCGAGGCCTTCTGCACTTAAAATGTTGGATCCTGTGCATCATCTCGGTTTAAGGCTCGCTACAGGTGCCTTCCGCACATCGCCCATTCCTAGCTTGTACGCTGAATCTAATCAGATGTCACTTAGGCACAGACGACGTTATCTTGCTGTGACTTATGCTTCCAGAATTTTGTCCTATCCAAATCACCCAACTTATGGTGCCTTGCAACATTCTCGGTTTGCTCGTCTTTTCGAACATAAGCCCAGGGTTGTACCGCCTTTAAGTCTTCGCCTTGAGGGTATTTGTACATCTCTTGACCTCACCCTTGACGAGACCGACCTTTTGCAGAAGGGTGAAAATGAAGCTCCGTGGAGTACGTTGCCCGTCTTTTGTGATTGGTATTTTACTAGATTTAATAAACATAACGTCTCCCCTGTGGTGATTCAACAAGAATTTCTTGAGGTGCAGAAGAAGTATGATAACTACTCCCAATTTTATACCGATGGTGCTAAATCATCGCATTTTGTAGGATCAGCAGTTTACTCTGAAGGATTCAGTAAGGTTCAGCGTCTCAAGGAATGTGCAAGTATTTACACGGCAGAGCTCTATGCAGTGTTGATGGCCTTGGAATATATCCTCATCAGCAAGACAATGAAATCTATTTTATTCGTGGACTCTCAAAGTGTGCTCACCACACTTTGCTCAATAAAGGGAAGTAAAAATAGACTGGCACAACTTGTCCGATCTAAGGTACAATGTGGTCTGCGGCTTGGCCGAGACATAAAATTCTGCTGGGTGCCTAGCCATGTGGGGATCCTAGGTAATGAAAGAGCAGACGAATTGGCCACGAGCTCTAAGCACCTACTGCCAACCACCTCACAGATTCCATTTCAAGACATGAAGCCCTTGGTGAAATCATCAGTTTTCCGGCTATGGCAATCGGAGTGGAGTCTGGAATGCGAAAACAAACTTCACAGGATTAAACCAGCTCTTGGTATATGGGAGAGTGCATCCCACAAAACCCGCCGCCTTGAAGTTCTTTTGTGTCGTCTTAGAATTGGACATTCCTTCCTCACCCACAAACATCTGCTCAGGGGGGAAGCCCCACCCCTGTGTGATGAATATGGGGAGCGTTTGACAATTTTACACATATTGTGGCTGTGCCCAGGGCTTGAGCAAGAACGACGTACACATTTCCCCGAGTTTTTTTCCCACCAGATTCCTTTTCACCCAGCGCTGCTAATTGGCGAGACTCCTATAGTACCATTTGATCGTATCATAAATTACTTAAGAAAAACCGGCTTCCTACTGGAGTTGTAATTTTAACTCTGACTTTTAACCTTGTCATATGAACCTCTTTTCGATAATTCATATAAAACAGTCCTGAGAATGTCCCAACTAAACAAGCTTGGCGCAGTATGGCCATAGTAGCTTTGCGCCATAAAGCCCGCAATCAACAACAACTTTTCCTTTGTACCGAAACCTTCATTGAAAATCGAAATCGACCAAGCTTCGCCAAAGGAATTCTTTCTTCTTGTTCTTTTAACACAACTTTAAACCACTTTGAGTGTGAGAAAAATTGTTTTGGAGGTAGGGTTCAGTGCGTAGTGCTCACCTGCGACAAGGACCAATGAGGCAGATATCGGAAGCACACCTTCTAACTTCGGCAGCCGGCCCACAACTGCTGGCTGCTTGAGCCCGAGCGTGGCTCGCGCATACGTTGCGCGCCGGGTGTTGAGCGCATGTTTTTTGCTGTGATGGGCCGCAACGCCCACAGTTTCAATTTTGGATTTGGCCAGGAATGAAAGGCTGCAAGATCCACTGGGGCATCAGCTAACTACCTTAACTGAGCTAATGTAGGTGCAATGTTTTCAACTTTGCAAAGAGGCATTTCAGTGTGTGAACTCACTGTGACCTGAGTTGTTACTTTTACACCAGGGGCATGATGGCGCTGGCACAGAACAGCTACAGTGACGCTTACCACTTCTATGAAGAGGCCAGCAAGCTTCAGCCCAAGAACCCACTAGTAAGTTCATTTTATTTTTCTAGTTTTCATCCAGTCTCGAAGAAAAAGAAAATACAGTTCTGTGAATTATGTAGAGTAGAATTGATCTGTAGATACATTGTGTTAGACTGCTTCAGTGAATGTTTCAGACATTAAATATTTCATATGCAAATATTTTCTCGTTTAGATTTGCACATTCACAAGCTAGAAGGATCAAATGTCTCCACTCCCTTCTGAAATTCAGTTTTTAGTTAAGTCTATTATGGCAATCAACGACGAAACAACAATCTTTGGCATCTCGTCCGTTGTTCTCTATACTTTGTTTCACAATAACTTGGAAAACTCTGGAGGCTGCGGCCCTCGCGACCCAATAAGAGCAAGTTATGTGATAACAGTCCATGGTCAAGGCCACGGAGGCCTCATTTTTGCCACAGCAACAGCACCGTCCGCAACAAAAAGTAGTTCTAGGTTTCATTTTCTTTTAACAACACTTGAACTCACATGATTCCATCTTTATCGAGGTCTATAAAAAATAAGGAATAAACACTGACAAAGTATTAAGTTTCAGTTATATCTAAACCAAAAAGTGACGCCACATCCGTATCCGCTCTCGATTTTGTTCTTGTAGCGCGGTGGCCATTGGTGATTGCAGCCGTGTAATCGACCGCTTTCGCTCAAGGCATCACCCTGGCATTAGCACCCACCACAGACTCAGGGGGGAAATTGCGTGTATGGTTGCCTCATGAACTGTTCCCGAAGAGCTCGCTACTCCAGCAGACAGCAACGTTGAGGCAGTGGACGTTCATCCAAAGTTGGTTGGTTTCACAGCAGACAACTCTTGCCCAGCAGACGACAGTTGGTTCCTTGGCAGAGTGACACACACGCTCCCATGACGTGATGTTACATGCCTCGCTCCGACGCTCTCATTGAGTCGCGGGAGCTGTAGCCTGCACACTTCGCCAAGTTATCGTGAAATGGAGTATATATAGTGCTTCTCTGAACGTAGTTCCGTTCAGTTCATGGAGGCACTTTCATGTCCTTCCTATATACAGGTGACAAACTTTTCAAGAACTAGCCTTAATTGATGATGACGCATCAAACACATTCAGGCCCACAACAAAGCCAAGACAATCCGGTCGAGTCCCGTTTTATTTACCGCATTTACTCAACAATAGGTCAGCCTCTTTTATGAAAAATGCCTGCACGTGTATTTCTCTGTAGCACTCAAGAAGAGCCAATCATTGCGATTGATGGAAGAGGCCCGACGAATGATGAAGCACCGATAACGTCGGAATGCCGAAATGAGATCTATGTGGATCACACTTTTATTTTCGTTCCAAACATTATCTCTGCTTGGCCGTTTGCCGGCTCCTTTTGCAAGTCTTAGGGATTGGTGTCGGTGGATCCTGCGAGAAAGTAGACGTGTAGGTCCGTTCATCAAAAAGGTCGACCTATTTTCAAATAAGTATGGTATCCGAACAGCCAAGTGCCTTTTAACAAATCATCCAATACGTCTATTCAGAAATCATTAATAGCACAATGAAACCTAATCAGGCCCACCCCAAACCGTGCAGTTAAACCATGGTGCCCGTAACGCGTCTTTCAATGGCATGCTTACCGTCCCTCTGCCCATGCATCTAAAGCTGTCCCAAAGTGGCAACGTACAACGTCTGACGACACATGGTGCCGTCAAACGTCGTGGCACCAGCGATCGGCCGTGGAAGTTTCGGCAGAAAAGCACGAGCGAACACAAGCGTCGCCGTGGCGTCCCGGCTGCTGGTCACCTAAAGGCCGACGACCAGACTCAAGATTTTGCAAGGCAGAAGATCCTTCTCACCATAGGGTAGGAGAAAACAGGCAACGGTGGACAGGGTAGAAGGGGGAGAGGAGGAAGCGAGGGAAAAGTGGAAAGCGCAAACTGGTCGTCGGTCTTTAAACTTCCGCGGACCGTGAAGTCGGAGGGCGACCCACAGAAGAAAGTGCGTCCACTTCTGCTGTCGTACCGTCGCCGGGATCGCGGCAGGCGACGGCTGACGCTCTCACGACGTCGTCCGGCAGAAACTGAGGGACCACTTTGGAGGACATGATTAATACGCCGGTCGGAGACTCGTTTTAAGCACCGTACCCAAACTGTCTGTTTGAAACGGAGACCCAGCAGTGTACGGCTTGCCGTTTCGGACGGGACGCGACCTGACGGGCACGTGCTCTTTCCACCCGTCTCAGTTCGTGAACAACATGGCGGTGTGCCTGCTGTACCTGGGCCGCCTGGGCGACTCGGTGTCCCTGCTGGAGGCCACGGTGCGCACGGACCCGTCGCTGTGCCTCCACGAGGGCTTCCTCTTCAACGTGTGCACCCTGTACGAGCTGCAGTCGTCCGAGGCCGGCACCAGGAAGCGTGCCATGCTGCGCCTGGTCGGCAGACACGCCGGGGACGGCTTCAACGCCGCCTCCCTCAAGATGCAGCCCGCAAAGACCTGAGGGACCTTCCGCGCGCCGTTTTGTACTGCCAAGTTTTTGGGCGAGACGGGTTCGGAAATTTTGCGGCGCACCGACTGAGCCTCCTTTGCCTTTTAACGTACAGTGCAGTCACCGTGAAATACGGAGTGTGGCAGGTCCCGAGCAAGATTGCGGAAGTGGCCGGTAAGAACGTCGAAGAAAGAATCGAGGCGTTTCTTGGGTTGTCGGCATTTACTGATATGGTAAAAATATAGGTATGACAGACATGTCTCTTAATATGGCTACCCCGCTTATAGAAAAATCTTTTGAGTATGAACAGAGTGAATACATGAATTTTTGTCGCATTATAATGGACGACTCGCATAATAGGCAATTTTTTTGAAGAAAGTGAGCTCGTGTTCATATTAACAAAACATGGCTATATGGTGAAGTATGCTCGTAATGTCGGTTTAGGTGTTTGGGGTACTGAATAGGGAGGGCACTGATATAGTGAATACTCCCCCCTTTGAGGAACAGTCTCCACCATGGAGAGTTTTATTGTATAAAATGGGGCTAGGCTGTCTCCCATAGAGTCCTCCACAACGCGAATTGGTGCGTCTGCAGCAAAGCCGGTGTACAATATATAAATAAGAGGGTGAACTGTTGCCCGTCTTTTTGGCTCATTGGAGCTACGTGAAAATTAGTCCTGCATTGTTTTCAATTGATGGTTTTTGTATTAAATATATATAAGTGCTTCAAATGTAAATGGGCAGCAACTTGTCGTGCTTCAGTTCATTCGAAGCGATGGTTTTGAAAATTGCACTTTAGTTAGAGTTGCCTCAAACTTTTTTCGAACCCAACGTTCGAAGATCGAAGTAAGGAATTTGAAAGGCAAGAGAAAAATTTTAACTCGTTACGTTGAAAAAAATGTCTATCATCAAACTTTCAAAACGGCAGCATTTCAGTTTTGTGAAATTCGAAGTAACTTAACCATGCAGGTTTAAGACAACAAATATGAATAAACCAAAGACACTAATAGGAATGTTACACTCAACTTTCACTTAGTTGATCTACAGTGGCTTAAAGGAGGTAGTGTAGTTGTTGCGTAGCCTCCACCATGCATCGTGAACGGCCGCTCCTTGGAAGACGGTTTAGGGGCGCTTCGATCCGCGGCTCCGTTGAGGTGCCTCCATCGGCCGGCAGATAGAGGCCCCCTAACACGCTTCAGAATTAATATAAATACCTCAAAAACAATTGTTTCCAGTGAACTTCCATCGACATGATTTGTGTTCGTAGGTGAATAAAAATGTGAAACTAGCAGACGACGGTGTAGTCGACAGCTGCGAATCGGCTGGAGCCAAGCTGGCCAAGCGGGAGCCATAGCCGGAGCGACGGTGCTGCAAGCGCCAGCGCCACCCTCGGCTGTCTTCCAACGCTGTGCCGCTTCTCCGGTTTCGTTCATTACACTACCCCCTTTAAGCCACTGTAGTTGATCCCAGGTGGTGCCACCTACGACCCGCTTTAAGTTGGCTTCGTACTCAAAATTTTTCCCTTCAGCTTTCACGCAGAGCGTCTTGCGCAAATCCGCCTAGGTTGCCCCGAGGTAACACGCGGCTCAATGGATGCCTGGTCTGCAAGTTCGAAATCCTACCCAGATGTCTCACTGGTCCGTCATTCATGACCTTAGTTGTTTCTGAATGCAAATCTCCCAATTTCCTCGTGTGAATGGCTCGCTCGCTCGCTCGCTCACCTCACCTCACCTCACCGCACCGCACAGAGCAGGACGCTGACAAGCATCTATGAAATCAATGCTTGTGTTGTTCTTTTTGTTTTTTTTTACCATAATTTATAGTTTTTGGTCAGCAGCGTTTTGAGTGTTCTCTTGTTAAATAATAATGGAGTAGCTGGCCAAAGTTTATGGTTGTTATTCTTCAAAGATGAAAAGTGTAAACAAGCGGCATTGTGGGAAGCTTGATGCACGACCGGTCATGCGACTCTATCGCTTGACGAAGTGGCTCCTCCGAGTTTAGTCTAGTTGCATGCTCCTAGGCCTTGAGTTGTGTCGGGCACTCTGCCTGTGTCTCAGCGTTTTCACCGTATGCAGGTGCCGTTTAATCTAAAAATAGTCGTCGCTTTTCGTAACATCGTCTCGAAGCTAGACCCAAACTAATCGGAAGGGTCATGCTAAAACATGCACACAGTCCCTCCCTGAAACACCTTTGCATCCGAGTTAAGTAAAATGTTAGGAAGCATCTAAGAATGAACTAAATGGCGTAACAGCCACAAAAAAGAGTTGAGCCTCACAAATGACAGCACTCCATGAACCTAAAAGTTCTAGTTCTATTGCCATTGTGAAGTAAACACTAGTTTGTTGTTCTTGTTAGGGTATCTCCCCAGTCTGGACTGACCTTCAGAGCACCAATGCAGAGGTCTAACAGTGACTTGAGACGGGTGTACCACACTTGGAACAGACTGGGCAATGCAGTACAAAAACAAATGCTACTTTATTGCAAAAATATACTGGGTATTTTTGGGAGATCGGCAATAGGGCTTTTTAGAAAGAAACAACAGGAACCAAAGTGTAACATCGTGTAAATAAGTTGAACATAACTGGCACACCGCATAACGACAAACAACAACAAAAAAAGCCTTGCACCCGTCAAAAAGTGTGCGGCGTGCAGATAAAAAGGTAACGCTACATTTATGGGTTTGGCATATAACAAAGTTCGGAGGTGGGGGGGGGGCGGGGGACTAGAACGTAGGCGCGGTTTTGACTAGTTGACTAGCACAACCAAGCACAGCAACAAAACATGTACAAACGAGACTGAAACACATAAAAAAAGGCTCTGCTACGAACTGGCAAGACCAGGCAGACCATGGTGGTTCCTGGGATTGCTTTCGGTGCATTCTTTGGCGACACGGAAGGATCGCAGGGACGGCGGTCGTCGACGTACAAAAAACAACGCAATTCGGGTCTATCAGGCCCGGTTCGGTTCTAGAAATCCATTTGGGTTTTTCTTCTGCCAGTTCCACATGTCCTTGCCTGCAAAGAAAAATCGGCAGTGTCAGCAACATTTAAGCAACAGAAATTCCTAACTTCAAGGGCAAACTCCCACTTCAGTTCATGAAGTTCTGTGCAGTGTTGCTCGAAGCTTGAGCACATGGTTTTAGAAAATTCCTTACTCGCGCGAACAGCCATGCTAATAAAGCAGAGGCAGCGTTCAGCCAACTGGGCTTGCAGGCATGTTGCCTGTCTGCAGCAATGCTGAAACACTACCTCTACCGTCTGCTATCAGATTTCTTCACACTCTTGCCCTGTGGCATTCTTTTGCTGCAACCTCGGATGGAAGTAGAACTTTAGTCGCCAACAGCATAAAAATGACAGGGCGCGTCTTCCGAACGTCTGGCCTCCACCACGTGCTCCATGCTGTCTGCCGTGCTTGCGCTTCGCGCGTGCACTCGAGGTGCACAAGGTCTTGAAGCGTTGTCCAAGGTGGGACAACTGAAACCCCTCCTTACTGCCCTCACCTTCCCACTGACTGGTTACAAGCATGCATCGTAGCTTTTGACGGGGAGCCGGACCAACGCCGAGTTCCTGCGTAATTGATTGATTAGACTAGACTTCATTTTGCCTATGGGATCACAGTTCCTACCAGTATGCCATCCCGAGGCAGGGAGTGGCAAGGTGTGGGGCCGGACAAATTTGCAACAGCTCTAGTCAAGATCGCGTATCTCGGCATCCGACGGGGAGCCGGGCCAATGCCAAGCTCCTGCCGACTTACACATGTCGAGCAGGGACTTTTCGGCCTTCCATCCGAGCTCTTGTGAAGCCAGAGTGGGCATGGCGAAGAGCTGATCGACGTCTCCCTGCCTCCTCTCCACCACCCGGTAGGGGATCTTGGCCCCGGAGGCCTGCTCAAAGGCCGCTATCACCTCCAACACCGAGAAGCCCCGACCCGTGCCCAGGTTGAAGGCCTGAAAAAAGTGCAAATAGAACCACGGCTGCCAAGCCTCCAAACCGCCCTACCGAGCTTCTTTTACGGACTAGTACTCTCGTTTATCATGCTCTGGTGACCCGCCGCTTCCAACTATGGTGCCTGGAACGCCTCTTTGACCGGTGTCTTTACTGCATCCTCAAACGTTGTCCCTCGATTTCCGCCCAATGACGTCATAGGGGTGGCAACAGATGTCGTCTGCTGCCACCTCGGGTTTACTTTCGATCTATGGGCAAGATGGGACACTAGACACATTGGTCAAAGACGTATTCCGGGAACCATACCGCTGATTGGGCTTCGGCGAAAATGCGGCCACCTCGTATGACGCAGTCTCTTTGCAGCTAATTTTGTCAAAGACGAGAGCGGCTGCATATATGTAAGAGTGAGGACAAACCAAATCGCGACACACATAGACGTATGAAAATCGCGGCATGTCATACCCTGCAGCCGCTGAGGCTCCCGGCCACCACCTTGTCGAGGGTCACAACATGGCCCTTGGCGAGGTCGACGACGTGCACGTAGTCCCTCACTCCTGGAAGCAGACGATGGAACAATGTTAAGGCACGGACACTCTTTTAAAAGGGCAGTGTAACAATAGCAAATCGGAATGTTTTTTTCGCTTTACGCAAGCTTGCTGGCACTAGTGGGACCCAAGTATGTCGGCGTGTGCAACGCCACTGGACAGGAAGCTTCCTGGCTGCCGGATAATTTCAAGGATAAAAGCGGACATTATTTTTCGGTCCCCCCTTCGTAAGACCTGATGATGTGGCAGGGGGCCGCGGTGCTGATGTGGTCCATGGTAGTGACTTCCGTGCTACGATATATTTGAATGCGGCTCATAGATTGGAGATTGGCATTTGCATAAGCACTTGATTTGGGCTTGTGACAATGAGTCGAGAAGCATCCAGTTGCTCCAATGATTAGCGGCATATGATCATCCCCAGATCATGTGGCCACTTGTTCTGGCTGTGAGGGTAGTGAATGCTGCTCGTTTTGCTCCTCCAATATTTTTTTTTTCTGCAACTGCCTCTGTTTTGTAAGTTACGAGCAGCAACAATTAATTTTGAGTGGTATTTACTGCAAGTATACAGTCATTGCACCGCTCCACTGACCCGTGCCATCGGGGGTGTCGAAGTCGTTGCCGAAGACGGACACCTCGGAGCGCCGTCCGATGGCCACCTGGGACACGTAGGGCATCAGGTTGTTGGGCGTCCCCTGGGGGTCCTCCCCAATGTCGCCGGACTCGTGCGCCCCCACGGGGTTGAAGTAGCGCAGCAGCACTATTGTCCACCCCTGCAGAAATGCGGAGAAATGGGAGGTCACTTTGGCACGCCACTGACCCTTTCACCTACACAAACAAGCGTCTGATGGACACCGCTATTTTCGTTCCAGTAAGTGCAGCTTATAACCGCAAATGGTTTGAAACCTTAAGGTGTCCCTCAAGTTTTGCCACAAAATTTGAGTTTGGAAGGTAAAAAAAAAAAATCTTGAACTGATATTTTTCTTTTATATTTGCTGTGGAAGATAAAGCACCAAACAAAGTTCCAGAAAAGGATCTGGCTTTACACGAGTCACCTTCCAAGGCCACTCTTTCTGGCCTGTGCGTGGCACGACACACTTTGTCCATGATATGAGCAAATCCAATTTGGTTTGCCGCGGAGGCGTGTGGCAATATGGGAAAGATTAAGCGCGTGCGCACAGAACCCTTTCTGGTGGGAGTGTCGTCTGCATACTATTCCGTTAATCGCACACAGCCCCAGCTCCGTAGCAAAGGAGGGTAGGGCGCTTGCAACGTCGAAGTGCATCGCCGATACGCCCCTCCTCTTGGAATGCGTTCACAATCGTATTGACGTTAGCCTGTGTAACACCCGACTGTTGCTGCTATATCCCTTTGCATCATGCCGCCCATCGACATTCCTACAGCACGTTCCCGTGTTTGTATGGGCACTCGAGGAGGCATAAAAATATGTGCGTGTCCGCTGGTCAAAGAAAAGTGCGACTACCCGGCTACATAAGCTAGATGACGACAGCAGCAACGCAGTTGATAATACAAAACACCAAGCGGAAGCCCTGCCTATACTCCGTATCACTTTGTGTTGTACCGCATCCGACGCTACGAGCCATCTTGGCCAGTCCATCGCTAAAAGTGCGTCACGTGGCTTTCCCGTTGGGTACAACTGCATGCAACCGCACGTGGAAGCACAATGTCACATGGCAGGGTGAACGCACTGGATTTGTTTTGACAGTTCGTAGCATTGTCTGCGGTATATAGTTTAATGCATCGTTCCATTCAGTTTGTTGCGTAACTGTATTTTTCATTTTTGTTGGTTCACAAATGTAAACGCAAACGTGGAATGGAAGATAAAAAAAGTAAATTAAACTTGAGATGACACGCGGTTTATGCCACGCCTGAGCAGTGTCATGCAAGCAAGCACTGTTCAGATATTTGCTTAAAGGCGGTTAGCTATGCCAGCAGATAATGAACAGAAGCGGTGTGCGGTCAACGGAATAGCCTAGCAGACGCTCGCAATGGACAGAGCTTTGTGCGCACGCGCCTAATCTCTCCCGTGACGCCGCATTTCTCCGTGGCACAGCGCTGGCCGTTGTGGCGGTCGACGCTCGCTTGATATTATTAAAGAATTGGACCACTGTACATGCACCTGCCTTATCCGTGTAAAACACCAAAGTAAGTCATTGACAAACGTGCGTGCGAAGTGCTGCTAGTTTTAAGATTTCCACTTCAGAACAGTTACCGCGCCGCAAACACCAGAACATGCAACACGTGGGACTACATTTGCGGCATACTCCTTGGTGCTCGGGTACTTTGGCAAGAGGTCTATTCACACCTGGTGCCACTGAGACATACCGACAGTCCGACACTCACGGAGCACAGATTGGGACAGCTACAGTCTTCCTCCAAAAACCATTGGGAGAGGCACCTTTTCGGAAGCATTGACGTCCTTCAGCACCTCCTCGATGAAATACTTGGTGCGGCCGTAAGGGTTGGTGCAGCGCTGCCCTGTTGGGTGGTCCTCGTCCAGCGGGAGGTACTGGGGCACCCCATACACCGTGCACGAGCTCGAGAAGATGAGCCGCTTCACCCCGTGCTTCCTCATCACCTGGTGCAGATTCAAGGCAAACGAAGAATCTTGAAAGGCGCACTGCAACGACTCTTCTACTTCACTCAAATATCACTTAGAACGAATCCCTGACGTTAATGACCTATGAAACAGGAGTTTGTATTTCACCACACGCAACAGAAGCTGAAAAAAAAAAAGCAGCGTTTATCTTTTTAATTTGCAGTTAGAACGAGCGCCCGCGTGATCTAGAGCCGATTATATGCCGCCTATGTTGATCATATCCGCGCGTTGGGTTTGACAAAGCGCAGGACATGCGCCGAGTTCCAGACACTGTTATGGTTCGGCCATTGTCGCCAATGCAGCGATTGGACACGGGTCACTACTCGAATGCTTGCCGAGCTATTGGTTATAATGCACCCAAATTGAGTGCTCACACAGTGCTTGGGTCCAATCTATGAGCCGCATTCAAATATCGTCATTGGGGAGTACAGCGAACCCCCAGTTACATCATCAAGTTTTGCGAAAGAGAGATTGAAAGAAAACACTCGCTTTTGTCTTTGAAATTACTCTGCCACAAAGGGGCGGCATTGGATGCGTCATCATTGATCAGCGGCATTGCATGTGAGTGTACTTGGGTCTCAATAGTGCCTGTAAGCTCGGTATAAAGTGAAAAACATTCCAAGCGAATATCATTGCATGGTCCCTTTGACCGTAACCTCCTATACAAGGTGAAAGCCTGCTCCTTTCACGTAAGAGCAAGACCACCAGTTGCTGCAAAAGAGAGAGGAGGAGCACCAGGCAAGGGGGAGCAATTCCGAAGGGAGTGTTGGCAGGTATCCCAGCGGCCATGCAACGAACCACCTCTTTTTTTGCATTTTGTAAGAGAAACCAACCAAAAATACGGCTTCTTCTATACTTCCCCTTTACAGCTTACCACCCTCTCCTAGAGGAAGTAGGACGTTGGTAGGAGGACGCATTGATGAATTAAGAAAGAAGGGTAAGTCGTAGGTGGGGGGGGGGGGGGGGGGGGGTGACAAACAAGGTTTGTTTTTTTCGCAAAAATAAAAAAAAGAAAAGAGGAGAGTTTTGTGAAGTGCCCGTGGATGCGAGAGGGCACCACCATCCAAATATTCTTTCTGTCTTGTTTTGTCTCCTAGTTTTGGCGGCCGGATTTGACGCAGATGGTGCTGGCTTTCCCCCTGTGCAGAAGGCTACGCTTTAACGCGACAATTTTAAAAGAGAGTCAAGAGATTGGCATGCTCCTTGTATTGTGAAGGGAATGCCTTTGTTTTGACAGAATGTGTTCATAGCAGAAATGTCATGCATATAACCTAGCTTTGTCCATAAACAAAAAGCCTGATGTCAGACAGCCAACAAATCCCCTTCCCATCTCACCCTGACCGGCAATAGCATTTAATTTTGCATCTCATCGACGAGACTTTGTTGCGCTGTAGTGCACACGTTGGATTAATTTGTGTAGCAAACAGCACGTGTCCGAGGGACCCACTTCGAGGAGGTTGACGGTCCCTCCCAGGTTGACTCTGTAGTAGTCCAGCGGGATCTGCCAGGACTCGCCCACGGCCTTGAGCGCAGCAAAGTGGATCACGCAGTCAAACTTGTGCTGTGGGAGATGCAAGAGGCCAGTCGAGTTACGCCGAAGTTCACGGGATCAGCTCAACATCAATAAAGAACTTCATAAGAGAAAGAGAAGTTTAATGTACGGATGATTATACTTATATCGCGTTAAGCTGAGCTGCCTCAATGCGCCACTGCGAAAGGGCAATTTCGTCAGTGTAGTACAACTACATGATGTACATCCCTCAAGGGCCTCTGCAAAGATACTTATTCATGCTGAGATGGTCAGCTGGCTTCAGTGACTTAATTTTTTCTTCGGCGACTGTGCCTCTCTTCAGCGACAAATTCTTTGGGTGTTGTTTCAATGCCATACTAAAATGTTTCATGCGAAAAAATAATTTTGTTTTGGGATGTCGGGGGCCCCTAACTTGTATGCAGACATGAACTCTGCATGCATGCCGTACCACGCTGGCCCACGTCAAAAGCAACTGCGGTCTCTCGAAGCAATAAGAATCGATGTCACTCAAAGTTGTGGCAAAGCCACTCGAATCGGACCTCGAAGCACGCACCGGGAGTGTCCACATTGGGGAAGTGCCCCCATAACCATCTTGGGGTCGCAGTTAACCCCGCTAGTTCAGCCAGGCTTTGAAAGAAGCCCAGCGAACTTGCCTTCTGGAAGATGGCGTCGATGCCGTCCTGATCCAACAGGTCAGCCTTGTAGAAGGTGATTGGTTTCCCTCCTGCCAGCTCCTGGACTCTCCGCAGACTCTCTGGCATCTTGCCGTCCTTGGCTGCAAATGGACAATAATAGCAATTCTTACTTAAGCTCTTTGAGTAAGGGTGGAAATGTTGTGTACCACTACAGTACAGTTAGTTACAGTGCTACAGTGGCTAAATGTCTCATCTATACAGCCAAGACACTGGATGCCCATTGAGGTTAACTTCCTGCTGTCTAAACAAATGCAAAATACAATAGACCGATCTCACCAAGCGTTCCACGCACGCGTCACGCCGCCATAACTGTAGTTCGTAGGAGGCAGACGCCAGTTCACGAGACAGCTCATGCCACCTCGTGCTCTGCTCGCACAGACCTCTAGCAGGGTTGTCGCGCGTGCAGAAAGACTAGAGCTCCCACGACGCATGTCCGCAGCGGTGGCGCACTCAAACTAGCTGGTGAGATCTGTCTATTATGAGGAGGGAGTCAACGGATTTTACCCAAGAAGACCCAGCAACCTGCAGCAGGGCTCAGTAGCAATAAAAAAAATCGCTCATAAGAAACAAGCAGCTAATTTAATAAATCAATATGGTGTGGCACCAGACAGGTAAGAAACAAGTCTTGTACATAAAAAAGTGAATCCATAGAAGCATATCATCAACAAAGTACAGATTGCAAGAAGCTAATCACTCGCAAGTCGAGGGAAGCATAGAGTAAAAAACGAGGATTCCTATGGTCACAAACGACTATAAACTGTTCAGCATTGAACCGGCACAGTTCAATGAGTCGCCGTCAGACGAGCCTGGTAAGGGAGTGTGTTTTGTGTTGTGTAGCGTTGTAAGTGTAGGAGGAAATAAAGTAGCTTCTTTGATCATTTCACTAACAAATAAACTAGCTAGGTCCAACGCAATGCAGTAATCATTTTGGAAGGTTTTTGAAGCCTTCCATCTGCACACCGCAGCAGCAGAGAATGATGCAGTTGAATTTGAGTATAGCTCTTTTAAACCCAGGTCAATGGCATCCTCAATTAAGAACTGCACTGAACTAGCTTGTAATCCACTCTGGACAGATGAAAAGTTTCCTCTTCGACCCTTGTGCCACTACTTTAATGGGCAATGGAGTAGTAGCATTATTATCCTGGTACGAGAAAAGCTGGTATGTTCAGAACAAACTTATCACTAGAGCCTCTCAAGCTGAAAAAGGAAAGGGAGAACACAGATGAGGATGGAGCGACAGAAAACTATTGCTCAATAGCCTTTTCAACTTGGTTTTAAAAATATCTGAGAGAAAAAAAAATAAAAAGAAAAACTAGTTGTTTAATTTTTTAATTTGAGACATCTGATCTAAAGAATGTCTCAAAGACAATTACTACAGCTTTATTTGCCAAGCTGTAGTTGAACATATCACAACCCTAACGGGGGGTGTTCATGACACGCCACTGTAAAAGGTCCCTAGTTCAAGGCTCTGTTATTTCCAGTTTTGTTTTATTTCATATCATATCTTAACATTGAAACAATATGCTATCTTTCACAGTTCAGATTAAAAGGTGTCTTCTTTGGACTTCACCTCCAAGATATAGCCATAGAAAATAGACTGTGAAGCACCCTGGCAAGAGCTCTTTACAGGCTCGCTATCTGACCCTGATAAAGCGTACAGCTGAGGAACACAGTTATCTGAGCAGGCAACCAAACTGCTTGAAAGCTGCAGATATGTTAGTTTGCCAACCAAAGCTTCCAGTTAACAGTGCTTGCTGAATCGGTATGCACGACAAAAATTGCGAAGCTGCAGCAGTTTCAGAAAATATTATTATATTTTTTTCTATTGGAGGCATCTACAAGCTTAATACCATTACATTTATAGATTATTTTGTCACTCTTACGCACACCACGGTAATGTTAAATATCAAAAGTTCTGACTGAGGCTTGGGGGAAGAAAAAATGTATATAAAAAGTCTTCGTAAGGGTTTAATGAAAAAAATAAAAACGGGTCTCAAAGTGTCTTCAATTGTCTCCTTAGTCGACGCAAGGGTCATAAATTATTGCCTACGAAAGGATTTACTGTCACGAATCACTGGAAGCGGGCCCTATAAATATAGCAGCGAAGTGGCCTGGATCCCAGCTACACTACCTCTTTGCGAAACGGACAGATACTTAGCGTCATTACCCAATGTCAAGCCTGCACCTAGGCTTTGCAACTAGTAGAGCTTCGAAAAATGTAGGGCTTTGCAAAATGTAGACAGAATGTAGAGCGAGAGAAAAACAGAACAGATTTCATTCTGCTAATGGACCTTTTTCCAGTAAGGAGCGCCTCATGACGGTTACGCCGCCTACTACAAATGGAGGGCAACCGGACTTGCCTTCTCCCATTGGAACAGATTAGTGTCGCAAGAAAAAAGTGCCCCCCAAGAATGGCGAAAGGGCGGTCAAGGTCAAGGGAAAAGGGTGTGCGCATGCGCAGACGCTTACTGGAAAAAGGTCCATTGCTTTTTCTCTTTGGTGTACAAAGTGCACACCCCAACACAAACTGCTTTTCAGTGGTGCATCTGCAACAGCTGGATTGGCAATTGATTGTCGTGGTGATGCCCTTGACAAATCGCGGACAGCGGCAATGTTCTTTCTAAAATAAAGGGTTGTACGTCTGCCTGCTCTCCACTTCAGTGTATAAAATTGAGGACACAGAAAACTACAGAACGCCACTCCTAACTGTATATATATCTTTTTTTTAAAGTTTCGTCCCTTTAAAGGGACACTGATAGGGTATTTATGCTCGCCTTGGTTTTTATTTGTACATTACATACAAGAGCCCAACTACCCAAAAAAACAATTTGCGGCTCAAAATTTGCTTTCTTTTCGACCGAAAATAGCCGATCGAGAAGCGGTCGGTTTGGGTCGCGCTCACTCTTCTCCGTGGACATGTGCCGTTTATTATGGTTTAGACACAACCACCAAATATAATCAGTCATAGGTCATCGAAAGCACGCACACAATAATAAAAATCGAAAAGAAATATAATATCCATTTTTTGTGGCTTCTAAAAAGCTGCAAATGCGTTGTTTGGAGGAAAAAAAAAGTATCACAGCCATGTGACTTCCGCCACGAGCTCTCTTCTCTATATTTCTTCCTCCTCCCCAGTCCAGTATTGGTTTCAAGCAGTTGCATTTTTTTATTTGCATAAAAATATATGTGCCACTTTAGCAAGTTATTGATTGGGTAGTCTTCCGACACCATAATAAATCGCCTGGCAAAAAATAAAAAATAAATTTTGTTGGTGTCAGTGTTCCTTTAAAGGAGCTGTGCAACGATATTCAATTGGAATGTTTTTTCTCTCTACACGAGCTTACTGGCACACCTGGGACTCAAGGATACTCACACGCAACGCCATTGGCCAAGAAACTCCTTTGTTGCGGTGTAATTTCAAGAACAAAAGCGATCATTTTCGTTCAATCTCTCCTTTGCAAAATTTGATGACGTAACTCGGGAATCGCAGTACACCCAAGTGACGATATTTGAATGCGGTTCATAGATTGTACCCGAGCATTGCGTGAACACTCGACTTGGGCTCGTGACAATTGCTAGCTCGAGAAGCATTCGGGTTGTGACCCGTGTCCAATCGCTGCAACGACGACAACAGCCGAGCCATAACAATGTCTGGAACTCAGCGCGTGTCCTGCGCTTTGCCAACCCCAGCGCGTGGCTATGATCAACACTGGCGGCATGTAATCGGCTCCAAATCACGTGGCCGCTTGTTCTGGCTGCGAGTTGAAGGGGTGAACGCTGCTCGTTTTTCTTAAATTTTTTTCTGGGACTTCTATTGCGTGGGGTGAAAAACGAACGCGTGTTTCATAGGTCATTAACGTTAGGGATCCGTTTTAAGCGGTATTTGTGCACAGTACAAAAATTGTTGCATCGCTCCTTTAATATCGCACTTTGCCTCCGCCTGACCTTGAAAATGTCAAGGAAGGTACTCTAATTTTTTGCAGAAACGGAGCTATGCCTGGAAATTTTATAGGTTAAATTAAAGTACTACACCCTTGATAAAAAAAAAAACTCACTGTGCAAGAGAGCCAATTTTTCTAAATCACTGTATGGCAGAGCCAGTCGATGCCCCCTATATTTGATCTGCATTTCAACAGACAAGTAGGAGTTTAGAATGAACTATGTAGATACTGGTAATTAGGGGGAATGATTGACTAAGACCTTTGGCATAGCAGCAAAGGTGCCACAAACTAACTTACTGCCAATTAATTCATAAGGTGTCAATTGATATTGACCAATGTTTCAGAGTAAACACTCAGTTTTCCTCAGTCAGTATAAGCGGGTTGCTTGCAATAAAAATTTAGGGGGAGCGCATAAATGGATGGACAGAGAGTTCTGGGAATCATGTTTGTCCATCTGTTTATGCTGTCTCCACAACTGTGTCTCGCAGTTTTACACGTATGGCTTGCACATGGCATCGTCGTACTGTGCTGGTGGCCATTTTGAATCATACCTACTGGTTCTTGCCGAGAGAAACAAATTCGGCCGTGCGAAATGCATGTTGCAGAAAATATGTGCTCAGCAGCAGTCCACCACAATGACTGCTGATTTGATGATGTGCAAGTCATAACTATGATGATATATGTTTCAAGGTAAGTATACTAATTGTTCATGAAAAAAAAAAAAACAAGTTTTATATGGACAGTATTATTAAGAGAGAGAGAGAGAGAGAGAGAGAGAGAGAGAGAAAGAGTTAAAGAAGAAATGTGTTCATATATCCTCATTTCACTAGTACGTCTACACGCTAGAGCATGTATGGTATACCCGGATGAGCATTGTGGTAGTTGTCCATCACGACGACGTCGTAACCGGCTTTTAGGAGTTCCAGCGTGGTGTGACTCCCCACGTAGCCCGCGCCTCCGGTGACGAACACCGTTGCTTTCGCCATTTCCTGAAGAATCAAAAAAAGAAAAGACAAGTCGTCAATTATGACATCCCATCGAGAAACAGCCTTTAATCCCTCCAAGCGAGGTACAGGTACGATATGACGTCACGGCCCGTGCTATGATTAGAGGTTCGTGCAGCCGGTACCGTACGTAATTCAACTGACTCCTAGACGACAGCTGTGTTCTCACTGGCTCCAATAAACCCGGACTAAATGTGGCACCGAGTGTGGTTCTCTTTTTATTAAGTGCCACGTGGGCCACCTATTTTAATCGAGGTATCAACTTAGCTACTGAGGGAGTGTTTGATCTAACCGACCGGACAGTGCTTAATTGCCCGATTCATCGGTAAAAATTAAAACTTTAAAGTCTAATTAACATTCCGACAGTTTCTCAGCATGAAGCATAATTGTTCAATTCTTCCGGGGAATCGGTAGCGCCTTAAGAAACGATCACGAGAAAATCTTGGCGAAAATTGATGGGTTTGACTCGTAATGTAAACAGAGGCTATACTGCTTCCTGTTTGTTATCTGAAGCTCGTTGGGAGTATAGTGGAAGCTTTTGCGCTATCTGGAAATCAGAAGAGAACTCACTTGTAGTGTTTTAGGTTGCCGAATGACCGATTTTCGGGAGCTCGGGGGAGATCCGTCAGTTACGTGTCATCCAAGCGAGCGCAGTGCTCGTACACCGAACGCACATGTGTTTCGGTTTGGTGAGTTACTAGGCTTGTAGTTGAAGAGAAAAACTAACTCAAACAAAGTAGTGGCGCTGCAAGTTTTACACTTAGTTTTATATGCATTTTTTTTAATATAATATTTTGTTAACATGCTTATCTGAATATCGAGTCAATTTTATGGCAAATTATTTTATTTTTGTTATTTTATAATATTATTACGGCTATTTTTACTTTACTTCGTGTTTGTAAGAATTTCGACATGGGTCGTCGCAATGCGGTTGACATCAGTTTTTTCTGGATTGACGGATCGAGGACGATTGCTCGCCTGCTCGAAGAATATCAAGAAATTTCATCCCAGGTATGATCTGCGTTCCACGAAAGGCTTTTAGACTATCAGTATTCTTGCCCTGAATTTCTGAATTGCTTACTCTAGAAACAATTCGTGTTTGTCTGGCGTTCTAGCAAGTTATCGTTACCCGTAAATTCCAAACTTCGAGAGAGAGTGGGAGTGGATACACCCTTTTAGTGGCAGTCAAACTCCTTGATAAGATATATAGTATTTCCATGTTCAAAAATTTGTCGCGGAACCCTTGAACCTGTTTGGCTTACAAAATTTGGTCTACTGCAGTAAGGGAATGCATATTTTCGGCAGTGTTGTAAGCCATTCTCTCAACCTGTTGAATATCTCGTATGGCCGCCTGTCGAGGAAAGGGGAAGAATTTGATTGGTCGATTCTTCGTAGACGTAATAGAAACACAAAGAAGCAACGAATCAGGTCGTCCGATCGGTCGCCCTCGCGTAGGAGGGAGAGAATGTTTTAAATTGCCCGCAATTACTGACTGGACTACGTGACGCCTTCGTTCCTGAAATGTGACGCGTCAACACACGTAAACCAAAGCAAGGGGCCTACCATAGCACCGAGTGTGTGCACTTGGACGGGCGTGTAATGCCCGCTCGCAGTTGCCTTACCCTCCCGGGTTAGACCAATAAACAAACAAAACAAACAAGCAAGACATCGATAATGTAATAATAACTAAAACGTCCAATGGAGTTTGATTCGGTGTCTTATTTCTTGGCCGGCAATTCGTGATACTAAATTCCGGCGCGCATGTATTATTTTTCATTACTTGCACTGCCCTGGAACTACCAGGTATCCGTAAAGGCGTGATTTGCGTTTATGATCGTGAATTAGCCACGCCAAATTTGCGGGACCCTGCTTGATTCAAATCAAACCTCCCCCCCCCCCCCCCCCTAACAAAAAAAAAAAAAAAAAAAAAAAGAAGAGTGTAACCTGTTTTTTTTTTTTTTTTTTTTTTTTTTTAGCACCAGATTTTGGGAAGGTGAAACGTCTTGCAGACGATAGTAATATTTATCGCAACTGACTTATATTTAGGTGCATTGAGGTGCTGGGTAAAGCGCATCTGAAAAGTATTAGAAGTAAAGCACGGAGTAAATGAGAGGTCATGTATTTTAATTAAAGAAGTAAGTACACCGGACACAATGTACTTGAAGTAAAGTAGCATAAATACAATGTACTCTCAAGTAAAGTAGCATAAATACAATGTCCTTTCAAGTAAAGTTCACATAATTTTTAACACGACCTTTCATGACGTCTTTTCATTCCCCTACACAGTGTTAAAAAAAAAAAAAACGGTATGCATTGTCAGAGGGGTAATTGGAGGTGGCAAGACATCATTTTGGTATACAAGTTTAACAAGACCAAATTTGGGCTATGTACTTTCTTCGGAAAGTATCCGAGAAAAAAAAAAAGAAAAACATTGTAAATTCAAGTGCATACTCAAAGAGTCTATTTGAAGTCCAACACTGCTTGTTAACTAGCATTTATAGTCCGTTGTGAGGGAAAGGAAAACCGGGGAGGAGGAAGCAGACAGAACCAACAAAACGCTGGAGAGAGGAGGAGGTTTCCCCCTCTCCCCTGCAGCGTTCCGTCTGCTTCTCCCTCCCCAGACTTCCTTTCCCTCGTCCTCCCTTCTTCAGCTGTAACTTATTATATTGGACATATGACATCACCCCAGTTTTAAAACAATAGGCATATTCACCGTCAAGAGTATTCCCGTGAAGTGCGCTGCGCTTTATAGCATAATGAAATTTAGATTTCGCATTTCACATACTTTGATTAGGAGGCTCAAGTACAACGAAACATGATAGTTCATCTATAATCTTTAAGACTATAAATTTGACACTAAAAAAAAAAAAAAAAAAAGAAACTGAAATAAAGAAATTGGATTATTTCGATTACATTTTTCGAGCGCAGCTCTTAGGCGCCCGTTTCCGGCCTGAGTGGCAATGCCGTCGCCGTCGGCGTAACCGCGCGTTGCATTATGGGACGTTTCCCATAATGACGTCACACGTGACGTCACGAGGGTTACGAGTGACGTCACTCGAGACCAGTGCGTTGCAGTATGGGACGTTTCCCATAATGCAACGCGCGGAGGAGGAGGAGGAGAGGGTACGGAGGAAAAGGGGCATACCCTCCCTCCTGTCCGTACCCTCCTCTCCTCCTGCTTAAGAGTGGGAAATTTCCCGCTAAATGGCAGGGGAGCAGGAGAGGAAAGGGAGAGGAGAGTACGGAAAAGAGGCTATGCCTCTCCTCCTCCTCTGTACCCTCCCCTCCTCGTCCTCAAAAGCTGCGCTCTATTTCGGCATTACAGAGAATTGTAAACGTATACATTTTTTTTAATCCTGTTACAAATATGAAGTGTTACCACTTTTTTCCTTTAAAAAGATTTGATGTGATTGCATATGTATTTTTTTATTATATTATTCTTCTCTCAAAATACAAATGTGGTTACTCATAAACAAAATACAATAAAACATATATATATATATATATATTTTTTTTTTTTTTAACAATGTGTGCTTTAAAACAGGGACAAAAGGAGAGGCACAGAGCACGAAGCGATACATATTGTGTCCCTCTCTTTTTGTTCTTGTTTTACGGCGCACATTGTTTAAAGCAGGGTGTCGAACCGGAACCGAACCGAACCGAAAACCGGAACCGAACCGGTATTTGTTCCGGAACTGAACCCGAACCCGAACCGTTATATTGTTATCGTGATGAACCCGAACCGGAACTGAACCGGAAAAAAAATAACGGTTACCGGCTCATGTCAAAACGGTTCGGCCACGCGCTGTTGACAATGAATGTGCTATCAATGCCATTTGTTTTTTAAGTGCCGTCAACTGACACACACCTCGCTTACATATTTTTCTTCTCCACTCAGTCTTAGAAATATAAACGCTGCATCCATGAATCTTGACAAACGCTGCATCCATGAATCTTGACATAGGAACCAGTATTGCGCTGGTCGCGGCTTGCACGGAAAAAAAAAAATTAAAAGGCTGTGCAAAAAAAAAAAAAAAAAAATCGCGTCACGGGATTTTATTTTCCTACAATCTCGTAAATCCTAAATGCTGCTGTGTGCTCATTCCATAACACGTTTCTAAAACGCGCGAGTGCTTGAAGCTTGCTTCCATCGGAATGAGAAAAGAAAAGGCTGTGGAGTTTGATAATAATGCATCCGGTCTCGTATAGGCACTTAGAAGCTAACATATTTGTAAGACAGCGAACTCCTCTATTTTAATATTTATCCTATTACGTCCTTCTGGCGTTGCGTTCGGTGAAGTGTTTTTCATATTCCGTATCTTGTTTAATGAAAACTTCTTTAAAGGTCTACTTTGAGTTACCGAAGGCTAGTTCAAATAAAAAAAGCTGTATTTTCTCCCCACTGTTCCTTCCATTGCTTACACGCCGAGGTGGCGGGATAGTTAGCGAGTTCTACTTGTAAGTGGGTTTGTGAAAAGGTGGCGGATTTTACAGCTACTGCGTCGGACCCAATTAGATGAAGTCCGAATGCGTAAACGTCGGTGAGGTAACCTTTGAGTGCACATAAAGAAACCATTCCTGGTAGAAATCCCTGAGCCTTACGCTACGATGTATCCAGTTTCGTATGTGCTGATTTCATATGTTTTATTTGTAATTTATTTTGGTGTTTCAATTTGTCATTTATAATTTCCGAACCGGTTCGCGAACCGGTTCAGCGCCCCGAACCGGTTCGCGAACCGGTTCGCGGATCGAATTAGTCGAACCGGAACTGAACCGGAACAAAATAAATTTACCTGAACCTGAACCGTAACCGAACCCGTATTTTTTTCGGTTCGACACACTGGTTTAAAGAATCGTGCACAAAAGAGCCCACCCGCACGCACGCGCACATACACGCACACACACACACGCGCGCACACACACGCGCACACACAACGGCAGCCATCGGAACAAGTATTTGTCGTATAGACAACGCGGCACGCAATGCAAGAGGTAGCTTCGCGAAGCAAGCATGAGTTGCTGTTTTCCCTATGTTCTGCTCGTTTTGGTTGCTGCACGGAATCGTTGCAAATGTGTGAGCCTGCAGCCTTAACCGTCAGCACATACCAAGTGTTCCATTTTAATTCGAACAGCTTTAATAGAAAAAAAAAAAAAAATATCCGTAGAAGATGCACTAATACAGTTTGGGCCGGTTAGTTTTAATAAACGACTAGGGAGACATCATATAGGTGGCTTATGTTTGAGATAAGTCGGATAATTAACTCAGCTTCCTTAACTAACTTTTAATTTGTAAAAATAATCATATTGTTTCCATTAGGAACATGCTGAGCATAATCGAAAATCATTATATTGGTCGATTTTAGAACGACTTGAAGCTCGTGGGAAACTCGGGGGTGCATCAAAGTTACCACTCGTGAAGCAGGCGCAAAGCAGTAGCGAAACGCGATGATAATCAAGTCATCCGCGTTTTGCCGCTGCTAGCTTTGCGCCTGCAGCACGAGTGATAACTTTGATGCACCCCCGAGTTTCCCACGAGCTTCAAGCTCTAAAATTGGCTGAAATTGTGGTTTTTGATTATGCTCAGCATGTTCCTAATTAAAATCATATTATTGTTTTTCTAATTAAAATGTTAATTAGGGATGTTTAGTTAATTATCCGACTTGTCGCAAAGATAAGCCACCTATATGATGTCTCCCTAGTCGTATATTATAACTTACCTGCCCAAACTGTATTAGTGCATCTTCTACGGATTTTTTGTAATAAAGCTGTTCGAATTAAAATGGAACACCGTTATATATATATACATACAGGGTGTTTCTTTTTTTTATTCTTTCACATTTGTTTAAAAAAAAGCCGTGAAATCTACAGTTATGCGGTTTGTGCAGGTGAGTTATACGGCCAGGGGAACATAGTATAGGAAGATAGTCGCAACTATCAGTCGGCTAACTAAGTAAAGTTTCTTAATGAAAATTTTAATTCGAGCAAATAGACATATAGTTCTAATTAGAAACTTGCTGAGCATCATCGAAAACCACTAAATCAACTCTTTTTATAAGGATATCACGTCGGAGCAGCATTTTACGGCGTTCTGTAAAAACGCTTCATTTGAACGCGTTTCTAGATTTCGGTTTCTTATCGGAGCACATCTTTTCGCCCGCGGTCCTGCTCCCCGGTGGTCGCGGCGCGAAGCCACCCCCTCGCCTCCCTCGTAGAATGGAGGGAAGTAGGGCGGATGTGTGTTGGCGCGTCGCAGCCACTGGGGAGCAGAGGCCAGATTCATAAAAAACCTCTTACCTACGACAACTTAGCTACGAAGTTCGTAAAGTTACGATCATCGTAAGATGAGGCGAGAACGGTATTCACAAACGCGTTCTTAAGTGAGAGGAGGAAAGTTACGACCTTTTACGGAGAAACGATGACTTCCGGTGCTGTTGCTATGGCAACGGCGTCTTCGGCAGAACGAACCAATTAGAGAGCTAGGCATATAGTTCGGAGCACGTGGATTTTTAATAACAAACACAGGCTAACCACTCGTTGATAGACAGCTCTGTGTATGTCCTGTCCTGTCTGTGTGTAAACGTGTTGTGTTCAAGCTCATTCTCATAAACACGGGCGACCTTTCCACCACCGCTTGTCTGGGGTTCGTGTCCGTGCAGTGGTATATCGACGCTAACACGATTTAAACGCTTCGTTGACTGCTACAAACTCGATCGCTACGAAGTCAACACAACTGTCATCGTTGGTAAAAGCCCCGTGCCAGTCGTTTCCAAAGCGACGTAGAAGGAAACAAACCGCCGCGGCGTTTTTCACGGCCTCGGAAATGCAGGTGTGAGCCGATGTTCAAAAAGATACGTTTGAACTACGAGAGTGTCAGCAAGAGTCACGCAAATACCTGTTCACACTGAACAGACGCGTGCGTTTGATTGAAGTGCTGGATTCAGACCGCGTTTCGGTAAGCGCCTCGGGACCGATCTTCTACGATTGCACCTCGATACTGACGTGACACTCGGCAAAGAAAGGTTGGACCGGCATCGCGTAGCTCCCACAAACCGATAAAGCTCGACAGTTAAAAATGGCATACTAATAACAAAGTGTACATACCGTGTTGCGAAGGTAATCCATACGGCGTTTATTTGAGCTCTATATCACACAAAACAAGGAGATAGAATCGAGGAGTCCCTTTTCGACGACAGCGTTCGTCACCGCTGCCTCGGAAAACAAGGCGATCGAGATGATAAGGGGAATCGGTTGACCTCTGAAATTTAGTTCAGCTATCAAACTATTCATACGGGGAGGGTCCACGAGGGTCGCACGGGCAGATTCCATTCAGCAAGCCAGCCGGTCGTGGGCAGACGGTCTTGGCCAAGGACCGTCTGAGCAATGCTGCGCCGGAACGGGACGGAGTGCCTGCTAGGCCTATATATTCTGCCGAGCTCGCTTGGTCGGTGGGATCGTCGCCTTTGTTGCCATTTCCGGGTGTCTGTGGATCCAGCGATCATGTTCGTCGTGGTCGGTTTCAAGTACGTTTTACTTTCTTCTTGCTGCTTGAAGTCGGGACGCGTGAGAAGCGCACGTAGAAAAATAAACGTCCGTGGGTCGTTGCGACCGCGGCGCTGTCGGCCATGCTGATTTGATCGTAAGAAGTGCGTAAGACAGCTTCGGAGCTGTCGTAGGATTTTGTCGTAACCTGTGCAAAAGTTACGACAATTTCGTTTCGAGAATACGGATTTTCTCTTAACTTTGTCGTACGCATTTTTTTCGTCGTAAGTTCGCTTTGAGAATCCGGCCTCAGGACCGCGGGCGAGAAGATGCGCTAAAAAGAGTTAATTTAGTGGTTTTCGATGATGCTCAGCAAGTTTCTAATTGGAACCATATGTCTAATTGCTCTAATTAAGAAGTTAATTAAGAAATTTTACTTAATTAGCCGACTGGTAGTTCCGACTACCTCTCTGTACTATGTCCCCCTGGTCGTATAACTCACCTGCACAAACAGCAGAAGTGTAGCTTTCACGGATTTTTTTAAACAAATGTGAAAGAATAAAAAGAAAGAAAAAAAAACGCCCTGTATATAACAACAACAACTTATTGAATTTGTTTTCTTTTATCCGGCGGGCGGGCCGTTGTACGATAAAGGGAGCTTCATAAAACTCCGTCTGGGACGGTTCCATCCCCCCTTTCCCGCCTTGATACCAAAGCGCTCTCCCCCTTCCCTTCCCCCGTCATAGCAGAAACAGCCAAGAACAGCAATAAGAAACGAAAAAACAAAAAAACGTTGCGATAATCTTTGACGCGGTCCGTCTGCAGCGTCGTCTCTAGTCTCATCAGTCGACATCCGCGAGCAGAAGCAGCAGAGGGCACCATGGCATCGACGGCAGGACGTGTGCTGGTGTACGGCGGCAAGGGAGCGCTGGGCAGCTCGATCGTGTCCCTGTTCCGGCAGCACAAGTGGTGGGTGGGCTGCGTGGACCACTTCGCCAACGAAGAGGCCGACGCCAACATCTTCGTCGAGTCGAGCGACTCGTGGACCAAGCAGCACGATGCCGTGCTCCAGGCGGTGGCCAAGGCGCTCCAGGTGGGTCTGGGGGCCGGACGCGCGTGCCGTTGCCGTTTTGCGTCCACCGCGAATGAACTAATCTGTAAGCTGCCTCGGTGGTTCCGAGGCACAGCGCCGGCCTACGAACCCCACGTGGTGGGTTCGAATCCCGACTAAGCCAGTCACTCACAGTGAACGCGCCGCGATCCTGCTTTTTCTTTTGTGATTGGTTGGTTTCCGGGGAGAGCAAACCCAAAAGACGACAAGCGCCGTGACGAGGTACAGTCTCCTACAATATGAAAGACCCACTGGGAGCGCGTGACCGGGACGGCGGCGGGCGGAGGCGGTGCGCACGCTTCAGGCGATTGCCTTCTGCTTTGGGGGGAGGACGCTCACACGGAGCTTGACCGGGCCTCAACGCGCTTTTGGTTTTGGTTTAGCGGAAGAGCGCGCTTCATCGCCGTCATGCCCAGAGATATGGTCACGATCGCTCGAAACGAGATAGTCATCGTCTTTTTATTAGTTCTTTCTGGTGTAAAATGTCAGAACCGGCACGGCCAAATAAAGAAATATTGAAGTTATACCTTAGTCCTATGTTTGAAATATGAGATTTGTCGAAGAGCACATTCATTGGTTAGAAGGATGTCGCGGATCTCGCGCTTTAACGGAGAAGAATCACCTTGGCTCCGGTAAGTCTCCTTCGGACAGCAATTGCGGCGTTAGAGAGACATAACCGTGGCATGACGCTGACGAATTGCTCTCCGCCGCGTAACCGAAATTGATAGGCTTGCGTTGCGCTTTAGCTGAGCTGGGCGAGTCCTCCCCTCAGGGTAGAATGGAATCGCCCGGAGCACGCACAGCGACCCCGCTAGCCACAGTCTCGGCCACGCGCTCCCAGGGGGTCTTTCTTATTGCAGGAGACTGTACTTTTGGCTCTGCTTGATTGGCTCCATCGGGAAAAAAAAGTCGCGTCCCTACAGATGGTGCTTGTAAACGCAGAGTAATGTTCGTTATCGTTAAAGGGACCATGAATGATGAAACGATATATCTACTTCGGCTACGAATAAATGCTTCACGTTCATACAGCAACAAGGAATCGGTTTTTATTTCACGAAAAAAAGGTGGGGCTCAAAACGCATGTCAGGGCACAAAAAGTGATGCTCAAATGTGAGACTTAAACGCACGAAAAGTGCGTTTGAGCCTCGCATTCCTACTCTAAAACTCCTCGCTCTCCCTTTCCCCGAAAAAAGAGTTTCTCTTCCCCTCTCCATCGAAGGCTTATCTCTTGCAGCACCTCCTACATAATAATAGGGCATACGTCTCAACACTATGCTGATGCAGCGCACTCTTGTTTAGTTCCTTACACGAGCGAATGCCTCTTTAGGCGACGTCAGCTTTCCAAATTCGCTGTGTACTCCTGGCAACAGATAATCCGCGGCATAGGTCGGCCAGAGTTTGAACATGGCCGGGTCATAACTCTCAGAAGTAGTAAAACAGAAAACGAAAGACAAAGGTGCAGTCAATGGCTTCAGAACGCCACACGCCACGTGTGAAATTTGATGGGGTCCCAACACCGGAAAAGTCGTACGGCTCCCCATCTATTTCACGATCGCTCCATAGTCTGTTGCAGGTTAAGAAAAGCATGGTGTAGCTCCTCCCACAAAGTCCTCCACTCTTTCCACTTTAGCAGGGCGAACGCTGGACAGGAGGATACCTCCATTGATGGCGAGCAGAGAGCTTTGTGGGGAATGCCTTCTATTCTTGACCTGCAACAACAGACAAAACCCACCGCCAACTTGGCTCAGTGTTGAGCTTGTGTAACGTGTTATCCCGAAGGAGATGCGATCGAGATCTAGGCCCCTAATTTCAACCCTCAACAAGAAAGTTGGCGAGACATCGTCGACTTTCTCTCCGAGTGTCCGTCTTAAAGCCCTCACTCAGATCCCATCTCCCCCCCAGGGTGACAAGGTGGATGCCGTCATCTGCGTGGCCGGAGGTTGGGTGGGCGGCAACTGCGCGTCCGCCGACTTCGCCCACCAGTGCGACTCCATGTGGAAGTCTAGCGTCTGGACGTCGGCCATCGCCGCGGGCCTGGCCGCCCACCACCTCAAGGAAGGCGGCCTGCTGGCCCTCACGGGGGCCCAGGCCGCCCTCAAGCCCACGCCCGGCATGATCGGCTACGGCATGGCCAAGGCCGCCGTCCACCACCTTGTGGGCAGTCTGGCCGGCGCCAAGAGCGGGCTGCCCAAGGCGGCTTCCGTGGTGGCGCTGCTGCCGGTGACGCTGGACACGCCGGCCAACCGGAACGCCATGCCCAAGGCCAACTTCGGGTCTTGGACGCCGCTCAGCTTTGTGGCCGAGACGCTGTTCAAGTGGACCAGTGGATCGGAGAGGCCCTCTAGCGGCAGCCTCGTCCAGCTGGAGACTAAGGAGGGCAATACCTCCTTGACCATCGCCAGCCCAATGTAGTTGACCACTTCTGTACGCGGTTTCACCTTACGATGAACCGGGGCGGACGTTAGGGGCCATCCCAGCCAATCCGGCTCTAGGAGAGTATCATCACCACGCGTGTTGCTGCGCTTCTCCCAAAGGTCATGTGACATTCACACGGCATTTGGCTTACATGGCTTGTAGCGTATGCCGCGGTCCACCGCAAAGTGAGTAAATGCTGTTACCAGAAAGAATGGCTAAGCTCCTTTCAAAGTATCCGTGTAACTGCCATATCGCTGGGGCCGTTCCTGTGTGATGTACTGGTTATTATCGTCCATCGTGCCAAGGATGGTTCACCGCCTCTCAACATGTTTTTTATTCTGTAGGTGGGAGTGGACCATTGAGATGTTCCGATTAACCATCCGGAATCTTAAGAATGTCCGAATAAATTATCAGTAATCTCTGGAATTAACTCTAGAAGCAGGACGAGGACTTTCTGAAGTGACCTGGATGGGCCATCAGAATGTCCTTATGAAGCCGCTACTGAACCATCGGAAGTTCCGGGCGAATCAATCCGGGTCTCTGGAAGGTCCCGATGAACGAGCTTGTCCCGAAGAATCGTCGGGAGTTTCCGCGAGGTCTTCGGGTGTGAGGGCAAGCGAGCAAGAGTGTGGTTAGGGGAGGCTCGTATTTCCGTTTGCTGGTTGGCGGTGATGTTAATTCTCGTAAAACGCGGGCACAACTCCAGCCTGCATTTGTGCTCGTGCAAGTGTGTGCTCCGTGAAACTATAGTTACTATGCAGCTACGAAATAATAAAACCCGTTTGGTGTAAGAACGTGCCTCATTTAATATTATTAAATGCGTTATCATTTATTGCCCTGGTGCTTGCAGCCTTCGTTCGTTTGAACAGTCCTAATTTGGTCTATAGGCTAGTTATGCGGCGCGGCAGCGTGGTGCGCGGTTCCCAGTGTGCTCTTTCGCTCCGCTCGTCCGCTCGTTACGTGCTGTTTCCAAAAAGGAAAGCGTCTTTTGGCAAGCTTCCAGTGACGTGCCCCCCGGAAGCGGGAGAGGAGGGGATCGAGCGGCCGTGGAACAACGTACGCTACAACGTAAAATCGAAGCGCAGCGACACCGTTTGCGCGAAACCGCCGACAGCCGGGAGAACAGACTGCCCTCCGAAGACTACATACAGTACGCGGACTGTTGCGATATTCACATTCCCATTATTTTCGCGGAATTTGAATCCCTGCGCTAAATGCTAACGCACTGCGTCGAGAATCATCTTAGTGGCAGCGGCGATTTCGGCACAATTTTTACTATTTTAATATTTCGAAAACTCGCTGTTGCTTTATGAAGGAGAAAAAAGAAAAGTACAAAGCGACATCACAGTGTCGCTTGTTTCAATTATTCTGGTTCCACCCTTTCATGTCAGACTGTCTTTTGACTTGGACGAATTATTTTGTATATATACATAATGTCGGAAATATGTGTTACATGAAAGAATGTCCCATTTTCCAGACCACATGCCTGCGGGGACAAGATTTGACAAAGGGACGCTTTTTGTTAGGTAGTCCGCTCCTTGATGCGTGCGAAGTGCGCATACACAGCACACTTTGAGAAATGCGTGATGTGTTAGCTCATAGCGAAGCTTCTATCATACATGCATGCATACATCATCCATGGCGTCTATGTAATATTTTGAGTGGGTCCGAGAGCGCTGGACCAGATTCAAAAAGAGACACGACCAGCCCCGTCCGAATCCAAGCACGATCTTTTTTGATCACGAGCCCACCGTGCGGTATCAGTCCGGCACGTTAGAATGTGCAGCACGGCGGCGCGGCTTTGAGTTCACGTGCTAAAACCACTACAGTGTAGTAATCAACGATCTTGGAAAAACAAATCTGTTCATAGTCCGCACCTGCGTACACGTAGTCCGTATGGCGTAACATTTCAACTTTTAAACGTAGTAAAGTCTTCGAATTACAGTCCGGATATAAAGTTGGAAACACGTGGCATACAAGAATCGATTGATGAAACTGGTTTTGTGTTCGCAAAAAAAAAAAAAAAAAAAAACTCACTTTTTTTTTTCTATTTTATTTGTTGGCGGAGGGATCCGCACACGTTGTGTCTCCAATTTCGAAATGCACCGAAACGTGGGCGTACTACGTTAACTGTCCCTGTAATCAGTTCTTGTCAGCCCTCCCGTCTGGGCAAACCGCCGACCTTGTCAGCATTCGCGGTCCGGCGATACGCCGCCGCTGACGCCGCCGCCTCTGCTGCGTTTGCTTATCACCGGGAAGGGCCCGAACGCCGAGCAACGCCTGGGCGCCACGAACGAACGCGAGAGCGTAGATTGAACCGAATAAATTCCCAGGATTTGTTATCGCAAAGTGTGGATCGGGGGTTATCTCGCACGAGCGACGGTCACAATGCTATAAAAATAAGTCAGCCTGCAGCAGACACTGTCTGAGCCGCTGATCTTCCCTGTTTGGCGGTTCCGTCACACTGGTCGTGCAAGAACCGTCCGCAGACATGTTGGACGAATACGTGCATCTATGAAGCAGACGTGTTTCTTCGAGCAGGATTGAGGTTTGTTCGTTGATAATTATGTCATCTGCTGCGAATAACGCGTCTTTTCTATCGATGTATGAACAGACAACGTTTCATTGCGAAAAAAAGAAAAGGTCGTGAAGGGTACATTAATATGATCTGTGCAGACGAGTTCTATACGGTCAGCGGGTATTACACAGCGGGAGTCAGTAAAGTACAGCTCCTCTATCCTGGTTAAAGTGGCGCCATTCATTGTTGCGGAAATGCTTGAGACACGTGCCGCGTGTCACTTCTGGGAAGAAAATTGGCGTCTGAAATCAAGCTCAGTGCTGCGCTGTGCCGCCATGATCTTCCCAAGGGCTGCACGTTGCACGTGCCTCGCGCATCGACGCACCTTGCGCTACTTTTAAATCATGAAGGGGCTTTAGGAGGCAGTGCCAACAGCAGCGACGTGACGTTGAGTTGGTCTGTTATCTATGTTTTCTATCTATCTATCGGCAGTCATGTTTTTTTTTATTATTATTATCTAGTTTCGGTTTTAAAGGTGGTAATAAAAATTCGGTCACACAGACATATACGAGGAATATATTTCTCTTACCAGTTGATTGATTGATAACACGTTTCTTGAAAGGCCAAAAAGGGGAGAGGGGTGGGGGAAGTCATGGACAGTTCAAGAGGGTACAGATTATGATATCTTTTTATGCAATCGAAAAATAGTAACTCAATGTTTTCAATGCGTTTCTAATATCGAATCGCCGGTATTGTGTTCAGCGCTACATCTCGGTGTTTATCTTCACACGTCGAATACCGGAAGACGGGGACAGCATGCAGCTTCAGCACCCATTTCAAGAACCAATCGTCGAACCAAATATAAACCACAAGAAAAAAAAAATGATTTACGTTTTGTTGAACGCCCACTTTCCACCAAAATGTAGCGGTTCAATATATTTATGTGATTTTCGGAGTTTTTTCATACGAAAGTGGTGGCGAGCCTCACCTCACGAATGCATGAGGCTGAATGGCGCGAATCACGGTGAACGCGCTCCGTTTTCCCATTTAAAAATTACAGAAAATCACTTAATTATTACGTGTGAACAAGAGAACTGTTAGCTCGGAAACTTTTGTATCCGATCCGATTGGGGATGCGTATAGTTAGTCTGCGTTAAAACTAACCACTGTACTTTATTTTTGCTTTCTTTGTGGGCAAGACCTGTACATAGTGTATACTATAGCAAATTCGGCGCTCATTCGGGACGACCGATAAGTCTATCCACTTTTCTTTCACGTCATTAGGATTGGTCAATTATAATTTCTTGTCTCGGGTACCATTTTTGTAACGATTGGTTATCAATATTTTTTTTTTTTTTTTTGATATTTCACTAATCGTATATACCTGCTTGGGCGAATTATCTATGGGCTTCTTGACTCGGTTACACCCTTCTGCGAGCAAACATAGTTAGACTTTATTCGGCGGATGAAGACTCATCGATTTTTCAGTATACCACTACCATTTCCGCAATCGCCGGTCGAATTTGTTAGCTTCTTGTCGAATTTTGGCTGCCCGTCCTGGCGTAACCGGTCGGATTCTTCTTCTGCCATCTCCAGACGTCCTCGCCTGGAAATGAGAGCAGAGACGGGCCTGTCAAACAAACAAAAGTATACACACAGGAAAAAAAAAAAAAAAAAAGATTAACAAACGTTTTTTTTTGATGAGCGAGACCGCTGCATTGCTCCCTGCAGTGTTACTCGCACAAAATGTACCAACTCGTGTTTGTGACGTCAGGAACGCGAGTTTCTCGACGTATGTGCAGTGCCCAGATCTTTATTATCCATAAACAGTCTGAGATATGATTCATGCATAAAACATACTACCTTTTTTTTTTCGTTTTACCCGTAGATGTTTCATGCCGGCGAAAGGTGAGCAGATTTTATATTCACCCAGTGACAAAATGTGACATCAAAAACGCACATATGAAACACTTTTCTCTCGGCTGGACTGTTAGTTAAATGTAGTTAGTTAAGCTCTTGTCCTGTCCTCTCCTCTCGCACTATTGTATATGCTCTTCCGCGAAACATCAGCCGCTGAACATGTGCCCTGGGCCCAGTGACTCAGCATTTTTGTAACCACGGGTGATAAGCGCTGAAAATAGGTATATTTGTGCGTCACGCACACATGCGGAGGAGCGATTTGTCCGCCTTCCAGCCGAGTTCGTCCCGAGCCAGCTTGGAGCTGGCCACCATCTTGGCCACGTCCCCGGGCCGTCGTTCCAGGACGTCGTACGGTACGCGGACCCCGGACGCTTCCTGGAAGGCGGCGATGACCTCGAGCACGGAGGCGCCGCCGGTGCCGCCGTTCATGTTGTACGTCTGCGCAGTGTAGATGGAAAGAAAGTCTACGGTAGCCTTGACAACGCAGCACAAAAAAAAAAAAAAAAACACTGAATCGCCTTCTGCGTGGTATCATCATTGTCTACTGTTGCAGAACGCACGCGTATACATCCACCGGCCAATGACTCGGCATTCTTTGCCTGCTTGGTGAACACTGTAAAGGCGTATACAGCTGTCGTGCAGCTGGGGATGAGGAACGCTGTAAAAGTGCAAGTTGTCTGCGCCCTTCCTGGCGCGCGTGATTGCGAGAGACTCGTGTTGCCACCCAGCTATCCTCACCTTGATTCCCGTCAGGCTCCCGGTCATAATCTTGTTCACAACAGTCACGTGACCCTTGGCGAGATCCACGACGTGCACGTAGTCTCGAACGCCTGCACGCATATATGACAAGCATGGAGGGTCCTCATGTTTGGTCAAGACACCGCGACGCGAGCCAGGTCCTAGCGATTTTTTTTTTTTTAAGCGTGCACCTTATGGTGCGTTGAATCGTAGAAGGAACCGCACAGACACCAACCCTTCCCGCCCCAACTTCCACCAGCGAACAAACCGAAAATTTAAACGTGAATATGTAAGTCGTCAAAAGCCCGACCACGGCGAAAAATTCTTGTGTCATAACCGTGCTCGGAAGCTGACAATTTAAATTACTGTCCAATTTAAATACTATTCATGTGTTAATTGTTTACCCTAAGTTTTCGTCCCAATGGATGAGAAACTTTTCACCAATTTGTGTGGCCGAGAAACCTTTCACAATTTTTTAATGCGAAAGCATTAATTGGGGGGGGGGGGGGGTTCCATGGAGCGAGCTGACGTCATCAGTTTGAAGCTCAAAAACGGCACCTAGTTTCCGCGATCGCCTTCAGTTACGTTGACTGGCGCGCGTCGGCGGGGCTCCCGTTGGCCGCTCACCCCATGGCGCTGCGTGTCCATCATCCATCACCAGGGGAGCACGCGCGCTGACCGACTACGAAAAGTACGCAGCAGACAAATGTGAAAAACATTTGATCAATTTGGACGAATGTGCCACGAGTGAATGTATGTCCCAATTTTCTTTGTGAAACGTCGTCCTGCCCATTTTCTGTATCGTCTACGTTGTGATGTTTCTTATCTACCCCAGCCTCAGGTTAATTCAGCATGGTTAATAGCCTTCAGCTGTTCGTCTATCGTCACTGACAGTTTAAAAACCACATGGCGTGGATTACTATCTTCACGCTTCTTGATTGGTTCCTAGGTTCCTCAACTCACTGACGTCACGCCCCAGCGGTGGCGCTGCTGTCGGTACTGCGCATGCGTAGATGCTTCACTCCTTCCGAGTTTTGTTTGTGCGCAGGCGCAGTGCCCATACCTGGTGTGGGCAAAGCGGGCTTGTTTGGAAACACTGCGGGGCGATCGTAATATGCGGTGGACTCGCCACGCGGTGACTATTGGCGAGGAGATGAACTACAGAAAGCGCTTTACCAATCTTGATTACCACAGAGCTCGGTGTTTACCCAACTCAAAAACCGTGAACTGAAAAATTCTTTACTTGATCTTCCTCGGTCGATCAAGGTCAAGGTCACTGGACGTTCCATCTCAGTTCCAACAGCTGATCAGTGTTCGTTCTCGACTTTTGCTCCGTTGGTGTTTCACAGACTGAGCAGAAACCTCAGCCGAACGCTGAAGCAGTTTTCGGCTATAGACCGACACGCTGTTTACAAACAAGCCCGCGTTTGCCCACACCAGGTGTGGGCACTGCGCGTGATCAGAAACCGAATTCGCGTGAAGAGTCTGCGCATGCGCAGTGCCGTCGACAGCGCTACCGCAGCTGCGTGACGTCAGGGCCGCGTGTTGGTCTATACGTCAGCCGAGCGCTGCTTTAGAAGCACAAACAAACAATTTGTTTGACGATAAAACAGTGAGGGCGCAGGTAAGCTGGTGAATGTTTACCATTTTCTAAAGGATTACGGAAACGAAATTCCAGCGCTCATTTTTTAGCTTTCATGTGTTGCACGTTGCAGCTAGCATAACCTCAAAAACACCATTCTTTCGTTGAAAGGCACAAGAAAACTAAATTTAAAGCTAATTATACGATCTTTCAATGTGCACCTGGTGGATGCCTGTGAAGCCTATTTGGGAGGTAATCTAGCAACGCTGAGGATCTTGCTACGTAGTCATGACGTAGAAAGAACCGTTACGTAGCCGTTCGAAACATCGAAGTAGCGCCGCTCTTTGGAAGTACGCTCAACGGTTTAAAGCGGTCATGAAACGATTTTTCAACTTTTACAGCGGAGCTGTTAAAGGCTAGTTTCCCCAGGATAGTGTCCGCCCAAGGGGGTTAGAAGTACTAGGAGGTGGCATGTTGTAATATTGGTGAAGCCTAGTCATAAAAATTTTAAACGATGTTGTGGCCAACGTGACCATAGATCTCTCTGGCAATAGCTGCGAGTGACATGTCACGTGTGAGATGGGGATTGCAGAAGGATTCCTTGCAGGCTTGAGCGCGCTCCGTCCGGTAGGTTTTATCAGATCGGAGGCTAGACTGTGGTGTCTTCTAGTACCCCATAGCTAGACGAAGGCTAGCTACGGTCACGTGATGTGGTCACGTTGGCCTGATAAGTGAGGAGAGTAAAGAAAAAAATTAGAAAGAGGCGAGGCGTCAAGGGAGCATGGCTTGTGGAGGCTACGCGGCTGGCGTCATGCCCTCTCCTACCCTTCTATCCCCCTTGTGTCCGCCGGATTACAAATGATGACACCGAACTCTGGACAGCTACCGCCATCTATGAGCGACGGCGCCAACCAGACAACTGGTTGCCGCCGTCGCTCATAGATGGCGGCAACCTTTCTTCGGAGTGACCACAACCGGATATGGTTAGAATTCTCCAAGACAAAAGCCCTCTCCGACAAGCCGTTCCCGGCTATCTCCAACGGCAGTGGAGAAGGTGGTGGAGGAGTTTGAAAACAGCACCAAAAGAAAGAGCGCGGCTGGATACGCGGAATATGTGGCAGAATTAAAGCGAATCATCCGACAACATTCTACAAAGAACCGAGGTGGGCGACGACTAAGAAAGCGTTGGTGGGACGCGGAATTCAAGCCGCCATTAGACTAAGACAGGAGCTAAACAGGGAGCATTGCATGGTTCTCCATGGCGGCCCGGCAGACGCTATTGTAATAAGGTGGCAAAAGTGCAAGTTGCAGAAGCAGGCCGTAAAACAGCTTGTGCAGGACAAAATGGCCCAGGCTGATGTAGCCACAATGAGAGACATCAGTTCAAGTGGTCGAAACGCACCCAGAAAGTTTTAGCGATATATCGGAACTCTCAATGGAAAAGACCAGTGCCTAGCAATCTTGAGCGAAGACACAGGGCTGCCCACGGAGAGACTTGGGCAATTCCTTACAGACCATCTCGTTAAAATTTTCTCGCCTCCAGGAAACACCCCACTAAAAATATCTACCCCAAGCAAGGCGCAGACTGTGCACCGGATTGCAATAATGAAACACTTGGTAGGGTGCTAGTTATTTTAGATAACATTCCGGCAAGTGTGCTCAAAGCAAGGATTCCAGGGATCAACTCGCAGAAATTTTTAGGATATTGCATCTGGGACGGAGGAGATTCCTCGAGACGAAATGCGGCAGGGTCGTCCTGATTCCTAAAAAAGGATGTGACCGTCAGTACCTTCGACAGTACAGACCCCTGACTGTGACAAGCACGGTGTATAGGGCATTCGCCCACAACATGAAAAAGCGCATGACCGCATGGGCAGAGGAGGAGGGTAGGCTCACAGAAATCCAAAGAGGCTTCCGACGGGGACGCCGATTAGAGGACCATCTTTTTACCTTAACACAATGTATTGAGGTTGCACGGAAAGAGGAGAGGAGCATAATATGTTGTTTCCTTGACATCGCAAAGGCCTATGATAGTGTTTCCCATGCCCAGCTTGTTGTTAGCCTACAACAGCTTGACATGCCGCCGGAGGGGACAATACTCATCTCCCGCCTATACCATGGCAACACGGTTATGACCCACCTTGATGATGCTCGCTCTGAGGAGGTGCTGGTGACGAGGGGCTTACGTCAAGGTTGCCCGCTTTCTCCCCTATTGTATATGCTATATCTATCCACCCTAGAGAAGCAACTTATACAATCAGGACTGGGCTTTTCGCTAGCACATTTGGAGCATGGTGATCGAGTTGACTGGGTACTACCGGGATTGACGTACGCGGACGATGTGGTACTGACCGCAGGATCAGTGTTTGAACTGCAAAAACTTCTTGACATATGCTCCAAGGAGGCTATTGGACTTGGTTTAAAATTTAACACGAGCAAGTCAGCGGCGGTGGTGTTTTCGGGCTCTTTTGAGACAACGCTCGCTAGCCTTCGCCTCGGTGGGTGCGAGCAACGATAGTACTCATCCGGGGAACGACGCGCGAAGCGGCGTGTTGTCCGTCGGCACTCCAGTCGAAAAATGCGAAATAAAGACAGAAATACTATATATACAAGAAATATCGCGCGCAGAATAGACTAGAACCACTTAGAAGCAATAAAATATACGCTGGAATAGATAAAATAGGTCATGGAATCGAAAAACAGAAGATTAAGAGGAGGCAAGCGACCAGGCATATCGATCTCAAGGCAGAGCGGCCAGGCGAGGGACAGTCTCTCCCACAATTCCTCGAGCGCGGGCCGGGGCGCTTGGGGGATTTCGCAAAAGGTCTATTCACAGCAGTCTGCCCAGCTACGGTACTGAGTAAGGTAGCCTCCAACGACTCAAAAAGGCTTGTTGCAGACACGAAGAGGAGACTGAAGGACTGGTGGCAGAAGATCCACGCCAGGGAGCATTAAGACACCTACGCTCCCAGGCTTGGGCACAAACCTTGTTTGAGTCCTCCCGATTCAAAGGAAAATAGCCGCATCATCATCATCATCATCATCAGAAGGAAGAACGGGAGCAGAAGGAGCGGCGATGTGAGCACCAGCGCGAATGGTTCCGCAACCGCCGCGAGGCCGCTGTCGCCTCAAGTTCCACTGCGTCGAGCGCTTCAGATTCCCTTGCGAAAGAAGAGCAGATCGCTCGCTTGGAAAGCCACCGCCGAGAACAGAAGCTACCAGCTCCGCTGCTCTTCCTTCTTCACCAAAGCGAAAAAGCTGGAAGTTTTTTTTTTTTTTTTTTTTTTTTTTTTTTTTAACTCGCAAATTGCGCATTGCAGCAAACAGTTCAAGAAGACAGAAAGGAGGGAGTCCCCTATTGCTCGGACCCTCGTTTATGTACCGGACGCCGCCATTCTCCACCTAGAAGATTAGCCAGACGCTCAAAACTCGGACAAAAGTTGCTTTCCCCACCCCGTTCACCCCGAAGCTGACAGTGCTGTGGAAGCTACGCGCTCGTTGGGCCAGCTACACTTTTGCCAGTAATCACGCTCCCTCGAGCATACCCACTCGCAGAGAATGCGGTCAGGTCAAGAAAGGGAGGCGGCTGATTGGTCCGGCAAGCGTATAGCTTTCACCGCACTGTCAGCTTGGGGGTGAACAGGGTGGGAGAAGCAATTTTTGTCCGAGTTTTGAGAGACGCTCGTCACCCCACGGGTACTTCGAACGGCTCGGTTGTAACTCGTTGACGCGACCACAACGCCAGCAACGGCAAAGCTCTTAACCACGACAGCCTTGCTACAAATGCTGTAAACATTTTTTTTTTTTTTTTTTTTTGCGCCGGATATTTTATGACGCTTCGCGCTCTCTGTTTGCTTCTCTTCAAGCGCTTGCGTGCGATTATCATTTACGGTTATTATCCGTCATGCTTGACTCCTTTCCGAACGAAATTTGTATATTTCAATTTTCGTCTCCGTACCCCTTTAAACCACCTAAATCTACGTGGAGAACGAAAACAAAATCCGAAGTGAAAGAGAGAGAGAAAACAACAACAACAACACAGTGACAGGAGGCAACGTCTCAAATACTGAATAGCATCTAAAGGTTGAACAAGTGTGGGAGCAATGTTGGAAATATAGTAAACAAAAAATTTGTCGTTGCCTTTTGTTATTTGGTCCTCTCTTTTGCAATTTGGATTCTTCTCGTTTTCCAGCTCAGTTAGTTTAAGAAAAAAAAAGTGAAAGCCGTTTACAAATCCCTGTAACGCCGAATTGGAGCGCAGCTCTTGAGGAGGAGGAGTGAAGGGTACTGAGGGGAGGGTAGACCCCTCCTCCTTCTCCTCCTCTCATTCTTTAATATGCTCCGGGGGGGGTCACGTGACCTCGGGGGGGGGGGGGGGGTCACGTGACTTCGGGGAGGGGGGTCACGTGACCTCGGGGAGGCGTGACCTAGGGGTCATGTGACCTTGGGTGTCACGTGGGGGTCACCTCAAGGTCACGTGACCCCCAAGGTGACCCCCACGTGACCTCAGGGGGTCACGTGACCTTGGGGGTCACGTGACCTCGGGGGGTCACGTAATCTCAGAGGGGTCACGTGACCTCAGAGGGGTCACGTGACCTGGGGGGTCACGTGGGGGTCACCTTGGGGTCACGTGACCTTGAGGACCTCGGGGGTCACGTGACCTTGGGGAGGAGACCACGTGACCTCGGGGGTCACGTGACCTCAGAGGGGTCACGTGACTTGGGGGTCAAGTGACCTTGGGGGTCACGTGACCTTCAAAGGGTCACGTGGTGTCATCTTGGGGTCACGTGACCTTGAGATGACCTTGGGAGGGGTCACGTGACCTTGGGGGTCACGTGATCCCAAGATGACCCCACGTGACCCCCAAGGTCACGTTACCTTGGGGGTCACGTGACCTTGAGATGACATTGGGAGGGGTCACGTGACCTGAAGGGGTCACGTGACCTTGGGGGTCACGTGACCTTGGGGGTCACGTGACCTTGGGATGACCTTGGTTACGCCGACGCCGACGGCGACGCCGACGCCGCTCAAGCCGGGAACGGGCCCCTAAGAGCTGCGCTCTAAAAATAAATGATCAGTTCTTTTTTTTTTGTCTTCATGGGATTTAGTTTTTAGCTTAGCTGCTAGTAGCACGACGGTTGCAGCTCCCCATATGTCTCACAGGTTCCGTCCGGCGTGTCGTAGTCATTCCCGTGGATGTGCAGCCTTTCCCGCCTCCCGATGGCCACCTGTGCGACCAGGGGAACCAGGTTCTTGGGCGTGCCCTGCGGGTCCTCGCCGATCTCGCCCGAGCTGTGCGCTCCGGCCGGGTTGAAGTAACGCAGCAGCACGATGCTCCAGTCCTGCGTGTATTTTAACGAAGAATAATTAGAAGCCGACTTCTATGAGAGAACCGCCACGAAGAACCGTCACGGAGAAAACCATCGCGGAGGGGTGAGACAGCGTGACGTCAAGGGACATCAAGATGACACATGACGTCATGAGGTTACGCGCCTGTGATATCAGAATATCACGTGACACCACCAGCGTGATATCACAGTCATGGGACCTTATGACGTCACGTGAAGTTACACACACACACGCGTGGCGTGTGTCCAGTCAACACCATCTAGAATAATGGAAACCTTCGAACGCCACCCTCTTCCTCCATGCGACATCATCGCAGTCGGATAGCGCCAACTCAGCAACTGGACGCGTTCAACACGTCCAGTTGCTGAGTTGGCGTCTCACTTTTGCTGACCGCGCCCATAGGCCATCGATCAACGTTGACCGATGGTTTCCAAGCGTCATCCAGAAATTATAATTATGTTCCACAATCTCGAGTATAGCCGACAAACTCTAGTTTCGGTTTCAACGGAGCTTTATCACGAGCTGGTGAGTTGTCAAAAATAGTCCCGCGAACGGTGGTTGCAGTTGTCTAGCACGGCCAACTGCTTGCATCAGTCTTCGTGACAAAGATGGCGTTATTTACATAATTCCACCGTATTGTGACACATCTTTTAGAGCTCTAGAGCTCTGGGAACACTTTAAATTATGTTATAGCCGTCGCTTAACCGCATTATAATTTCGAATGCTGTCCTGAGCCGGCGTGCACGTTTTATGTTCCCTACAAGCCGAACAAAAATGAGAAATATAAAAGAACTGCAATCAAGGCTATGACAAAATCAAGGTAGAACACAAAGAAAGCATTCTGCTGAGGATGTCAAGTATATACTATCTGCATTTCACCAGTATAAGTTTCTTCGTTGAAGAGCGCACGTGTCACGGAGGCTAACTCTCCGACGAACCAAAAATGGACAACATCAATTAGAGTGCGCTAACTTTCAGAAGTGATAGCCGTGGGTGTGGGGCCCATTTATTAATGCTCGGATCGTTCCTTTTATTTGTCGTTTAATTCGACATAGCTGTAAAACTGTCGGCGTTTATAGGCCTTCCGGACGTACTACATTGCATTTTCAAGAAATATCTGTTGGCAGCTTTGCAATCCCTGCCCAGTGGCAAACTGAAACCGCAACGTCACGGCACACTTTGGTTGGATTAGAAGGCAAAAAACACACTCAAGCAAAAAGGTGACTATCAAAGGATATGTTTTATGGAATACAAGAATAAAGAACAGAACGAACCTTTGTTGCCCTTGGAAGCGCTTTTAGCAGGTGCTACGTGGCTATTTTCATCTCAGTTAAAACCAAAAGGAAAATATAATCGCTTCCAAAGAATGCAAACGGGAGGGACGCCAGTAGCCACATAGGCACGATTCTCTCGTCCAGGGGGAGCTGTAGCATCCACAAGAAGCGACCACGCGACCACAAAAGAGGCACCTCCGCTAGCGTCCGCGAGGCGAGACCATTTACTGCTAACGTGAACCGACCTCCTAGCGTCCCATCATTCACGATCCATGGGCGTAAACAAGCGCCCCTCACGCCTACCAACATGCACTAACAAAGCGTAATTGAAACGACGAAATGAAACGCACGACGGAAACGCGACCTACAAATACCCGACTTTGCTCGCCAATGGCGCTTCTCAAAACTTGAGAGTTACGTATCTATGGCTATTGGATCAACGATGGCTGCGCTCGAGGTAGCGCTGGCTTCCACGACGTGCTGGAAGAGGAATAGAACCAAAAATGCCTCATCCTAGAATTATTGACGCCACGATTGTGTGTGGATACCTCCCCCTGCGTTTTGAAACAGTTAGTACGCCGCTAACGTGCGCTAAGGCCGGCCATCGACGATGCAGCAGACGCCGCCATCTTGTCTTCGCCCGCCTCAATGGCGTGCCCCCAGCCCACTTCAACACGGCCGAAACGTTACGCGGCCCCGGCATCGCTCACAATGGCAGCGCACCGGAGGCTTTCCAGCGCTTATCAGAGCCGTATATGTAGAGAGTTTGGTCAATGGGAGGCGCGGGCAGATCCAGGGCGTGCGGCAGACTCGGAAAGAGGGCTTGGCATGCTCTCTTGACCAACCAGAAGCCGAAAAGAATCTCCTAGCGGTGGTAGCAAGAAACAGTTCTGATCAAAGGTCTATGTTCGTATATGGTTTTAATAAGCGCGCAAGAGTGAAATGGAGTAACTCTTCGTGGTTGAAAATAGGGTGCACGTGCTCTTTTGATTATGATCATACAGAAAAATGTAAGAAACGAATGCGCCGCTCAACTCTGTTTTGCGCGGACAGAGTGTGACCGTTCGGACGGCAGATTCCCGGCTCTCGGCGTTTGGCGTACGGATTATGTCGATCGTTCCGCTAGTCGCACTTTTCCACCATCATTTTGGATGAGCGTGATTGAAACATCACGTGTACCATATTTTCAGCCATCGAGAGTTACTCCAATGCAGTTATCAGGTTTGTTTCTCGCGACCACCACCAGGGTATTATTTCCGGCTTCTGGTTGGTCACATTCGAATTTCTGAAGACGCCCTGGAACACGCCCAGCCCGCTTTTGGCCAATGGCGCCTCCTCGTTTGTCTACTATATACTTCCCAACGAATGGCCAAACTCTCTACATATACGGCTTTGGCGCTTATCCTCCGGGTCAAGAAATGCTGAGTCACTGCGCCCGCTCGGAACGCCTTCCACAGCAGGTATAGACAAAGATGGCGGCGCGCAGAAGGTGATTTTTCGGAGAGGTCTCTCTATACGATTCGATATAGCCAATCAAGCAGCGCCAAAAGTGCACCGTCATGGCCCTCGTTCTCTTTGTGTGTTTTGTTATAACCGACTAAACCGATCCGCACAGTGAATGCCCGATATTGAGCTTTTTTTCTTTTCTTTTGTGATTGGCTGCGTCGAGGTCCAACCTTTTCGGTGCTGCCAATGTCCCTGAGCATCTCTTCGACCATGAACTTGGTGCGGCCGTACGGGTTGGTGCAGTTCCGTCCGGTCGGGTGCTTCTCGTCGACAGGCAGGTACTCCGGGGTCCCGTACACCGTGCTCGAGCTCGAGAAGATGAGTCGTCTCACGCCGTGCCTCTTCATCGCCTACGCGGTCGGGTGGAAGACAAATGGTGCGAATTAGGAAGAAATTACATCAACCTGGTCGGGGAAAACAATGATCTATAACAGGGGTGGCGAAGCTGCGGCTCGCGAGCCGCATGCGGCTCTTCGCGTGTGGAAGTGCGGCTCGCGGCTCCCTCCCCTATTCCCCCCCCCCCCCCCCCCTCACTCCCCCGCCTCTCTCCTTGTCACAAGAGCACTTCCCCAAAAGAGAAATGAAACACGTTTTAAATCGAAAGACAGGTTGCAGTTTGGTAGTCTTGCGCTACTGCTACCTAAATTACGTACTGTAGGACTGTATTTGATTTTGCTAGATTGAAAATAGTTCGAGTTTCGTTTATTGCTACAAACAAGTTTGCCCCCCCCCCCCCCCCCCCCCCCCGCCGCGGCTTTTGGAAGTTTGATGGCTTTGTTTGCGGCTCTTAGGCCGGGTCAGCCTGGCCACCGCTGATCTTTAACTATAGGGTTCTGCGTTCTCAAATAAATCTAAAAAAACAAAACCCGCTTTCCCCCCTTTCCAAAAGAAAAAAAAAGGAGAAATTTAGTTGCCGGTAAAAATATTAATTAGGATTTCTCTGAAAGATTCTGAATTTGAGAACTGGCATTGTAAAAACACGACTGTTTTTTTAAGGTTTTATTGGAATCCTGAAACAACTTTAGGGATTTTTTTTTTTTAATTTCTAATCTTGTTGGTAAGTATCACAAAAAAAAAAAAGCAAAAAAAGTACTTTGAACACTTACCATAACAAGGAGCTGACCTCCCTTGGACATTAGTCGAAGAGGTTTGCCTCTTGAACAAGGCTTAGCTCTTATTAAAAAATTGCTTTAATAAAATTGTTGACTGCCATTCTCTACTCCAATGACACTAGACATCCAAACAATTCCGAATTTTTGTGGATAATAAACGAAAGCTCCGAAAAGCTCAAAATTTCACGTAAAAAAAAGAAAGAAACAGCGCAGAACAAGCATTTATAATTAAAACAAGAACAAAATTAAAAACAGACAAAAAAGAAAAAAAAAACGGACAATCACTGACACCGGTTTAAAATACAGCTACCTGTGTCTTGAGACGGTGTTTTTACGAGCAGAACCCACCCTCCGGTTCCGCTCAAAAATAAACTCCGAAAACGAAAAGCCCTTACTAGTATAACCATAAGAACAGCATACCTCGACAAGCCTGATGGCACCGCCGATGTTGTTGCTGTAGTACTCCAGAGGCGCCTTCCATGATTCTCCGACCGACTTGTATCCGGCCGCGTGAATGACGCAGTCGAACCGGTGCTGTCGGGAAACGGACAACCTTTACGGATCACGGCTACCTCAGTAGGCGGAATGCTAAAATGCCTAGAAAAAAAAAAAATCCTTCAAGCTTGTTTTAAAGCATGTTTGCTTCATGCATCTGTGTGCTTGGGCCGTGTTGAGAACGCTCGTTTTGACGAAAACCCGGCGGTGTCTGTCAGTTTGTCAGCGCCGGGGAGAGAGGAAGAAAGAGAGAGATAAAGGTGACGCGTGCGACGCTTTTATCGGTTCGAAGCGCTTACGCCGTGTGCACTGACGTGTTGAACAACTTTTGAGTCTAATCAGCTGCTATCGACATTTCGTCGGAGCTCCCTCCCCTCTTACTGCGCATGTGCAAAATCTTCATCCTAATAAAAAAACAAAACAAAAAAAACATCTTTCTTTCCTTTTTTTTTACCGCAAAAATCAGTTACGCATTTCTGAACGCTTATTGTTTTCCACCCAAATGTAACGCTAGCGGTTCGCATCAGATGCCAAAATTTCACTGCTAACCGTTATTTTATTAAAAAAGTTATACGTGATTTTCTGAAAATTTCAGTGGGAAAATGGCGGTTGAATGACCCACCAAGAATGGTGCACCCATTTTCCCATTGATTTCTTTTTTTTTTTTTAGCAAGTAATTTATAACTTTTGAATACCGTTTAGCGCTAATTTGGGCCGCGTTCGGCGATGCGTCGTTTACTCCTGCAAAAAAAAAGTTTTTGTTTTTGAGGGGGGGGGGGGGGGGGGCATTGTATATTTTTATGACGTGTTCACCACAACGCTGAAGAAATTAATTGTCTGTGTACAATGTTGATGCCATGATCCCATTGTAGTTTTTAAAATGAAGTTTTTAGGGTTGCTGCATCGTAAACCAAATGGAAGTCCTTATCAGTCGTCACATTTCTGCCTGCTTGCGTCGCGGGTTTTCTTTGACTGTGCACACGCAACCAGGATAGTGACAGAGGCGATCTTGCTTGGTGGCTGGACGGCTGAAAACTCATCCCTGTCGTTTTAGTCATCTCCTATAATCTCGGGGAAGTAGGCTTACTTGACTGAAGACTGCGTCGACGGCATCCTCGTCCAGCAGGTCGACGCGGTGGAAAGTGACCTCCCTCCCCGTTATTCGTTGCACTCTGCGCAAACTCTCGGGCATGTCGCCATCTTGACCTGCAATCAACCGACAAAGAAAGTCAGGTCGTGTCGCGTATTCGGAAAAAGCTTCAGGAGTCAATCAAGAGGCCCATTTCGGCACTGTGATTGGCACGTTTTCAAGGACGTCCCTTTACCTCGTTCAAGTATAGGAAAGCGAAAACAACGAGCAGGGACGAGGCTTAGGTGAACACGTCTCAGCGATTCACGCGTTAACCTTTAGCCAGCCCCCAGACTTGATCACGCTTATTGGGTAAGCAAATCTGGCTAAAGGCTAACACGTGAATCACTGAGGTCTGTTTACCTAATCCTCGACCCCGCCTCCCCTCCTCTCTCTCCGCTCGTAGACCGGGCGATGCGACGTCCATGAGAATGCGCCAATCAGGGTACCAGGATTGGCCCTATGCGGAGACCAAGTCGTCTGCTTCTTGCGCGGGGGTTGCGGTGACGTCAGAACAACGCTGAGTTCTGATTGGCTTTCATACCCACTTTTTTTCTTTCAATCAGCCAATAAGGGCTCGGCGTTTTGACATCATCGTGCAAGTAGCAGACGATGCTTGCGCTCCCCATTGACTTACTCCACAAGCTTTTCCGAATGCGGGATCGTGACATGACTCTCTAACCGACGTTCGCACATTCGGAATCTAACCTGTGCGGATAAGCATTCCTCTGCCAAATGCAATTTTGCTTGCATACATTTGTAAACAAATTGTTAGGGCGCAAACGAGCTGATGGTGTTTAAACATGTGTAATTGTAACCCTAGGACTAGGGAGAAAGACTGCGATGGAGAGGAAGAACAGGAGTCTCAAACACAGCTGAAATTTTATTGACAAAAAAATCCTATTTATATAGGCATCGGCACAAACACACACACAAACAAAGAAAAAAAAAGGATTAGGTAAACACTTCTCAATGATTCACGAGATAGCCTTCAGCCAGATATGCTTACCCAAGAAACGTAAGCAAGCCTGGTTCATTAATAGTCCCGCACCATAAGACTGGTGCGGGATTAATTTGACATTAATCCCGTACCAGTCGCGTTCATTATCGATAACCCCTTGCCTACTGATAATGATTCTCGCCCGTTATTACGGGACATAAACCCGTATTATGAGGGGGACTCGCGTTTTGGTTTCGGCGCTTCTTCATGTGCTCCCTGCAGCAAATAAAAAAAAAGGGGAAAAAAAAAAAGAAAAAGAAAAAGCAGTTTGAAAGGGTCAAGTATTCAGAAACCTTTTCAACTTTATATCTAAACCGAAATATTTTTTATTTGTTTTTTTGTGAAGGTGTTTGAAGTTTATGTAAACAGGATCTTTTGTCAATAAATTTCAGCTGCGTTTGAGAGTCTTGTTCTTCCTCTCCTTCATCGCCGTCTTTCTCCCTAGTCTGATGTTTATACATTTGTATACTCTTTTTCTTTTAATTAACATCGTAATATTACTAGCGGGTACACGCCTTAGGCGTTGAAGTGGCCACATTGGTATTTTTGGCTTGCGTAACATATAAGCAGCCATTTTAATCAAATTGACAATCTATTCGAGATATGTCTTTTGTCCAGTCCGGCACGGCTGCTCAAGCAAGCTAGAGAGAGAGAGAGAGAGTCGGAAAAGGAAGAACAGAGAGGTTAACCTAGGTTAAAGTCCTGGTTGGCTACTCTGTTTTAGGGAGCTGATTTGTCGACCACACACGGGTAGTGGGGTATTAAAAGTGGAAGGAAAGGATGTCGACCACACACGGGTAGTGGTGAATTAAAAGTGGAAGGAAAGGATAGGAGGACATAAAACAATAAAGACGCATAAAAAAAAAAAAATTTGTGACATGAGAGCAAAAAATATAAAAGTTTTTGCTCTCAAGCAAGCTAGGTTCCACATAAAAGTAGAAGGGGGTCATGCAAATAGGGCATCCTTCTAACTCGTCTGAGAACACCATACAATAATGCGCACGTTAAGTGAAGTTTCAGCCGTAGGAGACGTGTTGCGCTGGTATTTTTATTTACGAAACAGCTTCAGTGCTGAATGAATGGTTAGCCGGATGCATGGGTTAACGTGAAGATGCAGGCGAGCTGATTCAGAACTAACATTTTTTAACCCTGAAGAGCGAAAAACAGAAATACATTTTCCTGTCCTGCTTCCCCACTCGCATCGCATGCTTGCAATGAACGTCATGTGTGTCTATAGACGTCGAGACGACTTGTAGAAGTTTGAAAAATTCCTCTGATGCCTTGTAGCCGTAAAATGACTCATGCCTCACGTATATACGTCTTGTACTGCAAGAAAAGTGCACGAATGAGCTAGAAAGCGGAGAAGTCTGTAGGGGTCGCCCTGTCGCCTGTCCATGTCTTATTCGTGCTATTTTATTTGTACCAGAAAATTCGCCAACTAGCCCACTGACGTACTTTACTAGACTGCATAATGTATTGACAAGATGTCCACCAATGAGCGGTCCCTTTCTGCGGGTGTGCGTGATTCAGTGTGAGTTGTTCTTGAGCTATGTAGAGTATAAGTAAAACCTAGGACACGTCTTGTGTGCAGTGGGATAGCACCGCGGGCCCTGTAATGCATACAAGAGTATACAAAAAAAAATGCATAGGTATATACAAAACTTACCAGGACGAGAGTTGTGGAAATTGTCCGCCACCACGACGTCACATCCGGCGCCGAGAAGTTCGACGATGACGTGACTTCCCACGTAGCCCGCGCCTCCAGTCACCAGCACGTTGACGTTAGACATCGGCGACCCGGAGGAACGCTAGCAGGACCTAGATTTCCATTACCTTTGACCTCAAAGTTTAGCGGCGGCGTAAGCGTTAGTCGATCCGCAGTCGGCCAGTTCAAGGTATCTTGCTTCCACGCAATCCCACGAAGAGCGTCTAGTAAGTTATCCTCCAGGCTGTCAAATGCGGCTTTTCAGGCGCAGCAAAGAGATAATTGCTATTCTTAGCGGAATGTATCGGCGGTCTCGTGCGTAATAATGGAGGTCAATTAGAGTCCGTCATGACGGGCTCGAGTGGCGTTCTGAAAAGATTTCCGGGGAGTGGACGTTCGGGTGCAAGCACGTCTTTGGCTTGCGGCCAAGTTGGCGACCGGCAGGTTTCCTCGTTTCGAAAGGCTGGCTCACACATTAGCGTTTCAATGCGCTTGAGCATGTTGCGTTTCCCTTTAGCCGCTTAACACGTTTGCACATCGACACTATCTATCGGATTGACCCGGAAGACTTCCACCGTCTGTATCAAAACCGAAGGTTTTACACTATTTGCAATATAAGAAATCATATTACTATCTACGAGTAATACTCAGGCAGCACAGAAACGTTGAAAAGACGTGGCAAGAACGTTGATGACGTCAGTGACCACATGTCGAAAGAACGTCAAACGTCTGGACGTCAAGTCCCTTCGAGGTAATATGGAAAGGCTAATGTCTGGAAGTCAAGTGATAACGTTATATCGACGTTTCAAAGACGTAGAATATCACGTCACGTCATAAAGAAGAAGCCGCGGGACGTCAAACCATTATTCTGGGAGGTATGTCTATACAAGCTTTAAAGAAAAACATAAATGTCTATCTATTGTCCCTTCAAAAATAACATGTTCTTTTTTCAGTATTTTTTTTTGTGCGCGTATGTTGTTTTTTGTGCAGCATCTCTTTGTAGAGATGGCTGGCTGGCTGCACTATGTTGTTGTTTGTGGCCCCTTTGTTTGTCATGTTTGTGCAGGCATAAAAATTGATGTGCCTCGTTGTTGTTTGTCTTACGTGGGGGAGAGTCTGGTTTTAGTTCATTGTTTTCTCTTTGTTTACAGTGTTCTGTACCGCTTATGGGATTTTATGTTTGATCTTTCATGATCAAGTAGTTTTCGTCATCTAAGTCTTTCATTTTGTCTGGACGTGGAGATGGCGGGGGGCTGTCGCCTTGTCAGGCATGTCGATGCCTTTTGTGACGGCCCCCCAGACAGCTGTATTCCTCGACGGTTGTCTAAATAAACTTTGATTTGATTTGATTTGATTTGACGTAATATTCGCACGCCTGGTTGAATAGGGAACGTATATGCGAAGCCTAGAAAACGTCCGAAACATACTTTATACGCCCACTAGAGACGTTACATCGACGTACAAGAAACGTAAATATAGCACCGCACGTCCTAGAAAAGCTCATAGAACGTCACGCAGACGTTTTATACAAACGCATATTCGACACCTTTAGGATATCATCCAGTACGTCGACTGGAGACGTTCTATCGACGTTATTAGTATTCCCCCAATCGCACCTTCCTGCGAACACACCAGTCATTGAATAAGAAAGAGCCCAGTAAGGGTTTCAATGATTCAGTGTTTTATTAGCTTGTGATAAGAATCAAGGATTGCCGTCTTGGGGGAGGGGAGGAGAGGGAAGCCGAGTGAACAAATAGCAGAGTACATGGATAGTGAGACGGTGTGCCTACTTCCGTTTGTTTGAGCTCAATTTGTTGATGTGCGAGGTAAAGCCAACCCATTGCGCGGCCCCTTGCAAGTCCTTTCGAATCACTGGCCAGCTTTTGGCGGTGACAGCGTCTGGAAGGAAAGAACAATGTGCAGGGCCCAGATGGTAATGCCTGGCACCATGCACACACGTAAAGGCTGCTGCCTAGAGCAGCGAGATCTTACCGTTCTTCATCCACGTGCTGGCACAAAATCGATTAACTTGACGCCACAATTCCGAGGTCCACGAAGTCCTCCGCAATGTTGTACCTGCTAAGGCAAAATATTAAGTTTCGTATGAATATACTAGGATCAATATATATGCTCGCGGAATCAGGGTTTGTGTTTTCCGGTGAAATTGATCCCGACGCGCAATATTTCACCAAAGCGTTTCCGGAAACCAAGAATGGTCAAGTCGCTAACAAGTGTTTCTTGTGTTTTCTTTTAGTATTCCTTTAAACCTCGTAGACGTACCGCAATACAAGGTTTTCTGTTTTTATTTAAAACGTAACGCCTGACATCATTTACTTAAATTCTTGAAGAAAAAAAAATCCTAAATCAACTATGCGGAAATAAAAAAAAAAACGTACGTATAGATGATTTTGGGCACAGAGTGAAGTTTATATTTTGGCAGCCTTAGATAACCTGTTTTCGCGAAATGACATACTATTAGCTGGAGGGAAGGGAGATCGTATCCCGTAAATGACGCTTTGTATTCTTTTTCTACAGGCGCTTCGGAATAATTACAAGCGACCTAATGTTTTAATGCGGGAAGCTATACCCCAACTGGGTTCTGAAACATTTGTAGATTAAGAATGCCAGAAATTACGCAAAATGCACTTACTTTCGATGAAGTCAGCGTGTCCTGGATGCGAGCACGGCAGCCGAACTGGCAATGCTCGGAATGGTCTTTGTATATATACACGCCTGGCTTCACGAACCTACGCGGATGTTCCCCCAGCGATTTTGGGGGCTTCAAGCGAGGTGACGAAACCCAACAATGACACAACAGTAATTGAAGGTTTTTTTCCTGCTGCATTATGTACTAATTTTGAAAATAAGAAGAATTTAGTCGCGTTGTGACTGTCAACTTAGGTTCACGGCTCTCTGGTATCGGGCAGCAGATCGCGATTCAGGAAAGCCGATAGAACTATACTTTTCGACAATTACCAGCTACACCTGGCGGCGGAAATGAGCCTTCAACTAAGTGTTGTAGATGATAAAATCGAGTCAGTGTCACCACTACAAAATATCAATGTTAAGATAAATTCATTCACAAAAAGTCACAAGCTGAAACAGCGTACCCCATCTTCATCGACGGTATAGTGTTAAGTGCGGTGCGCAAAACCATTCACAAAAGGTTCTGAGCAGAGACGAGAGGATGGCGTTGGGGAAACGTCTTTTCGGTTTACTGACGAAACCCACGGCCGCCGGAAATTGGGGTCATGTGAAAAGCGACATTCCAGCCGCACTCGCCGAATTCCGTGCAAGCAACATTGGTTCTCGCACAGTATTCGACGCTTTCGGTCGTTATTTGTGCGTTCTACAACCGAGCAATGGTGTCCCGATGACCGGAGGACTGTCGGCGTCCAAGCCTGTGGTTCGAATTAAGTTTGGGAGTTTAAAACAGAAAAGGAAGCGGGGACCGGGGTCTCCTGTTCTGGAAAGCGTTTTTTTTACGTTTTTGGCACGATGTTGGGGTAGTGCATTTTTCTCTAAAAGTTGGTTTATACAGAGTTTGATGAAAGTCTAGATTTTGTGGGTTTTTTCCTTTTGAGTTATTCAGGCAGTTTGGTTTTTAGATACAACCATCAGCCAGCTTCGTTTTTTTTTTCTCTTTAAACTAACATAACTCCACTTTACAAAAACCTTGTCTTAAAAAAAAAAAAACTGGACAGTTTAATAGTTTTGGGTTGATCTTGAAGGTTCTGAAAAGTATTCTGAGACACTCTTGTATCTACTTCTCCATGGTATTCTGACTGTGTGCCTCTCTATGTGTGTGCGCCGTCTTTGAGGGCGCTCCGAACGGTGACTTCAGTGTTAAATAAATGCTTTGTTTTGCCCTTTCAAGGGTGCAAGTTGTTTTGTTACTAATCAAAATGTGGTTGTAACCTTCCAAAGTTCACTACCTCGTGCAGGCATCTATGCTACTGTTTCTTTCCAGCGTTGTGCTAGGGAATCACTTGTACTACTCTATGACGTCTCAATCGGTTAATGTCCTTGCTTTCGAAGAGCAAGGATTGTTTGAGGAACTGCGAAGAACATCGGAATATGTAAAATATCTTAAAATATAGGCCTACAATTTCTACATTTGTGTTGTTCTTTTTTTATATAAAGGGGGCACGAATATTCATAGTTTTTATAGCGGAGCTGTTAAGGGCTAGGTTCCCCAGGATCGTGTCCGTGTATGTCGACACAAACCTACCTGGACAGCTACCGCCATCTATAAGCGACGGCGGCAAGCACACAACCAATATGGTTTCCGCCGTCGCTCGTAGATGGCGGCAACCTTTCCAGCTATAATAGAAGTAGAATAGAATAATAGATAGTTGGGCGCGTTGGTGGGAATTCGTCGTAGGAAACAGCGCGAAAAACAGTCGACGACGAAGAAGAAGCACACAGTGTATCGAGTACAGCTCCGCTGGTCTTCGTTCTTCACGAGAGTGGAAAGGCTGAACGTTTTTTTTTTCTGGTAACTTTGTCTAGAACCGGCTCGTTAAATCTATATCTGCAACTTCATCCGTGCAGTTGAAATGAGTCACACAAGATGTTAAAGTGCCCAATGAAGGGAGGCATTTTGCCACTTGGCCACCGTACATAAAATATAAGACATTATTAATCGATCGCACACTTTTGACGGTCAGTATTTAAAAAAATTGTGCGTCGAAGAATGCCAACAAGTTGAAGGTTGAAGGCCGTGTTGTCATTAGCAGAGTAAAAACTGCGGTAATGGTTGAGTTTCAGGTCAGTGACAGCCAAGTCAAAAAAGACAAAAACCTGCAAAAGCACGTGCATTCTCACTGCTGTCGACATGTTATCATAAACACCGATGCTGGGGTTGCATTGAGACAGTCGGAGTCGCGGCCATCATTTTCTCGTCGTCGAATAACGCCGTTGCTGCAGCGGCCATTTCCCATTTCTAACGCGTGCGCCGACAGAAAACGGCCTTTGCCACACTTGCGGTCATAGTCGTTGGCAGACCGAGAATCGTAAGGTGGAGTTTTCAGTTGCTCGGCCTCCAGCTTGAGCTTCCCGCCTTCGACAACCCTTCGGCGTGCCGCG